CTCTGAGTCATCAAGCACGGCTCGCAGCATTAAAGGCAAAACAACAATATAGCCACCAGAATAGGAAATTGCTCACAAAATGACCACAAAAACAAACCCCGTCAAATATAAACCATCCGGGTGCGACCGGTTGCTACGCTCCGCGTCAGCCACTCATCCTCTCCGGATGCGATGGCTCACTATCAAGCTCATCGCCTGTTGAAATTTCAAACTCCGGCAAACGATGGGAACCGCTGGAAATTGGCCAATCAGGGCCTTGCATGTTTCCCGCGGCTCAGATGAAGACCCAAGTTTCTTTTTCATCAGCCGATAAAAAGGAACGAATTAAACGCTCAAAGGCATATATATATAATATCTTTATTCAAGCTGGAGAAGCAAACATTGTCAGTTGCTTATTCACGAGAAGATACAACAATCAATTTAACACTATCATGAAGTTACTCACAGAAGAGGAAGTCAAAGCCCATAACACCGCCACATTGCACGGAGGTATCAAGGGTGCCATTGCAGGCACAATTGTGTCCATTGGTATTTACGCAATTGCACCAAAGAAATATCCACGTTTGTTCCAATTGCCATGGTCTATCAGAACGGCGGTGGCTATCATTCCACCCACTTTGGCCACGTCGATTTGGGCCGAGGAATCGTCTTCGGCTTTCGACAAGAAGATGTATTCTTCGGACTACACGCAGCAGAAGACCCTGGAGGAGTACAGCAGATGGCACGGACTGTCGACCAGCGACAAGGCTGTGGAAGTGTTGAGTGAGCACAAGTACAAGATCATCACGGCTCTGTGGGCTGCGTCTATGTGGGGATCGTGGGTTTTCGTTAACAAGGACAAGATCATGACCACTACGCAGAAGATTGTTCAGGCGCGTATGTATGCGCAATTCATCACCGTGGGATTGTTGCTGGGAACCGTGGCTCTGAGCATGTATGAAGAGAACCACAACCTGAAGAAGGTTGGAGTCGAAGACGATGATTGGAAGCAGATCCTCAAGGAGGAGCAGCAGAAGCAAGCTGTACGTGCCGCTCATAAGAGGACCGCGCACGAGAAGGCACTTGCCGCTGAGAAAGAGAAGCTTTAAGCCGCAAAAACTCTTGAACTATGAACTTATGTATTCCGTCTGATTTGCAGACCTGCTGCCTTAAGTAGCAGCCATAGAGGCGTATTGGCACCGCGATACCTCGTTTTCACGATTTTTTTATATGAGCGTTTTACCAAACTGCATAACGAGATAGATTTTAGTTGTACATTCCTTTAGGATAAAAAACAATGTCGCCAAACTAGATTTTGGCGACTAAAAAAACAGACAGAAAGCAGCCTCAGCTCTTCACAGCACCAGCCAAAGACCACCGGATATCAGCGAGACTCCGATGATACAGGTGATGATCGCGGCACCTGCAGTATCGCCCTTACCGAGTGACAATGGCGAATCAACCGTGGTCGTGGTCTGGGTACCGGCTGCAGGGTCACCCGTACTGGAGCCTCCATTCGAAGCTGTGTATGGGGCTGGTCTGTCGGCGATAAGGAGGTTCTGGATCACCTCCAGTGCAGACATCTGTTCTCCGAGTCCGTAGAAGCCGTCCCATCCATTCATGGTCCAATTCAAGCCACACGTGTGGCCGTCGTAACCACCAACACACGAGCCAGCAGCAGCCTTAGCCGATGTCTCAATCCACGGTCTGATCGTGCTCCAAGTGGTTGGTGCCAAAATCGAGGTGTATCCAAGGAATCTCGAGAGATAGGCCTTGAAGGAACGCTGATCGTTGTTACAATTTCCACTTCCCTGACAAGCCGCCTCGTACATCACGTCGTCGTCAAAAAACACCTGGATGCCATTGACCAACTTCTCGGTACGTGTCAACCACTTCTTTTCCTCAGTGTGGTTGTAGAGATACGCACACCCGGAGACCATCAAACCAGCGTTGTAACTCCACTGCAGTTTGGTCACTGAGGAACAGTTGTCTTCGACAGAAGCACCATCATAGACGAACCAGAAGTCGCCCTGAGTCAAAAAGTTCACACCCACCATCCAATCGTAGATTTCTTCACACCAGGTCACATAGGTTTCGTTTCCAGTAAAACGTGCCAGTCTAGCACCGATGTGGAAAAGGCCTGCATTCGAAACACTGTTCTTATAATCATAACCAGCATTCCACTGGAAAATCTGCCATCTAAGGCCACCACCACACTTTTCAGTGTCCCATCTGAGCGCCATGGTGTTGAAAACTGCCTGGGCCAAATATAGCCATTGGGGCTCGTCATCTCCCGGATTGGTGAAGTTCCGCTCGCATGCGGTCAAGGCAGCAATACCCCAAAACGCTTGGTCATCGTTACCTTCAACGGTACTCTGATTAAGTGGAATATAGTCCCAGTTATCACCAACTTGGTATAGCATCGCAGTCATAATAGTATCGTGCCAAGTATCGTTCTCCAGTAGGAAGGAGTATTCCAGCATGGATCCCCACGCTCCACCGGCTTCCCACCAATAGTACGGATTGGTGAACATTCCGATAGTTCCACCGGAGTCAAATCCCCAGTAGTAATCCATCAAACCGCTCGATATCAGCGCAGTAGCGTTTCTGATCGACTCCTCGCTTTTGATAGACAGATCAACTCCACATACTCCGGAAACCACCAGCACCAGCGTGCTGAGAATGTGCGAAAATCTCATCTTCGAGCCGTTTTTGTGTCTCCGTCGCCTGGCAAACAAATATTCAACGTATAGACCCAAAAACGTGTATTTGGCGTGGTATTCAAGAGAGGGGAAAAAAGCATACAGACATTCTCCTTGGAGCCCGCGCGCCCTGATTTTTCTTTCAACCAGACACGCTCCTCCTCTTTGAGCGCCTACTTATGTTGGTACACGCAAATAGTGCGGCGCTCTGTGAGAGGCCTGAGAGTGGGCCAAGAATCGGTGATTGCGGCGACATTTTAATTTTTTACTGCTAGTGGAAATGATCAGCTAACAATTATATTCCAATTTTTATGAGCTCTGGGACGCTGGATGCAGGTGCATTCGAAATGCAAGATCAACCACGTGCCTGTCGCCTGGCATTGACGACGCCGCTGACCCTCGATGAAAGCGCGACTTTGAACCCCTTCTGACCCTGGGATCACGGACTTTATCAATAGTCCAGAAGAATAAGTGGACTATGGTTGCCCAAATATTTTTTTTTTGGACTAAATCAATCAAAACGTGCGCAGATTGAGCTAAATGTGATGAGACCCGATGATCTGCGAAAGGTAATGCATTGTCGCTTTAAGCACTCTGCAAGGGCTATTCCGATCCGACGGACTAAGCGATGATGCGTACCAAGAAATGAGTGACTTTCATGTGACATAGTTGATTCAGCAGGTTTTGCTTGATACTCTATGATCGAGGGCTTTTAAGTTCTAACTTTTGAAGAGGGGCTCACCAGTCACCGTGAAGCTACTTTGAGGGAGGCACCTGCAGTGTACAAATGCCTTATCTCTAAAGTCTGCTATCTCAAGCTTCATAAGTTTTGCTGTAACTCTTGATTTGAAAAATATTTCACAATTTGTGGTCCCAAGTGCCCAACAGATATGATGCGGCAATCGGAGATGGCAACTTCTTGTAAATTTCTCATTTATAGCGCCATATTTCAAAGCCATGCCTTTAATTGATATTTGATAAACATTTTCACTACAATCACATTTTAATTATAGTACTGCCGCAGTGCTTCTGTAACGCTATGGCAACAATTTTGTCACTACTCCCAAGCATGTCTCCTTGCTCGTTTAACAAAAATACGCGGCAATGCTACCTAGCGACCAGCTGCAAAATTTCTCATCCTACTTCATTGAGTTCATACAACAGATTTTGGTCAGAAAAGTCCACTATAGACGAAAAGATATGGCTCTGATTTCTAGCAAGGGTCACATAAAAAATGTTGTGGTTGGCGCACGTCCAATTGGCTGACCGTATTCGTTATCAGACAACCAGTAAGTCTCGTGCAGGGGGACCACAGGGTGTCCAGAAATGCTGCAAAATAAAGAAAAGTACTAGTGTTTCTGGGTTTACAGTATGAAGGATGCATGACACAACATCAAGGATATCCAAGCCGGCCGGAGTGCGGGTTTCGCAGAGAGCTCCCCAGTCATGCATACCGTGCTTTAAGAGGAAGGTCAAGTGTAACAGGACCGTTCCGTGCAGTAATTGTGTTCGCCGAAACGAAGTACAGTTTTGTGAGAGGGAAGTCGTTATAGTGAAGAAAGAACTCAGCCATGCTTTGGTGCAACACCATCAACAAACGCAACGGGGCGAATCAGATCGTCTGCTCCCAATCCAGCCTGAAGCTGGGAGCCGTAGTCGCACTCCAACGGCACCTGGGGCCTCGAATTTGCAATTTTCCCTCGGAGAGTACGATATGGATTCGTACAATCTTTCATTGAACTTTTTGTCCTCAGGATATGCCAGTCTCGACCCTAGTATTGGAAAGCAGGACTCTAACAAGCCCGGTGTTTTAGATACCCTTTCAAGCATCACAATGGGAAGCGATTGGGTGTCGCTGCCTGAAGCATTCACAAGGTTGATGTCTTCCATCGATTATGATACGTCCAAAGTTTTGATCGAGTTTGCGTGCACACAATTGACGTTCATCCACAACGGGATCATTCCCCCAGTATTCATACAGGAGCATGAAGCATTCTGGCGGGCAGAGATTTTGACCGAAAACATACCGAAGAGTTATCTGGTTAATCCAAAAGGAAACCAGTTCTATAGCAGACACTATTACTACTGGATATCCATGTATTATGGTCTTCTATGCTCTGCTTTATACTTTGGAGACGGTTTCTTGAACGACAAGGTGAACCTCTCTGAGGAATACTTCAAGCAATTTCCCAGATTGTTATTCCAGGCTTCTTTGGACTGTCTGCAGAAGGCAGAGTTTATGTCGTATCCCGATTTCCGTGCCATCCAAATATTTTGTATCATGAGCACATGCTTCCATGGATTTGCCGGGGTCCATTTACACAATTGTCTGCTGACGTCAATCTTCTACGTCGCGCGCTTCTTGAAATTGGATTGTCTGAACGATAAGGATGATTCTACAAACAGGACAGATGCTGATATTGAACTGCTGAAACGTGCATGGTGGACTCTAGTGATCATTGAAGGCCTAAACGATCATTGCAGATGGATACCATTGAGCAATGAATTTTCAACCTCATACCCCAAACTGATTACCATTAACGAGCTCATAGGAAAAGAAAAATATGATCCCAAAGTCCAGCTAACATATCAGCAGAGAGCGAAGGGATACTCCTATGTCTTATACCAAATCTTCATGGCTGAAATGGCCTCCATCAAGAAACAACATTACCATGAAGATGGATCCCCTGGAACACTTGAGTCTCTGCTAGTTGCCGATGAAAAAATGATATCACTTCTTTCAGACTACGATTCGATATTCTGCAAGGCTGTCCCCGAATCAATACCAGATAACTCCACAGATATTGATGTGATAACTTTTCCCTTCGCCAAGTACCTTCTCAAGTTTTCTCTGAACTGCGAATCCCTGGAAATCACCCGCAGACTCTTGCCTCACCTTGGCCGCAATAAATGGGTCATCGTATACAGACCGAGATGCATTAACTATTCGTTGAACATTTTGAGGAACTTCAATGACTCAAAACTGCCAAGCTTCTACAACCGGATCTGGACTGTGGCCAAGCATGTCATTAATGCAAGTCTCTTCATCCTATTGGACATTCTCATGATGGGGGAAAAGATTTCTCACGAGGACCATAGAATAGTGGAGATCAGAAAGGCAATACCTGTGGTTGACGAAATGAAGAACTCCCACATGCCTGCCAAGGTGGGTACTGCCATACTAGAAAAGCTAATGTGGTTAGTCTCTTACATTAACTACCCGAGCCAAATGTCGTCTCCTGACACGGTGCTGGAAGATATGTCAATTCGGACGTTTTTGACAGACCTCAAGCTTCTTCCTTTGAGGTTTCCTCCCAATGGATCAAAGAGCAAGGGAAAAAAGTCTACTTCGGGGCCCTTCCTGGTGAGAAGAACCAACAACGATTATACCAACAGTCCACCTGTGGCCAACGAGAGTGACAGTTCACCTTATTTTCAGACCACTCCCCCTCCACAGCCAAGTGTTCTCTTCAACACCACCAACCAACTTCAACGATTCGACTTCAACTTACCGGATGTGCTGAATGATAGTGGTTGGGATGAGCTACTGCATTGGATCTCCAATGGCTACTTTTGTCTCGAGCCTGATGAGTATCGGTCGCCATCAATATAATGGCCACTAGTTTTAAATAAACAGCACTGAATAATGACAAAAAAATCTGAACAACTGGTTGGCCCTAATTCTTCTCGGATACCATTCCAGGCACCTCTTCTGTCTCGACATCGCTCTCAGAGTGTGGAGACTCGATGAAATCTACAGAAAGATCACCAAACTTGATGGCAATATCCTCAAGGTTGCACTTGGAAGTTTCCACCCAGAGGAAGTAGATGCATGGCAAGAACAAGATATCGTATCCAGCATTAAGGATATAAAATTTCCAGTTCAGGTTGTCCATACCGAACGACAGGACGAACGAAGCCAATAGACCGAAACCACAGTTGAAAAACTTGAAGACGGTGGTACCGGAGGCTCTGGTCTTGTAAGGAAAAATCTCTGTTGGATAAAGACAGTTCATTGGAGTGAATGCAAAGTTGTAAAAGGCAGAAAACAGACCCATCCAAAACACAGTAGCATATTGGCCGGAAGTGTTATCGGAGCCAGAGTAGGTCTTGACGAAACCACCGAGAACGAAGAAGGAGATAATCATTCCGCACATGCAAACAAAAGACTGCAGCTTTCTTCCAGTGAAGTCAAAACACGAGGCACCAACCACAGCCCAGAAAAAGGTCCACGAGGACATGATGATGTTGATCTGCAGAATGGTCTTGGTGCTGGTGATGCCGGCCTGTTCTAGGAGGAAGGTCAAGTAGTAGGACACAACGGAGGAACCACCTAGCTCTAACATCAAAGCAAGAGAAATGACAATCAGAACACGGTGAATGTTTGGCTTGGTCTTGAACAGAGAGGTCCAGGGGGAGACGTTGGCCTCCAAAGCGATTGCCTTCTCGATCTCAACGATCAAGAGCTCGGCCTCAGCATTATCGATATTGTTGGCAACCTTGAGGGTGTCACGGGCATAGTCGATCTTGCCTCTCGAAACCATAAACCTAGGAGATTCAGGAACAAAAATAAGCATTATAACACTGATGAGGGAAGGAACTATCTGAAGGATAGAGGGGACTCTCCACGCCCAGGTGCTTTGAATGTGCTGCGTACCGTAGGTGACACCAGAAGCAACGAGGGAACCGGCCTGAAAGAAGGTAAAATATATTCCCAACATCAGACCTCTGTACTTGGTAGGTGAGATCTCACCAACCAATAGAGGAGCAGCAGAACCGGCAACTTCAACACCGAAACCAAGGACGATTCTGGAAACAATGAACATGGCAATGTTTTGAGACGCACTCTGCAGAACCACACCAATTAAACAGATACAAGCAGAAACCACAAGGGTTGGTCTTCTTCCAAGTTTATCAGCACATGGCTGCATTACCAAACAAGAGAGAATGTTTCCCATCCACATCGAGGCATTGTAGAGACCCACGGTGGTGGAGTTCAAGGTGAACACACCGGAGAACTGGGGGAGACTGTACAAACTGTTCATCATCATGGAGTCATAACCCATGATGCATGAGTTGGCCATGGAGGTTAACACAACACATATCAGTAGGCCCAGCTGACTCTTTGGAACAGTTCTTGGAATGTTGGGAAAGGCCGACGACATCTTTGCACACTGTACTAAAAGCCTTTCAGACGGCAGTGCCAAAACGGAGCAAAGTGCAACTTATATATCGCTTTTCGCACGATTTGCTTATCTTGTAACTCCTCAATGAGATACCAGCATTGTATTCCGCTAGATAAAATATTGTGCGCCGTTTGTCTAGATAATCGTCACTCAGACTTCCTAACGACGGGGTGTTCAGCCTGCAGGGCATATCCGATGCACGATAAGAGATCTCGGTCGAGTTAAACTCGACCGAGTAATCTTGACCGAGATGATACGACCCCACCCACACCTTTGATACGTGAAGGGAGAACTCGCCCGAGTTAAGGTTAGCCAGTGAAAGAGCAGTGATAAGCATGATACGGGGAAAAAAATCGAGCAAAGGCGGTAAAATACTGCTTTTTATCTCCTGGGATAAATATTTGCCGAAGTCCCTTATTGAGGCAGTCACTATATCTCGGAGTCCTAACTACAGCGATGACCTTCACTAAAGCATTCGACGTCGAAGAGGTACTAGAACAGCTCACTTTGAGGGAGAAAATTGCCCTTGTTTCCGGATTGGATACCTGGCATTCAGTTCCAATTCCAAGACTCGGGGTTCCTTCCATCCGAGTTTCGGACGGTCCTAACGGTGTTCGTGGAACCAAGTTTTTCAATGGTGTTCCTACTGCATGTATCCCATCCGGTACTGGTCTCGGAGCTACCTGGGATCAAGAACTTTTGAATTATAGTGGAAGGATGATGGCAGATCAAGCGAGAGCAAAGGGTGCTCACGTACTGATGGGACCCACTATCAACATGGCTAGATCTCCTCTTGCTGGCAGGTCTTTTGAGTGTTTGTCAGAGGACCCATTTTTGACAGGACTTCTTTCCGCCAATTACGTCCGCGGCGTTCAGGATGGAAAGATTGGAACTTGTCCCAAGCACATGGTTTGCAACGATAAGGAAGATGACAGAATGACTTTGAACGTGGTAGTTTCGGAGCGTGCCATGAGAGAGATTTACCTGACTCCGTTCATGCTCACTGAAAAGTATGCCAAACCATGGGGTTACATGACCTCTTATTCCAAGCTTAATGGGAAACACTGTAGTGAGAATTCCCACTTGCTTCAGGACATTGTAAGAGGGGAGTGGGGGTTCGATGGTTTTTTTGTTTCCGACTGGTTCGGAGTCGTTTCCTGTGCAGACTCACTTAATGCCGGTCTTGATTGGGAGATGCCAGGTCCTTCTATCTGGCGAGGCAAACTTCTAGAATTTTCAGTTTTCCATAAAACTGTCCATGAGGAAACTCTGAATGACGCTGCTAGAAACATGTTGAACCTGGTTAACAAGTGTATTGGTACTGGGGTTCCAGAAAATGCATTCGAAGGAGAGCATGATACCCCAGATGTGCGCGAATGGATGGAAAAATTGGCATCAGACCAGGTTGTTCTTTTAAAGAACAAGAATAAGATTCTTCCTTTCAGAAAAGATAAAAAGGTCCTCGTTATTGGCGAGGGTGGAAAGGTGCCCACCTATTGCAGTGGAGGATGCACCATGGTGGAGCCTTACTACACTGTTTCCCCTTACGATGCAATTGAAACCAAAATTGGTGCTGGTAATGTGAAATATACTCTAGGAGCTCCATTATCCAAGGCTTACCCTTCAGTTGCCTTTTTTTCCCCAAAATTTCCGGACGTCAAGGACCCAATCACCTTCTCTGTGTATGATGACGCTCGTACCATCCCTGACAGAGTTGCAATAAAAACAGAAGCCGTTTCAACTGTGGATGCAATTCTCGGGGATTTTGATCCAGCACTACTCAGAGACAAGGAAATGCTTTATGCCAAATTTTTGTCAGAAATAGTGGTGCCCGAATCCGGATACTACTCCTTCTCGTTGCAAGTGTCCGGCCAGGCCAAGATCTTCATAGATGATGAACCTGTCCTGATCAATGATTTGGAGCACAAGACTAGTAGTGCTTTTGGCCTTGATGCTCCAGAGGTTTTTAAAGATGTTTATTTTGAGAGTGGAAAGACATACACATTCGAGCTTGATTTTGAGAGCACACCAGGCAAGTCTTCGTTCATCACGGGTTATGGAAGTGTTACCTGTGGCATGACCAAGACCCACGACGCCGAAAAATGCATAGCCGAGGCTGCTGCCTTGGCCAAGGATTTTGACCAGGTAGTGCTACTCACTGGTTTGAACAAAGACTACGAGGTTGAAGGTATTGATAGAAAGCACATGGGTCTTCCACCCTTCCAGGATAAACTTGTGGAGGAGGTCCTCAAGGCCAACGCCAATACCGTGGTTGTGATTGAATCAGGAACTCCAGTAACAATGCCATGGGTTGACTCTGTGGATACACTGCTGCACTCTGCTTATGCTGGCAGCGAAACAGGAACAGGAATTGCTAACGTGCTGTTTGGTGATGTTAACCCGAATGCAAAGCTTCCTATGACATATCCCAAGAAGATGGAAGACTCTGGGTCTCATCCTTTCTTTGAGGTCAGCAACGGAAATCTCGTTTATGGAGATGATATCTTTGTTGGTTATAGATACTTTGAGAAGAAAAAGATTGAACCTCTGTTCCCCTTTGGTTATGGTCTTTCTTACACAACCTTTGAGTTGAGTGGCCTTGAGTTGCGTGATTCTGCAGATGGAAATGACTTAGTGGTTAGTATAAAAGTGTCTAACACAGGATCCATTGCTGGTGCCGAAGTTGTTCAGCTCTACGTTTCTTTCAAATCTTCTTTGGTCGACAGAGCCGAGAAGGAGCTGAAAGGTTTCGCCAAGGTATTCCTGGAACCAGGCCAGACAAAGGAAGCCACAATAATTGTCGAGAAGAAGCTTGCCACTTCCTTCTTCAACGAGAGACTCAACAAGTGGACTTCTGAACAAGGCACATACACTGCGTGGGTGGGAACTTCCAGTGTGGACCCCAATGCTCTGCTTGGGAGATTCACCACGCTGAAGACAGTGCACTGGTCAGGACTCTGAGAACAAATCTGGAGAATGGGCTAATATTTCAAAGTATCAATCACGGGTAAACAACATATTATTACAAAAATATTCAATCGTTCTAGTAGCCGGCACCAATTATGTGGTCCACGTAATTTTTCAATCATGCAGTGCGGCTCAGATAATGCACGTGACCGTCATTTTTTTTTGACAAAAAATTGTTCACCTGCGGCAAGATAGGATCCTCACCAGACAACCAACCTACCTCTACTTTACCACACAAAAATGTCTGGACAACTGCCAGGATTAGCTGCAGATGCAGTGCTCAAGACTTCAGTTCCTGTTCCTGCTGATTTCAAGGAGGTCAAGGGAGTGGACTACTCCAAGCCTGAGTCCAGGGACATGCGGGCTACTGACCTGATCAAGTCGATGAAGACCATGGGATTTCAAGCCTCCAACCTGAGCGAGGCCTGTGAAATCATTGACGAGATGAGATCTTGGAGAGGCAAGAACCTCAAGGATTTGGAAGACCACGAGAAAAAGGGAGAATTTGATGATGAAGGAAACCAGAAGACTACCATCTTCATGGGCTTCACTTCCAACCTCATCAGTTCTGGTCTCAGAGACACCCTGAGGTTTTTGGTCCAAAACAAGATGGTCAGTGCTATTGTTGCAAGTGCTGGTGGAATTGAGGAAGATCTGATTAAGTGTCTTGCTCCAACTTACATGGGAGAGTTCCATCTGAGAGGTGCCAAGCTTCGCGATGAAGGTATGAACCGTATCGGTAACCTGATCGTTCCAAACGACAATTACTGCAAATTCGAGGAGTGGATTGTGCCAGTGCTAGACACAATGCTAGAGGAGCAAGAGGCCAGTGTTTCCAAAAGAGGCACCGAGGCGTTGGATGGAGATGCTCCATTCTGGACTCCTTCTCGTGTCATCGACAGGCTGGGCAAGGAAATTAACGACGAGTCCTCTGTTCTTTATTGGGCCCATAAGAACCAGATCCCAATCTTTTGCCCTGCCTTGACCGACGGATCTATTGGTGATATGCTTTTTTTCCACACCTTCAAGGCCTCGCCCAAGCAACTGAGGATTGACATCGTACAGGACATCAGAAGGATCAATTCCATGTCCATGGAAGCCTCGAGAGCAGGAATGTTGATCCTGGGAGGTGGTCTTGTGAAGCACCACATTGCAAATGCGTGTCTCATGAGAAACGGTGCTGATTGGGCAGTCTACATCAACACGGGCCAGGAGTTTGACGGATCTGACGCTGGTGCCAGACCAGACGAGGCCGTCTCTTGGGGCAAAATCAAGGCCGAGGCCCGCTCTGTCAAGGTTTTTGCCGACGTCACCCTTGTTTTCCCGCTCATTGTCGCCGCTACGTTTGCCAGTAAATAGATAAATACGATGCGATTCGTACGTGTTGTAAATACATGTTCTGAATACATGTTGAGTTGTTTTCGCCATTTGCAAACAAAAATCACCAACAAGCCACCAACATGATTGGTCGGAATGCTCAACAAGCATTCCACATTTTGAATCCCAATCCTTGCTATAATGCATCAAATAACTTCTTCATCAGCCACCCTCTTCCCGGCTTCTGCCTTCCTTACACCGTCACCCTCTCTTTCACCTCTGGAGCCCAACTTGTGTACTTTGGTCTAGCAGTGTTATATGGAATGTAGGCACCTTTGGTGTAAGTGAGGTTTGACTTGTGCACTGGTGGCACCGGGTATGCCCTCTCAGGCTTTTCGGCTTCGGTCAGCTTGTTTGGTGGAGTGTCAGTTCCGTAAGCCAACCAGTAATGCCAACCAGGCTCGACCTGCGACATATCAAATCTCCAGAAGTCAATATATTCCACCCATCTGGTTCTAAGATGGATTTCCTCCGGGTTCTGGGTCTCGTAGAACTTGTTACCGAAATCATCAATGCCCACCAAAGTACCACTCTTGGTATCGTTGAGGTAGGCAATCTGCTTGAGCGAGCGCTTCACGCCCGACCTCCAGAAGTTTCTTAGCGTACGCGCCAAAGAGGTAGACATTTTGTTGTGTTGTTGTCGTTGCTGGTAACGTAGTGAACTGTACTTCTGAGCTGAAGGGTTTGCTTATAACGACTGGTGTCTATTGGCTGGAACAATTGAGTCTGTGAACGACCATTTAGCCGTGCACATAACCACGTCGTAATTTACTAATATGAGTTTCACACGACACAATTTGCTGTTGCATGACGGTAGAACCTGCCGTTGTCCTGCACTCGTTTCAGATTTGCGTTTACTTTATTTACTGGGTTTTGGTATCCTGCAACCAAATATCTAAAAGCTTCAGATCTGACCATTAACCCTTTGGTTCAAGTGATCTTGCACGCAGCAATTGAGGACCTTCCATGAGGGCGTTCGAAGCCTAAATAATATTGGCTGCAACCGAAAGAAAGTTTAATTTTCGTTTCAGGGTATAACTGAATTTTTGGTATGCCAAAGTCGGCAGTTCAATTAATGCTTCAGAAACCTTAACCGAATACATTGTGTTTCATAGAACAAGGGATTAAGCCGAATGCTTGCATCTCTGAATATGCAACCCGCCTTTCAAATGTGCAATCCCTCAATAAATAGATATTCCACAATGGATATTCGGCCATGGCTTTTTCTGTCCAGTCAGCAAATAATGATTGATCAGGCAACTAAACTATGAAAGTGCGAAACGCCACGGGTGAATCTACTGAGAAGCTACAGACATGATACCAGATTCCAATGTCTAAGGTGGAGCACCAGATTTATGCAGCTGAATATCAGCTCTGTAAGACTCCTCTCAATAGAATTGGACAATTCTGGAACGGGATTGTACAATGCGGCTTTGAGTAGCTACTGAATATTTGAGTAAGGTTATTGAGAACTTAATTCTCATTTTGGTTCCCAAGTGCATGTATAGAGGACGCAGTACTATGCAGAGAGACATCATCGAAAGTACGGCGACCAATACAGCAATAAAGTGTAGGCATCAGCAGGGAAGATACGCAAATTGAAAACTGCATGATAATGAAATTGAAAATTAGCAGATTATTTTCAGTCACCACACCCACAGTAGTTGATGTTTAGTTATCTGGCTAAATCAAATGAACCCTGTGAATCCACGGTAAGTCGCGCTAAATAGCCCTGGCCGCATGTCCATAAAGGGGTAAGGCGAGGGGCCGAAGAAGGTCGACCCTTCCGTCCTCTAGGGTCTAACGGGTCTTTGTACTAAAGTAGATTCATGTTACGCCACCGAAAGGCACTAGGATTTTTAAAAAGCCCACCAGTTCAGCAATAATCTGGAAATGTTTCAAAAAATGCATCACCTTCCTGTCACTTATCAGATATGGTTAAACCGAAAGAAAAAGAACCGAAAGTTTATGGGATTTCAGTCTGTACGACGCCTTATTCTGTATGTAAGATTGGATCTTGATTATGTACTGCAGACGGGGACTGAATAGACCAAAACATTATAAGACCCGTCAAGAGCCTCTCTTGAAAACGGACGCACGTCCTATTGAATTCACACACTTAGAATTTCTTGCATGCAGTGGGAACCATCGGACTTAGAGCTCCAGCTTCAATGTTTCAGTAAACTTTCGATCCTAATCCGTTGAAGCCACTCTTGTAAAATATCTTGATTCAGCCCTTCATGATTAAATTCTAGGCTCCTACATCTAATTCGGTCAACTTTGTGGCTGTTTGAGACGGGAACATACACGGCACCGGTGAGGATCGAGTTGAGAATGTACAGGGGTAAGGGGGTGAATGGGGGAGGGGGAGTGCAAATGCAAAGCGGCGGGTTAACGGCAACAATCAAATTGACATTACACACCGCTTAACCTCCGACGTTAGCACCATTTTAAACAACTAAAAAAGGCTGACGAGACGCAACTTGAGAGCTTTGTGATAGTTGTAATAATACAACTAAAAGATGCTTTTCAGATTAAGAGCAATAGATGCGTTTAATCGTGCTGTAGAAGGTAGACATCGACATGCCAATCAAGTTCTTCCAATTTTGTCCGTGAGAGACATCTCTACCCGATATCTAGCCACCACGACTCGTGGTTTTGTCAAAGGGAAGAATTGCAATTATAGCGTTTCCTTGATAGTGATTGTTTTACGCTAGAGCCTTCCAAGCAACATAGCGTACCATGGTAAGGCCCGTTCAGGGGTTGCAAAGGGGGTATCTGGTTGGGCCACTGTGCATGCATATCGAGTTCCAACGAGACTAGCGACAAATCTAACCAAAACAACCAAAATATTTTGCCACTAAAAAGACACGCGGGGAAAGGTTAGTGAGAACTTTCTTTCCTACTGCCCACTTTTACTTGCTATAGTGATCCGGTTGGGATATGGTGAGAAAGAGTCGGATCGGACCTTGCGTCCCGATAATGCAAGTTCACAGGCCTGACGTATTAGTGCACGACTTTTAATGCGCCGATCATGTGAAATGTGGAACACAAGCCAAACTGTGGATACTTTTGAACACTGCTCAAGAACACAAAACTGGAATAATTGAATCAAATAAGGAAGGCTAATGTGGAGCGCAAATGAATTAGGTAATGCCCTAGAGTCGATCACATGCCAGTTTGTAGAATAGCCTTACCGTGTTAAGGCCCATGCTTCATGTCCTGCCTTCAGAACACCGTTTTAGGTATAAGGCCTTGATTGCCGAAATTTTAATTTCGAAGTGTATTCGAAGATCAGAAGCTTCAGGTACAGATCTGGAATTTACAGTCAAAGGATCAGATCGATGCAATATTTTCTGACAGCTTCTGGACATCTTTTCTGTTCTAAGGAACTGGATGCGACCTCGTAGTTTGATGCTCACAAACCTTTCTAAATTTCTTGAAATACTATTCTAGAACTCGCAGCACAATTAAGTGATCCATACACCATGAAGTCCATGGTGCCCCAGGTGTCCAGAACAGAATTCTGGCCTGCCACATGATTCAAATCGACCATTTTCTGACATTTCGTCAGAATCTCCCGATTGCATTCAAATTAACATCCCAAAAAGGAAACAAACTGTACAATTACTACATTTGTACAACTACATTTGGACGCGGCCATTTTGAATGCTGCATCTTGCCTAGCATAGTGTCAATGTCATTATCGGACTCTACTCGGCCCACTCAACCGTTTCGGTCACATTTGCTCTTTGGATTTTCCATTAATCCAATTTTGTGCTGCACAATCTGAGCAGGAGCAATGAATGTGATGATACATGTGTTGAAGGTTGCTCAGGTGGTAGTGGTCGAGAACATTTCAGGATGAGAAGGACGGCATTAACAACCCGATCTGTCAGCTACGTGCCCAACTCAAACTGTTAATTACGACTTTCAACGTACATGAACGCATCATGCACAGGTGCAGGAAGGACTGCCTGATAAATCCACCTATAACCATAAGCGCTATCACCACTGTTATCATTGTTAGTGTATTGAGTTGAACGGCTTTGACCAGGGTGGATTCACTTTAGTAACCTTGGTCTGGAGAGTTGCTTAGATTGCTTTGTGGCTCTTTGTTCCGGAAATTGTTCGCAACCCTTCACCCCTTCAGTGACCCTGAACAATAGTGAACCATTTTGTTTGAGCTAGAAATTTCCAGCATTTGCCCATCGGATAATCTCGGCATGACATAACACACTCTGGAATGTGGGAAACTGTAGTACAAGCCCAGATAGCCCTAAAATCGACCTCTTGTATCAACCGAAGGGGGTCGCATCTTATGCATGATCTTAGACGGGACTAACTGGACTAATGCCACTTTTATAGGACTCTTATCCAAAACGCACCTCCTTCGCTTTATGTTAACGGCAAAACAAATGCAATCTGCACAGTTTCCGCAAAGCCCGCCTTATGCTACTTCTCAGTTTAATGTTATTAGACCGGGTCTGAAATCTTTGAGTCACGATGCGACTTGCATATTTCAGCATACCGCCCTTTGACTCTACCACATGCGATCTATCTGTCTCCTGTATGTCGAGCATGCCGTGCATGTCTCGTCAAGGCCTGGAAGAATTCCTAGACGGTTTTGCATACGAATGCCCGAAACCAATTCGCTCCCTAAAGATCTATAAAGAGTAGCCAACGCCCTTGTACAAAAAATTTCATGGGCTCATTTGTTGTCTTGCTGTTTTTGCAATAACGGTCCAGGAATCTCTCGTTACTTATCTTCACCGGTATTTCTCTCTACATCTAGCCAAAAATGATGTCGAAATGGGCAAATATCGTTCTGATGCTGGTGCTTTCCTTTGCACTCTTTGTATCTGCCCAAGCCGAAGCTGATGCAAACGGAATAGCCTCAAATCCAAGCTACCCTCGTGCACCAGTTCCAGCCGGTCCTCAACGCCCTGGTCCTAAAACCGTCACTCCACCTGGTGAGGCAAAGCCATCGGGTCCTGGAAAACCACCTGGAACGCCTCCAAAGCCTTCGGCATTTCCTGGAAAACCACCTGGCACGCCTCCAAAGCCTTCGGCATTTCCTGGAAAACCAGGAAAGCCCTCGTTCCCAGGAGGCCCACCACCAGCGCATACCTACCACAATACCACTCTTACCACATCCGCAATAGGCTTCTCACTGAGTGCAACTGCGTCAGTCACCAGTGCCCCAGTCACTGGAACAGCTAGTCTCTGGGAGCAATGTGGAGGAAAATCATACACAGGGCCTTCCGCCTGTATCGTTGGAGCTTATTGTTCGCACCAGGATGATTGGTATGCTCAATGTGTTACCAGTGCCCCTATCCCAGGCTACCAGACTCTTTGGGGTCAATGTGGTGGTGTTAACTACAAGGGTCTCAACAAATGTCAACAAGGATTTGAATGTTCTACATTCAATGAGTACTATGCTCAATGTCTTTTGCCTACTGCTAGTGCATAGACAAGAACTCTGACTCCAAATCTCTCGGTTGAGCTGCTATATCGACAGAATAGCACTTGACTTTTTTTTTATCTATCAGCTCGTGTTTTCAGATACCCTCTATTTCTAGGTATTCATAGCTGAATACTGGGATTCGCTTTCCACCAGTCCTTTGCCTCAATGGGTGCTATGAGTGGCATGCCTGTTCTCCTCAACTTCAAATGTGTTAGCTCTCGTGATTCTCACACATGAATTTTTTTTCTGAGTTTACTTCTCTAAAACACCATTTTGTTTTCCACGATGGACCCTAAAGGTTGAAGCAATGCTGTTGATACCCGATTTTTCTCTACTTTTATTTCAATTCAACAAGCTACAGCTGCACTAGCGATGGGATGTCTGTGGCATCAGCATGTGGAATTCAGATCAAAGAAAAAAAAACACAAACAGAAAAAAGACCCACACTGGACACCAACGGTGTATTCTCTCCATATTGGAATGCTTGTCGGATCATTACTGTGCGGCTGAGCAATCGGCATTGCTGCAGGATGATCTAGTCACGTGCTTTTTTTTTCTTTCAGCCTCACATCCAGGATTTAGTTTGCAAAGCTTTATTCGTTGGGAAGTTCTGAGTTTATTTACTATTATTTCGATGAAGAGTTTGATTTTCCGTCTCTCATATTCCCTTATTTTTCAAGTTGGGTGTTATTTTTGGTCCCGTGATAGATTTTTCAACATTTCACTTCTAAACTGGTGGATTCGGTCCACATTCCCTCCTACTCTTTTTCCTTTTTGTACAAAGAATTTACGGCTTTTCACAATACAATTTTTGAATTCTCATCAAATCATTCGTCGTAGCTATCACTTCCTTCGTCCCACCCGAACTCGTAATCTTGTTTGGCAGTCTCGAGATCGTCGACTATCTCTTCAACAGCACTGCTCTTCATCCGTTTCTGAGCTATCTGTTTCATGGAATGCAACATGACCTTGGCTCTATCAGAAACATCCAATGACGTCAAAACCTCTCCATTCGGGGGAACGAGTCCCACAGGGTATGAGGAAGGAGGCTGAAAAGGCGTTTCGCTGGGGTATGTCACCACACCGCGCATCTGCGTTCCGTATTCGCACAAATTCGAAAGCTCAGAGAACTCTTCAACTTGGTCTTTCAAATTTTCTGGAAAGCTCGATCTGGCAATGACGGATCTTGAGAAAACGTGAGGGGTCCTTTGCCGTGCTGTCGACTGCAACCATGATTTACCCGGTTTCAGATACAGAGTTTGCGGGCTGAGATTATACACAGTAGCAGAATCACTCAGTTTCAACCTCAAATCAGTCACCAGGGTCCTATGAGAGCCCATGGTCAATCCCATCTCGACATCTGCCATAGAAACTCTGTTATCCCTCTGCGATAGTAGAGTGGCCCATGAATCCACAACTATGTTCTGCACCGCACTGACTTGCCACAAACTTGAGCCATCAACACCTCGAAAACCAGAGCCACTGGTAGAAATAGGTATATAGATAGAAGCAGTTTTCATGAGCTCAGTCGTAGTCTGGATCCTAGACATGGCTCTTTTGGAGTCAAGCAGATTCGTCTGAGTATCTTCGTACAGTCCCCATACGAAAGTTGTTGTTTTTGGCAAAAACTCATCTGTTATATCTGCCATGAATTCGCTCGTAAATCCACCCCATGCGGAGTCCACGTCGGTGATTACATTCAGACCAGAGAGCAGATCGCAACTCTCCAGAGAATGTCTGAACTCTTCGTCCATAAAGTCGGTACCAAGTCCTTTATTTTTCCACTCCTCCGAGCCAACACCAAATTCGTCAAACTTTACCTGCTCACTGGCTTGCGAAATGCACTTGCCAAAGTCCTTACCATCCAGGACCCACCTGTTCAATATGTTAAAACCAGTAGGTGGATACAAAGTTCTCGCATAATCGGTAAAGTATCGTGTGTCATTAATAGACAGAGCAGGCAATTCGCGCTGGAGCTCATCCAGACCTTGCTGGTACGCATTCTTGGGTATTCTAGGTGCCCTGACCACCTCCACCCTCTCTGACCAGTCTAGACCGTCATCTGCACGCTCAGAATATTCGTGCCTTCCCATGGCACCAAAGCCATCTTTGGCGTCCCACATCAACGAACGGGCAGTATATGAAACCGATTTACCATCTGCCGAAACATTGGGCTTGAAGAAGACTTCTGGGTCCACCTTGGACTTGGACGCTCCTCGGCTATAGTCCAGATACCCATCCTGCGAGTTGAAAAGATGTGTAGCCAGATGATTGGACCTCTGAGAAAACGATACGGTGATGACCTCGTGCATCGTCAAATTCAAAGCACAGGGTATGTGGAGAACAGAGGCTGCAATCTACCACAGGACCTTTCTTGGTGTAAGTCTGAAATATTTTACCCGCAGAAATGAAATATGGTTCCACTATCAGGGGGTACTGAAACGTTGGGCATTGCACTACTATAGCATCCTCTTTCTCTGCCGTGTTCTGCTGAGGAGAAGCGGGAAATTCGTTGGATCTGGAGCTGGAACTCATTTTTGAGCATTGATTCGTGATAAGAGAAGCTTTTGCCAATCTGGGAATTCATGAAAGGTTATTAGCTTCTAGGCTTGGAGAACAATGCATCCATAATGAGGCTGAGACCGTTTTGTGCCTAGGCGCAGCCACACGAAAGCATACTTGCAACACAGGTGTCAAAACCTGCAAAGTAAATATATTTCAGGAACCTTAAAATTCTGAAACAGCCAAAAGTAAATATGCTGCTGTTACCGTTAATTTTGACGGACTAATCATCGTCGGAATGATTTAAGGCAGGCTCTATTGACAATTTACCGGATTGGGTCGTGAATACGGCCAGGGATTGGGCGGAAGAAGGACACCGCCACGGCAAACTTGACATGATTTCCTGTTACGGTAAAACACAGCCTGCATTCGTGGCTCGGTCTCCGCGATGGCATGCCCTCCATGCTATAATAGGATTCTCTTTTTTCGAGTTTTTGTTTTCTGTTCCACCCGTTGCAGAGTATTGCTAGAGCCTTTTTTCAAATATATACGCCCGAGTGTTCTTGTGAACTCTTTTAGATTCCTTCTTCTTATTCACAGGAGTCGCAAAGCTCGTTTTCAAAGAGAAATAAAGACCAGATCAGCTCTATTATCGTTGGTCGACGCGCGTTACTCCAGGCCAGTTCAACAACAAAGACAACATGTGGTAGGTGATTTGAAAAAAACTTTTTTATAGGCGTTTTATTAACCTTTTCAAGCGGCATTTTTGGATACGTGAATTACCTCGTTGATAAGTCGAGAGGTGAAATTGTGGATAACCTTGTGGAGGGCTTGAAGAGATTGGAGTACAGAGGTTATGACTCCACCGGAATTGCCATTTCCGGCGACTCTGAAGGCGACATCTCCATCTACCGTCAGGTTGGAAAGGTTGCTGCCCTTGTTCAAGAAATTAAGGACCAGAAGCCAGATATGTCCAAGACCTTTATGAGCCACGTCGGTATCGCCCACACCAGATGGGCCACCCACGGGAATGTGACCACTGCCAACTGTCACCCTCAGACTTCTGATCCCAACAATGATTTTGTGGTTGTACACAATGGTATCATCACGAACTTCAAGGAGCTCAAGACGCTGTTGATTAACAAGGGCTTCCAATTCACCTCTTCCACCGACACAGAGGTCATCGCTGCGCTGTTCAAGCACATCTATGATACAAGTGTCGAAAACGGTCATCATCTCGAGTTCTACGAGCTCACCAAGCAAGTGTTGCACGAGCTTGAGGGTTCTTATGGTTTGCTGGTGATTTCTCCTCATTACCCAGATGAACTTGTTGCTACCAGAAAGGGTTCCCCTCTTCTAATTGGTTTCAAGAGTGACAAGAAGCTGACTTCTGACTTCATAGACGTCGAGTTCGAACAGCCAGCTTCATCCGAAGATGCTGGTGATTCCAGCAACTTGAGGGTTGGTGCTCCAACAGCCCCAAGCTACCATGCATCTCAATCGAGAGCCTTCTTAGCTGAAGACGGAATCCCAAACCCAATTGAGTTCTTCCTGTCTTCTGACCCTTCGTCAGTCATCAAGCACACCAACAAGGTGATGCACCTGTTTGACGACGATATCGTCCACGTGGCCAACGGTGCTTTCCACATCCACAGAGCAAAGAACGTTTCTGGAATTTCTGCAACACGTTCTATCCAGACCTTGGAACTGGAGTTGACCCAGATAATGAAGGGTAACTATCCTCATTTCATGCTAAAGGAGATCTGCGAACAACCAGACTCGACATTGAACACTATGAGAGGTAGAGTGGACTTTGCCAATCACAAAGTCACTCTGGGTGGATTGCAAGAGTTCCTTCCCGTGATGAGAAGGTCCAGACGTATAATTATGATTGCATGTGGTACTTCATACCATTCTTGTCTTGCCACAAGATCGATCTTTGAGGAGCTGACGGATATTCCAGTAGCCGTCGAGCTTGCCTCCGACTTCATCGACAGAAAATCGCCTGTCTTCAGAGACGACGTTTGCGTTTTTGTCTCTCAGTCTGGTGAAACTGCCGATTCTCTGCTCGCCTTGAAATACTGTAAAGAGAAAGGTGCCTTGACTGTTGGTATCGTCAACACCGTGGGCTCCAGCATTTCGCGTGAGACCAACTGTGGAATCCACATCAATGCTGGTCCTGAGATTGGTGTTGCTTCCACCAAGGCTTACACTTCTCAGTACATTGCTCTCGTGATGATGGCGTTGCAGGTGGCCAATGACCGCATTTCCCAGATCGACCGTCAGACCGAGATCATCGAAGGGTTAAAGAGAATACCCGAACAGATCTCGACCGTATTGAAACTTGAATCCAAGATTAAACAGTTGTGCAAGGACCATCTGAAGGGCCAGAAGTCACTACTGCTGTTAGGAAGAGGTTATCAGTATGCCTCTGCTCTGGAAGGTGCTTTGAAAATCAAGGAGATTTCCTACATTCATTCCGAAGGTGTCATGGCTGGTGAGTTAAAACATGGAGTTCTCGCCTTGGTTGACGGTGATCTACCAATCATTGCCTTTGCCACCAGAGACTCCCTCTTTCCCAAGGTTCAGTCTGCCATCCAGCAAGTAACTGCTAGAGATGGACGTCCTATCATTGTCTGTAATGAGGGAGACGACGTTCTGCCAGCAGACCAGACCTTGGCCACCTTGCATGTGCCAACCACAGTTGACTGTTTGCAAGGTCTTTTGAATATCGTGCCAATGCAACTCATCAGTTACTACCTTGCGATAGAAGAAGGCCATGACGTGGATTTCCCCCGTAACTTGGCCAAGTCTGTCACAGTGGAGTAATTTTGACCTCAAACTGTCTGATACAGTAACGAACCAGAAGTACATTAACGGTTGATGACTGATGCATTTTCCATCTGCCCGCTTTCCTGGTATCGTTTTTTGACGTACTTTTTAATATGATATCCCTTTTTCTAATCGTCATTGTCTATTTTCAGCAGTTGTAGTTCTACATTATCACTTTAACTGAAAAATCAAAGTAACTAATACCCGTTATTGATAAGCCATTCCTTAACATCATGAATAGACCTGTTCACCCATGCGATACGAACGCTGTTCAACTCCAAAGCCTGGTTGAGCCTTCTTTCAAAGGCAGCAACGTCTTTGTTCTCAAAGAACTCGCGAACCTCATCAACGAGCTGGGAGTCCGAAAATTTATCCAGAGTATCCTTGATGAACCTGTCCAAAGTCCAATTGGAGAACTTTTCAAAGACAGTACTATAATTGTCTTTGAAAAAGCCCCAGAACCTCAGACGCATAGCAGGGTTAGACGATAATGATTTGCCAAGATAAAGAGCATCCATCTGAGGAACAGCTGGACTCAAGAAAAGTTTGAGCACCTCATCTCCATACTCATGTTTGACTGAGTTGATAGAACCAAGAGCAACAAGTGCTATTTCATGAGAGGATGCAGATTCAGGTTCGTGAGCCTCTTTCAGGACAATATCAAACTCTTCACGACTTGGATTGTTGGAAAGAAGTGTTTGCCAGACAGCTAGCTTCAAGTTTGATTTTACTCCAGATTTGAGAAGCTTCTTTGCCTGCTCAATTGCTTCAGGAACACCGAACAAACCGGAATGCTCAAGGAGAAGAGGACGAGCGACACTGAGCTTTAAGTCATCATCCCACGAAGTAATGAGACCATTTCCAGTCGAGTATACCTTCTGAATGAACTTTTTCAAAGGAACTGCCACGTCTGGATGACTGCCAAAAGCAGTACTCAATGCAGTGATCTGTTTCCCAAGCTCTGCCCAGACAGCGTACTCCTTGATGTCCCCTGCCTTGATGCCATCAAAGAACGACAACACAGATGAAATATTAATCAAACCAGCAGATGCAGCCGCAGTCGTGTCGGCAATCAAACCAATCTTGTCCTCCGCAGGAAGAGAGCCAAACCTTGACGCAATTTGTTCAAGGATCTGAGGCTCGTAGATAACACGATAAACACCCGTGGTACCTTTGTTGAATTTATTCGAACCAGGAGATTCCAAGACCTTCCTTCTCGAATCCAACGCCAAATTAGCCTGGTCATGATTGCCCTCTAGTGAAAGAGGGATCCACCACAGAGCCTCGTCCTCAGTTGGGGTGAGATTATCACTTGCAAGAAAACGGTGCTGAGAAATTACCACGGACTTGGAATCGTCTTCCTTCTCCATTACAGTCACATACGGGAACCCTTGTTTTTTTGTCCAAACATTCATGCGCTTGTTGATATCATATCCAACAGATTCAGAGACACTGGTCCAGAGATCTTCAGTGGTAGCGTTTCCAAAGGCATGCTTCTTGAGGTAGATGGAAACACCCTTCAAAAACTTGTCGACGCCGACAGCCGAACCCAACATCCTGATGATACTGGCGCCTTTCAAATAGGAGATGGGATCAAAAACTTGGTCAATTTCGAGGGCAGAGTATATGGGGACTTCGATCGGATGAGAGCTTCTGAGACTGTCCAGCTCCAAAGCTGCCTCCAACGCCTCGGAGACAAAGTCGGTGAATATCTCGAAATCAGGATAAATATGGTCCACTGCCAAATATCCGACATAAGTAGCAAATCCTTCGTTGAGCCATAGTTCGTCCCACCAATCCATGGTCACCAGGTTGCCAAACCATTGGTGAGCTAGCTCATGTGCAACGATGTACGCTACTCTTTTTTTGTACTTGAAGTCGGCAGAACTCTCATCAAAAATGATTGCAGAAGTACGGAAAGTCACCAATCCAAAGTTCTCCATAGCATTAGAGCCATGAGTAGGCGTGGCCAACAAATCCAACTTGGGGATCGGGTAATCAACATCAAAAACCTCAGTGAAATAGTCCACCGTTTTGGTAGCTGTATCCAGAGCAAACTTGGCATCCTTGATTAGTCCAGGAAGTGTGTAAACCCTCACTGGAATATGCTTCCCGTTGACCGCAGTTTTTGTAAAGGCCTCCACGTACTCGAGCTTACCAATTGACCATGCCAACAGGTACGTGCTCATTTTCACAGTGGTCTCGAATTTGACCTCTTTTAAGGTATTCGGTCCACTGGAGCCCTTTTTACCACTATCAAGTGTCTTAGAACCGGCAACGGGCATATTTGAGAGAACGGTCAAGTCCTCGTCGGCCACAACCGTAACGTCAAATGTAGCCTTCAGATTGGGCTCGTCAAAACATGGAAACGCAGCTCTGGCGTCAGTGGCCTCGAATTGAGTAACAAGAAGATATTCAGTTTTTCCTTCCGAGTTTTGATATGGCGATTTGAAAAAACCAGTCATATCCTCGCGGAGCTTAGCAGAGTATTGGATAGCCGCAATCAGTTTCCCCGCCGTTACCTCTTGGGACAGTTTAAAGGTGACAGTCTCTTTTTTCTCGTCATAACTAATTTGCCCCACTTCAATTGCAGAGGTGGTCTTCAACGAGCTGTGAGTGAGTTTGACACTTTTGATTTCCAAATATTTCGAATTGATCACCAATTCATCAGTGGGAGATGCCACATCCATGGATATCTCCACATAGCCGTCAAAGCTGTCTGAGGCCACGTCCACATTGTAAATCCTGATACCGTAATGGGTTGGAAGCAGAGACTTTGGTAGCAGTTCTCTCGTTCTCTCGGTCATGGTAACAACAAACTAATCCAAAATATCCGTCTTGTGGGTCTAAAGAGATCGTCGAAAGGTTGTATTCGCACGGCCCTCTTAATCAGCTCATCGCCGTTACGAGCCCAGAGTCTTCCCCCATAGTCGCTCGTTTAGATATTTAGTCTCAACAAGATCTCAGGTATCGAGGACTTTACAGCTAGGCCGATGACGAACAAATCTACAATGTTTTACTCCGAAAAATTGGGGCTAAGTCCTACTGACAACTCCAATTGGCGATTGCGTACGTCAATTTTGGGTGCTGCGGTTTGGGAGTATGTTGAAACACCCCAAGCTGATGACCTTCAGTCGCCAATGGAAAAGTACCTTCTCGGGTCCGACGATTTTGAACCGCCTGTTTACAATGACCGAGCAAAAGATGCATTTGAATCTGCTATCAGAGGAGCAGAGTTTTTTAGACTGCTACAGGCCGAAAACGGGACTTGGCCCAACATGTACCAGGGTCCCATGTTCATGACGGTTGGATATGTCGCCGCATGCTACTTCACCAAAACTACAATCCCGGAGGCTTACAAAACTGAAATGATAAGGTATTACATAAACGTTTCGCATCCTGTTGATGGTGGCTGGGGCCTTTACAACGTGGACAAATCCACGTGTTTTGGCACTACCATGGGCTATGTGTGTCTAAGGCTACTGGGACTGCCTCCGCACCACACCGCCTGTGTGAGGGCCAGAGACACTTTGCATCGACTGGGAGGAGCCGTGGCGAATCCGCACTGGGGAAAGGCATGGCTGGCAATTTTGAACCTTTATGAATGGGAGGGTGTTAACCCGGCACCAGCAGATTTATTCATGCTCCCCCAGTTTCTTCCAATATTCCCCTTCAAGTGGTGGGTTCACACGAGAGCGATATACCTTGCAATGAGCTATGTGAGCTCTGTCAAGGGAAAGTGTGAACTTGACCCGTTGCTTCTCTCGCTCAGAACCGAAATATATACCAAATCGTACGGAAAGATTGACTTTTCGAAAGAGAGAAACAACGTGTGTGGGGTGGACTTGTATTATCCCCATACCGGGTTTCTGAACTTAGCAAACAACGTGCTAGTGTTCTACGAGAAGTATTTGAGACCAGATTGGTGGAACCGCAGAGTGAATAAAACAATTTACGAATATGTTCTGAAGGAGTTGAAAAACACAGAATATCTTGGGATTGCACCCGTGAGTGCTGCGTTCAACACGATAGTGACTTACATGGAGGAGGGTCCTGACTCTGAAAATTTCCAAAAAACCAGAGATAGACTTAGCGAGGTGCTATTCAAAGGGCCTGAGGGAATTACCGTGATGGGCACCAATGGCTCCCAAACTTGGGATTCGAGTTTTGCTGTTCAGTACTTGTTCATGGCTGGCCTTGCAGAGAGACCCGAGTTCAAGGATATGATTGTGAGAGCATACAAGTTTCTGATTCGTTCGCAGTTCACAGATGAGTGTGCTGATGGAAGTTTCAGAGACAGGAGGAAAGGAGCCTGGCCTTTCTCGACGAAAGAGCAAGGTTACACCGTCAGCGACTGTACTGCTGAGGCGATCAAGGCGATAATCATGGTCAAAAACAGCGAGTACTATAAGGATGTGCACCATCTTTATGACGAGAGGAATCTTGAAGATGGAATAGACATTCTTCTGGGGCTCCAAAATGTGGGCAATTTCCATTTTGGTTCCTTTTCAACATACGAAAAAAACAAGGCCACCCCGTTGCTGGAGGCCTTGAACCCAGCCGAAGTTTTTGGAAACATCATGGTGGAGTATCCATACATCGAGTGCACAGACTCGTCAGTGCTTGGTTTGAAATACTTCACCGATCACTACGAATATCGTCGTGATGAAATCAATTTGGCCATAGACAGGGCCATCAAGTACATTCGTGCCAACCAAAACGAAGATGGCTCGTGGTATGGGTGTTGGGGTGTGTGCTTCACCTATGCCGGGATGTTCGCCTTGGAAGCCCTCTCAGTTGTTGGAAACACATACGAAAGCGATCTCACAGTTCGCAAAGGATGCGACTTTTTGGTCTCAAGACAGCTTCCTGATGGTGGGTGGGGTGAAAGCATGAAGTCATCTGAAATGCACGAGTATTTCAGCTCCCCCAACAGTCTGGTGGTTCAAACGGCCTGGGTGGTCATTGCGTTAATTCTTGCCGAGTATCCTCAAAAAGACGTCATAGACCGTGGAATCAAGTTGATAATGGACAGACAACAAAGCGGTGGTAACTGGAAATTCGAGTCTGTGGAAGGGGTGTTCAATCATTCATGTGGAATCGAGTACCCCAACTACAAGTTCATGTTCACCATCAAAGCTTTGGGGCTTTATTCCAAGACTTATGCATAAATCAGCATTTTCAGCTCTGTTGAATTGAATCCGTAGAAAAATCAATTATCTGGGTGTCTGGTTCCTGTCTGCTGAAGAACGACGTCTCATAGTCTGTCTCCACCATGTAGGACTGTTGCAATGCTGGATCGCTGTCATCCTCAAACAAGGGTTCGAATTCACTCGAAAGACCAGTTTCGCTTGGAAAAAGAACGGGCTCATTGAACTGGGCTTTCTTCAGCTCTTCTAGTATATCATCCAGAATGGTGTACTTTGTTTCTTTGTTCGAAGGTTCTGTAGCCTCCTCAAGCTTGATGTCATTCTTGGTGTCATCATCGTACACATACTTGGCTAACTTAGCGTACTCCACAGGAATGCCAAATAGCTCAAGACAACTGGGTTTGATACCTTGTCCCTGCAAATACTCTGTAATACTTTTATTTGGGATTAACATGTTGGTGTTGTGTCCTTCTGAATACTCTGCAGTGCTTTGTTTGAGAACAACACGTAGACGTGGGGGGATATCAGATAAGAACGATAAGGTAGTGCATAAAAGGTGGGCGAGTGAAATATTTCGTTTTTCAGACGTTCATTACAATCTCTCGCAGAAATTTAAAATTGAGGTGATCACTAACAGTTACACAATATTGCTTATATTAATACTTATGCTGCCACCTTTTGCTCCTTTGGTTGCCCCGCACGTTTCTTCGTCTTAGCCTGATCAACAGTTTCCTTGATGGCTTTCAAAGAGCCCTTCCATGTGTTCAGCTTTGCCCTGATCAGCTTCCATTGTTCCAATCCAAAGTCGCCAACGACGGAAACTCTATGCACGTAAAACACTTGAGAAGACTGGTTGAGCTTTCCCTCCAACACGCCGGCCTTGATACAGTTGATGATGTATTCTTCCACCTGGTCCTCGGGTATGGACAATTCTGTGGATATCTTGGAGTATGGGAGAGTCTGCTTCTTGGTTGCCCATTTACTGATGACCAAAACACGCAATCTGTTGTACAGCTGTTCTGGAGACACGTTCAACTTGGCGAACACCTCCGAGTTGGCGGTTTGGAACTGCTCGTATTGAGCCAACTCAACCGAGTTGCAGATTGTGACCAATTGCGAAACTTTCTGGTCAAATTCGGAGCCAGAGGCAAGGGCCTTGACTGCTGGGATGGAGGCATAGCTGTAAATGTCTGTAATATCACCGGAGCTCAGCACCTTGCCGATCAGCGTGGTGGCATCTTCGTTGGTCACGTTTGGCAACGAGGTGACAATGATCTTGGACAGTCTCAAAGATTCCTTTGGGTACTCAGCAGCAAACAAAGTGGCCAGGTCAACAAGGGCAACCTTGACTTCGTCTTGGGAAGCACCAGCAGCCTCAAACCAAAGCTTTAGGTTGTCTGTTATAGGAAGAAGCAAAGATGCACTTGACGATTTCTTCGTCACTAGAATGATGTCTTTCAAAATCGCGATTCTCAAAGCAGAGGTCTCTGGAATGAGGTTAAAAATGCTCGATAAAACTGAGATGATAGTGGTAGCCTTAACGGAAGATCTGCTGTGGGCCAACAATCCATCAGACTCTGGAGCCAGATCGACGAGTTTCTCCAAAAGGCCTGATTCTTTTATTAATGACTCTGCCTCGCCCGAAAGTGTAAGAATGTGGATCAATAGATTATAAGTTGCTTCAAAGTCCTTGTCCTTCAAAGAATTCAAAACATCCAATGTGGAGAGAACTTGTTGGTAGACGCCTGGCGAATTTTCATCGAGGTCGGCGAATTTCTCGCTGTACTCAGTGGTCTCGGTGTAAGCGTCCAAAAGGACAGCATACTCGGACAAAGATTCACTGAAGTATCTGTCTAAAACAATGGCAAAACTCATGATGTTTATCACGTTTTGAGTATGTTCAAGCCACGGTGTTGTGGATGCCTTGTTCGATTTTTTTTTTCCACTTGAACGGAGGGCTGGCGGAATTTGGGTTACGAAGCCCTTGTGTTCTGTGCACTCCTTTTGGAGGAGTGAAGCTTAAAAGTATCTCAAATCACTTATAGAGAGCTGGCTACAAATACGATATTTTTCTTCAAAATGCCCGCGACACGAGACCTTATTCCATATGCTGAGTACTCCTCGCCTGATTTGTCCAAAAAACTAACGGTTGACGCCACGTTGACGCATTCCACCAACGGCAAGACTACCGGTCCAAGTGACCATGTGCTTGGTGCTGGCGCGGTCGACAACGACAAACCCTCTGAAGCCAAAAGCTCCAGGCTCGGGGCGTTGCGGGGGATGTTGACAACTCTACAAGACGACGTGAACGAGTTTCTCACACAGAGAATGAAGGACGCAGATGCAGCCCACACTAGAGCAGAGGAAGAGGCCGATTTGGAGAGGCGGGTTCTGGACGATGGTGTTGATGAGGATGATGAGGATTGAACTGATCGTGTAACTTATTTGTAAGATAATCCTGAATAATGCTTTGGAAATGTAATAAACGATGGCAATTAAAGTCCTCTCGAAAATTTCACAATTGAATACATGCGGCGCATATTCTGTTATGACACTAATAGGCTTCTGATATGCTCACAAATCCGTCTCCAAACTTTGGATACCTAAACACTGATAACATCGAGAGACATACCCATTGGGACAATGATCCCATTACTACTGAATAGAAGACTAGCTACAGCTGGTTCGAGCTTTGTTCGCCGGATTTCGCAGACCTCTGGTTTAATCAAGCTGGAATCGAAGTCGTTATTACTCATCAGCGGTTCGGACTCCACCAAGTTCTTGAATGGTTTGACAACCTCGAAATTACTACCTACTTTTGTCAAGAAGAACCAATACACAATAAGTCCTGATGAGGAGGAAACCTCGCTGTGGTTGAAAGAGAAGTTGAAACTTACCGAGGAGGAGATCTCTAGTAAAAACTGGGGGATACTTCATGAGGACTCGTTTCTGGAAGACGGTGATCCAGAGAAGCTGGGAGTGAGAAGAGATGGGATATACTCGATGATAATGAATCCCAAAGGGAGAGTTGTTTCTGATATCTTCATATACCCTACACCGTTCATTGGGCCCACCATGGACGGTCCTAGTTATCTGATAGAGGCCAGTCGAGAGAAGGCCGCCAAATTATTCATGATGTTCCAAATGCACAAATTATCTTCCAAGGTCAAAATTGTGAAAACTCCTGATATTAAGAGTTGGTATTACTTCAATGATAGCGAGGTGTTTGCCGATGTTTTGTTGAATTTGCAAGATAGCTACTTCAACAACGTTACGTCAGTTAGTCTGGAAACAGCTCAGGAGTTTGCGAAAAAGTTTGCCGAGGCCGAGAGTATTTTCTCCAAGGACTTTTCATTGGCTGGTTTTAGTTTTGATGACAGGTCTCCGCAGTTTGGAGTCAAGTTTTTAACTTCTGCTTCTGATGAAGAGGTGGTCAAAGGACTGCAACCTCTGTCTGATCTGGTTGGTGATCTCCAAATCTTACCAGAAGAGACATATACTTCCAGGAGGATCGCAGAGGGAATATCCGAGACGAGTGACATGAAAGCGGACACTTTTCCGTTCGAGAACAATCTTGATTTCATGAATGGAATCAGCTACAATAAAGGATGTTATGTGGGACAGGAATTGACTATCAGAACACACGTGAGTGGAGTGGTGAGAAAGCGTATTATGCCGATTCAGCTCTTCTCAATTGCTGGAGACTCGGAATCTGTGAATGACCAAATTATCCTGAATCACGATGACGAAGTGGTCTCGCTTTTGAACAGTTATGGAGATGAGTTGTATGAGGCTAAAATCGCCAGTGGTAACGAGGAAGAACCCCAGATTGAATTGGCAAGCTCGCCCTTTGGTTCCCCTTCCAGTCCCACCAAATCAAAGAGAAGGGCACCCTTGGTGGGTTCAATAGTGAGGAGGGAGGGCAACATTGCCCTGGCCCTGATAAACCTCAGGTACATCGAGTTTGACAACTCTGTTGGCAAAAATGAGTTTCTCTTGAATGTTCCCGGCGAAGACGAGCCAAAAGTGGGTGTCAAGGTGTTTGTTCCTACATGGTGGCCCGAGGATGCTCTAGAATGAGACCCTTGCATGTCTGCAATCCTGTAAATATAAGTACATTAAATGTTCAGTATGTTCCGTCTGAATTCATTGAGGCGTGGGATTCCGTATCTTCGCCAGTAGCTCCTCTGGTATATTGATATTTCTCTCCTTGGCCAGCGCCAGTAGCTCCTGGTTTTCCTTTCGCAGCAGTCTGATGTAATCAGTGGCTGAGTGGGGTTAGTAAAAGTTCACAAATAGCCCGTTCAAAATATCAAGAAAAAACAGTCGAACTCACACTTAGAAAGAACCGCCAGCTCTGACCGGTTTTCGGAAGGCTTCAGACTGGGAACAAGACTAACCAGCTGGTCATACGTTGCGCGTATCTGCTCTCTCCGCTTATGCTCGCTTTGTAAATGGTGCAGCTTCTTCTGCTCAGCCGTGAGATGGGAGTTGGAGCCCGTTCCTTCAGGCGACTGTGATTGGTCGGAGTCCTGTGGCATTTCAAAGGTTCGTTTCTTCGTCTAATATTATCTTGTTGTAATTGTTGCCTGTGTGAAGCTTCTCACCCGCACTCTTTAAGCCGCCTTGAATCGCTGCCGCGCCGCTGATCCGTTCAGAGACATAATTGATCCGGTACACGCCCCTTCACTGCGGATCCTGGCATTTCAGGCCCAGCGAATGTTTTTCTTAGTTTCACAAGGCGCTTCGTTCGAAACCCAACGCTGTTTTAATTTCAAGTGTGGAACCATGCTAGGCTCTTCTTTGCTGCGGAAGGTGAAGCTTCCCACGGTGGTGAAGGCGTACCTTGGAATCACCACTCTGCTATCCCTCATAACCTTGACGATCAAGTACCAGTCGTACCAGTCGCTCTTGAGAACAACCCCGGTTGAAAGTGTTGCGGGAGTCAGCTTTTCTTCCATAGCTGTTCCCATGCTTCAGCTCATTCCCGGGAGTGCAATGTTTTACCCGTGGGTGCTGTTGACAAGCACATTTGTCGAGACCACGTTGGTGAGATACGCGTTCGCACTGGTTGTGCTATATTTTGGGCTGAACTATTGCGAAAAAATGTGGAACTACAACGATTCGGGAATGCTGAACCAGGCCGTTTTTTCTGAGACGGTGATTTATGTCACCGTGGTGGCCGTCTTGACGAATCTGACAACAGCGATCACCACTACCGTGGTGGATGTGATGTTCCTTGCAGATCAGGAATTGTCGGCACCAATCACGCACGGAGTTCTTTCGATCCTCATGGCTTTTATTGTCGTGGTAAAACAATTCTCTCCCGAACACACCATCAAGATTTTGCAGGGAGGCCTCACTGTGAGAGTGCGCCAGATCCCAATAATGATCCTCTTCATGTCTGTGGTGCTATCGCTTGTGAGGAGGTCTCTTTCACCAATGTTGCCTATTTGCAATAGCTTCTACATCTCGTGGATGTATCTGAGATTTTTCCAGAAAACGACGCTTTCGAACGATCTAATAACACCAACCACGGTCACACAGGGAACCGTCATCAGAGGCGATGCCAGCGACACATTTGCATTCATCCAATTTTTCCCAGATTTCATCAAACCAACACTAAAACCTCTATGCAGAGCCATATACCACACCTCGGTGCTACTGAGTGTTATCAAGCCCTTTAACGATGACGACATCGAAACGGGAAACCTGAGAGCTATAAAGAGAATCAACGCGTTCACTCAGCAGGACCAGAACGTGAGCGCCAGAGACATAGCCGAGCGCAGGAGACAGGTTGCACTGAGAGTCTTGGAAGAACGTGTGGGAAAGGATGACTTCCCGGTGAGGTCCATGAGCAGCGCCAGCATTCCTCAATTGCCTAGAACCAACAGCTCTGTGGTGGTATCAGCACCAGCATCAACACCGGCATTGGTTGAGGCAGGCTCTGACAAAAAATAAAGAAGCAGGGGATTGAACGTTTCGAATGGCTGGAACTTGGAGGCGTTTGGATCGTTTTGGGTAGCTAAGACATGGAGATCTTAGACCATTCGGAGTAGTCAGAAGGGGAAGTCTGTAATTTTTGGATTGGCCATTGTAGTGTGGTTCTTGCAAAGAGTTCAATATAGAAACAAAAACTAAATTTCTGAAAATCACGTATTATGTCTTTTCTCAAGAGGAAAGAAAGTGGAAAACTTTTGAAAATCACGTATTATCTCGTTACCTGAAAATTTCAAGATTTCTACAAATTACTAAGAACTCCAAAAATTTGGACTGAAAAATTTGAGTTTCGATTATTGCAGTTACTTCTTCTCTTCATGGGTCTTCTTCCAGTAAGAATCCAAAACCAGCTCACATGTATGATGTTCGGCACATCCCTTGAAGTTTACCAGCAGATCGCCGTCTATGTAGTGTACGAGGTCGTTTGGATCATCCACAGGAGTTCCAGAATGCAACGATGCAATGGTTCTTCCGGGGATGATCGCCGTCTTGGAGAGAAGCACCGGGTGCCATTGAAGAATGTGCATCAGTGCGCTTGCATCCTTCTCTGGGAAGTTCGGATACTTCCTGAATAGTGGATCTGACCAGAACTCCAAGAGCCCTCTTCCATAAACATCGTTCACCAAAATGAACGAATCGGTGTTGATTGTCGTTCTCGTCTGCGTAATAATGAACTTGACGTTCTCAGCCTTCACGTGCTTATAAGTCTTAATGGCACCAGATGGAGGAACAATGGAAGTGTCCCTGAGCATGATTGGATCCAGCACCTCGGGGTCAAGCATATAGGACTTCAACTCAATGTCGTTCCTCATAATGAAGGCACTTTCATCAAGATACCAGAAGTACTTTGCATTGGGAAAGGCATGGATAGCTGCTCTCATCACGAATAACTTGGCCCAGCTCTTGTCGCTCTTGTACTCTTGCAGCAACGGGATGAATTCCTGAATCCACCTCACATACAGACCGTACCCGTTTGCCTGGGCATAGTCTACTCTGTTCTGTACCACCTTGGTCAGATGTCCAAGCTCAAAGTTCTCAAAGTCGATACCAGTAACAAGAACGATCTCTGGAGACTTTCCATTAAAGACCTTGCGGCCATGTTGTTTGAACGACTTCTTGGCCACATTTAGCGGATTGCTCTCGTCATCAACCGTCTTCTCCTTGATCTCGTTGTTCTTGTCTTCAATGTCATCCTCGTAGAAATAAAGCAAACTCTCCATATCCGTTGGGTCGGGCTTTGACTTGAACAGATTGTTGAGAGTAAGCTCTCTCAGCAGAGGGGCATGTTCCACACTTGGATAGATCAGCCGGTCTTTAACCTTGATCTCCTTTTTGAACAGACCATGATTATCCTGTTTCTTTGCCAAAGCCTCCTTTCTCGTCAAATGCGAAAAGCTGTGTGGTTTGCTGAAGTTGAAGATGGGCAGAAATGCCACATCCAGAAATTTGGAGGTGATCGCGTTCAGCAAAAGTAAGAACACCGCCACGGCTGCAAAGTGTCTTCGCTTCCAATTGCGCACCCTTGTATACTTTCTCAATCCCATCGGTAAATTAAACCCCGAATTACTCTTGGGACGAAAGTTGTCCTTCGTTGGCACTCCCAAATGCATCGCAGTTCTATTTCGGTTACAGCAGTTGAGGCGAGCACCACACAATCTGGTTGGAGCACGGGATTTGGAGGATAGTGTGGCTGCAAATTAACGTAAATGAGCTTAGCCCGAGAGATCCAAAAAGAAGTTGGCTGCTACCTCGTGACAATTACCCTCGTGAAGACTCAGTTCCTGGGAGATCAACGCGACAGACTGATGTGTGGTAAATTGAAGGGACTATCAACGATAACATGATGGAATGAAACCCAGGGGGTACACGACGGTGGGTACACGCAAGAATGATGGAGGCTTCTCCAGACCTCAAAGAGAGATGTTGAGATTGAAGTTGAGTGAGCACGGGCCAAGATATTCATTTTTATACATCTAGTCAAAGATGTCGATACCACAGGAAGCATTAAAGAAGGTGAGTTGAATTGCTGGAGTCCTTTGATGTTTCAACACAGAAGTGACGCGCTAACACAACCAGATGCTTTTCGAGATGCAGACCCAGGTTCAGCAGACACGGGCCGAGCTCACAGCATGCGAATCGCAGATAAATAGGAACAGAACCAACATTAAGGTGGCAGACTTGACAATTGCCGAGCTGGAGGGAACAGAAGAGGTCTGGGAGGGTGTTGGAAGGGCTTTTTTTCAGACCTCTGCGAAGACTTACTCCAATTCTTTGAATGAAGATAAAAGAGTGCTGGCCACTCAGACGGTTGCGTTGGAGAAGAAGAAGCATTATTATGAGACTACTTTGGAGAAGACCATTGATGCTGTTAACAAGATTATTGGGCAGTGAATAGTAAGGAGTTTTAGTGTGGATGGGATGCTAGAGCAAAAAGAGGCTCTGATCCCAGAGGCTACCAAAATAATTTTGAATTTAGTCGAGAAAGCTACATGAACTTTGTATTACCCTGAAAATTGATTTCATTACTGACTCCCGTGGGTAGCACATACTTGATGCTGCTGGTGCCAGATTCGAGTGTTGGAAGCAGGTAGAACTGCGCTTGCTTCGAGAAGGAGCTCTCCTGATCTCAACTCCAGAGGTTACCTCTTTTTACAAGAGACATGCAACTCGGCTGAACAGTAGAGTGCCACAATGCTGATTCAGCACTTATACAGCACTATATCCACCACGATCGCCCCCACCTGTAACCCTACTGACAATCTCCTTCAGAAACCCCGGCAACTTGGCCGCAGCTTCGACAATGGAGTCCACTAGCTCACTCAAAAACTCGTGACCGCTGTTTCTGTTTACGTTAACCCAAGCGCCACCAATCACATAACCAGCAAAGATCAGCACCATAAGAATGAATATCCATGTGAACCAACCCCACGAGCCTGAGTCATCCACCCGAAATTTGCGCCTGTAATCTTTGGGACATGCGCCCAGAGTAGTCCAGCTGACATACACATCGCCTTGCCCAAGCTCATCATACACGTCAAATCTCTCGTCCTCATCGTCCTCCTCACCCTCATAACTGATTGGACAATTGAGTTGAATATGAACATTCACAAAGTTACCACCCCATGCGACTTTGGGAAATTGAATTGACAAATAACTTTGATATTCATCGAATCTTGAGATTTTGGGTTTAACCGACTTATCGATCACAAAGAAGCGTGAAACGTACTCGGGCTCGGAGGTCCCAGGCTTGGTTAGCACTGTGCGAGCGCACACCTGAGCGTCTTCGGGGCATATTAGTGGTGAAGGAGCCTCTTCCTGCGAATCCAAAGCATTATCCTGTGCATTTGTATCGTTTTGAAAGAAAAAAGTCCACGTGCTGATCTGGTGGGTGGGAGGTGTATCGATCTCGTCAACGGATATCTTCTTTCCAGCCAGCTTGTATATGGAGGGGTACTTAGCAAATTCCGGATCATTCAAATTAATCGCCAAGCACAAAGGCAGAAGCAACCATGCATAGAACAGATTGACCATGGCTCAAAAATGGTGAGTTTAAATGATGATTGTGATCCTGGTTTTTGATACGAGCCTATTCAGTCTAAGAAGGCAGTTCTAAAGGCCGGTGGCATGCCACTCCATTGGCGATCACGTGCCATCGAGGTTACCAAAAAAGAGGCCTAATATCTTGGTTTGAGCAGGCAGGTTTGATTTAGGATGTCCAGTTCATGGACTACAACCAATTGGGTTTCAAAAATTTTCTTAATTACTCATATCGACCCCCTATTTTCGGTAGTACTGGTGGAATAGCTACCGGTTTCGGCCAAGGAGATTGGCCGCTAAAGGATTGAAGCTTGTTGAGGTAGTGTGCCATCAAGTTGTGCGTCAACCACACAACCGCATTTGGACAGCTGGATGACGCACGTGATCTCTGCAAAGTTCATTCTTGAACACGTGATATCACTGAGGGCTGCAGAACCCCTGCCATCCCATCCTCACCTCTTCCAAATAGTTGAAACTTTTAGTTCTTCATCTAACCACCTTTTGTACACTACAACTGCATATCCAAACAACAATGGCTCGTTACGCTGCTTCTGCTGAAAACCCAGCTCGTTCTGCTGCTGCTCGTGGTTCATACCTCCGTGTTTCTTTCAAGAACACCAGAGAGACTGCCCAGGCCATCAATGGCTGGAAGGTTGACAAGGCCCAACAATACTTGGAACAGGTCTTGGACCACAAGAGAGCCATCCCATTCCGTGGATTCAACGGTTCCATTGGACGTACCGCCCAAGGTAAGGAGTTTGGTGTCACCAAGGCTAGATGGCCAACGAAGTCGATCAAGTTCATCCAGGATCTTTTGAACAACGCCAAGTCCAACGCTGACGCCAAGGGATTGGACACCACCAAGTTGATTGTTTCTCACATCCAGGTTAACCAGGCCCCAAAGCAAAGACGTCGTACTTTCAGAGCCCACGGTAGAATTAACGCCTACCAATCGTCCCCATGTCACATTGAGCTGATCTTGACCGAGGAGGCCGAGGTTGTTGAGAAGGCCAAGGATGAGAAGAAGGTTAGATTGAACACCAGACAAATCGGACGTCTTGCTGCTCAAAAACGTTTGACTGCTGCTTAGAGGTGAGGTGAACAATTTTTGGTTATAAATAAGATGAATTAACAAAAATTTATGAATGGGGTGATTGTAGTACACATGTTATATAGCTATAAAGGTGGGTCATCGCACTTGCACTTGCAATTGCTTTCATTAGAGAAGAAGGGGCCAAATCGTCAGATACCATATCATTAGCAATTATCGTGTTGGACTTGGAGACCTCGAACTTGAGGGACTTGAAGAAGAACTCAACTCCCTCACAGCGACCCTCTTTCTCGAGCTCTCATCGCCGCCCTCGAAAAACCGCTTTCTGTCGCTTATAATATCAAACCCCTTTCCCTCATTCATCAGGTCCAGTAAATGACTGTATTTACTGATAAACCTGGGCTCGGACCTGATGGTTATCGTGAGAGAGTCCGAGTCATCGGCAGAGTTCTTCCGCAGACCCTCAAACAGAACAACCATATCGTACAGAGACACCCTGTCGGCATATATGCTCTCCTCAGAAAGAGACAATCCCAGTTTTGAGAAACTCACTGTCAATTCTTCCTCTTTCGGGAAGGGTATTTCGTTATCCTCCAAATACTGCCTAAATAACCGAAACAGCTCCTTGAGAGAAGATTCACACACTTCTCGATCGTCGAACATACAACTGTTCGGATCTGTTCCGGAGTTCACAGGAAACAGTTCATAGACTTGCGAGAACAAGTCCACATAGATGCCGCGGCTCAGAAGCTCCTCGTAAAACGCATACTCCTCGTCCACTTCGTGCAATTCTTCGGAGAACTCAGCCGTTGTATTCTTAGGATCCGCGTCGTTTTTGGATTCATCTGTAATATCCGACACAGTGGTCACATTAACACTTTGAATCTCTTCTTGCGGTACTTTATCCAGCTCGGCCTCGTTTTCTGAAGAATCGTACTCCAGCTCCGGCTCTTCGAAATCATCACTGTTGAGAGAAGCACTCCGCACATCCGATTCTGCATCGTCAGAAACGACTTGAATGATCTCTTCTGGCTCCGAAGAGTCCTGGTCAGACTCGTGGAGAAACTGATCATTGGCATCCTGTCCACTGACGTCCTCAATATCATCGCCATCCTCGACTTCCTGTTTCTCTCCTTCCTTCTCTTCCTGAGAGGACTCAGTATCAGAGTCGTGCAGAAATTCAATATCGACAACCAAAGCGTCTTCTAAGGATACTTCCGTGTTTAACAGATTAGCGGATTCTGTTATCTCAGCGGGCGTACCCAGTTCTGTGTTGCTTTGCGGGGAGACCAAACTCATGACCCTCTTTCAGTAGGCTGCTTTGTAAAATACGTACCACTATTAAGAGATTAAAGCAAACCTCGAATCCTTTAAATTTTCTGTATCAAATAAAATGGATGACCTCGGGGAATAGTGAGGTGTTACGTCTATATTGCTAGCTTGTTATCGGCCTGCTTGTACGATAAGGACGTGCGTTTCCAATATCTCCGTTTCGGAAGTGCACGAACAACACAATTATGTTGTAGATGGTATTCAATGTAATATTAATGAGGGCTCACGGACTATAGATAGCTGGAACACCCCTAAAGTTCGATCTCTAAGCAATTCAATACACTCATTAACCTCAACGCGTTAGTTATCAACCTACAAATCACCCTGAACTCCGTGGCTCACAACAAATTCTCAATCAAAATCTGCTTGAACACATCTTTCCCAATAGCCATATGAACATCATCAATGCTTTCAAAAACCAATTTTCCCTGTTGATGTAACGTTTGCAAACCAATTCTGTTGTCTTGATATGACTCGGTTGCTTCGAACGATAATAACTTCCCTGTCTCTCGGTCCACATCGAAAAACCAGCTACTTTCCTTCGGATCCACCATATCGTCTTTTTCAAACATCACCATGACAAATTTCTCTAGTCGTTCAAGATTCTTAGCATAGCTCGTGTTCTGGGAGGCCACAACATCGTTGTTGACATTCACAATGAACTTAGAATGCGCTAGATACTCCTCCCACTGATATGGGTCTCTGAAGTATTGAGCTGGTATTATCGAGTTCTGAACAGATTCACGCCATATTTGACTCCTTAGCAGATGATTTTTGCTCTTACAAACAAAATCTCCAGGCTTACATGGCGGTAGGTCTTTTACCCCGTTATGAGGCGAGCCAAACGTGATCAGCGTTTTCATCCTCAAATCATGACCACACATTTCCATTACACTCCTGAGAAATAATCCGCCCTGAGAAAATCCAATTGCATTGAATCCATCCGCAATTTCTGGCAAAGAATGTAGCTGGTCACAAACCAGCAGAATGTCGCTGGTAAGATTTCCCACCAAAGAAGCCTCCTGGTCCTTCGAATCATCAGCCTCTATGTACACTGAGTGAATAAACACGTCAGGGTCCACTTCTCTCGCTATCTCTTCCACCCTTCGCATTGCACTTGAGTTGTACGAGTCACCCATGCCATGCCAGAACACCAGTGGCAAGGAGGAGTGGGCCAGTGCATGCTCTGTTTCACCTTGCTCGAAGCCCGGTATTTGGGGTAACCATTCAAGCGCCTGTATGATTTTTGGTAATATGAGCATGAAATCAATATCCGATAGTCGTTTCCTCGAATATATCACACGACCGTGATGGTATTCTATTCTGGTTTATGACACTGGAGTCCCCATCCTAAACAATCAAGCCAGGAGATGAGGCTGCGATGAGCTTGAAATTTTTCAGATTTAGACAGGCTTTCAGATTTTGGATACCTGAATATTCCACTCCACAGCAGCAAAATGGGATTACCAATAGAGGGGGATGCAGCCAGGCAGGCAAAGAAGTCATTCAGAGCTTTAAAGAGCCATATAGACAAGACTACAAAGAGCAGGGAGCTGGTGTATTTGGTGGTGAACACAGCAAATCCAACCACCAGGAAAGACGATTACATCCCTCGGATAATGTAAGTAGCTGGCAGGATCTCGCTGGAATTCACTTTATGCTCTCATTTACTTTACTAACAGGCGATTATTTCAGTCCCGTTCGCAACAGATTAGGTACAACGACCGAAACATCTATTCTACTCATTACCAAAGACCCAGCCACAACATACAGAGATACGCTTCGCGCCAAAGATTCACCAACAGAAGACGTGTTCAGCGAGATCATGAGCTTAAAGAAACTCAAGTCAATATCGAAAAATCCCAAGAAGGTGAAGAAGCTTTTCAACGAGTACGATCTCGTGCTCGCGGATCACAGACTCCACCACCTGCTACCATCTGTTCTAGGTGCAACATTCTACAAGGGCCACAAGAAATTACCGAGGAAACTACAAATGGCGAAACCTGATCCAGACGCTTTGCTCACCAAGACATCTAAGTCTCACAAATTAAAGGACGAGAGATGTGATCCAAAATATGTTATGGCCCAGGTCAAGTCAATAGTCAAAAACACCTCTTTCCTACCCTCAACGGGAACCTCCATGTCTATAAGAATTGGGTATTCCGACATGAAGACAGATCAGCTCATTGAGAATGCCAACGATGTTTTGGAGTACCTGAGTAACCCCAAGTACAAGCCTGTGGGAGGGATCATCTCCAGAAATGACATAAGGGCATTGCACACCAAAACCGCAGAGAGTATCAGTCTACCATTATCAATAGAGAAATAGTCCTGCAAAGTTATATAGCATTGAGGCATTTGAGATGTAAATTTAGATTTCTGCACTGATTATGATTTCACCGATCAAATGTTCTATCGTGATTACGTAAACAAATAGAAAATCCAACGACAGAAAGGCGGGTTTTATACAAGCCTTCTTTTCCTTTTCCACCAGTCAGGAGGAGTAGGACGTTGAAAGAACACTAGAAAAGGTATGTCGCAGCGACAAAAATACCTGGTGGTTGCCGTGGTGGTTTTGGCGGTGTGTTATGAGGCATTCGTGAAGCTTATTTCACCTGGCATGCAGTTCAACCTAGATGTGGATGCCCTTGTGGAAGGTTCGAGGAAGCTGAGGCAGGAACAACTAAAATTTGCTCCACGGTCGGATTTGACGAAACTGAAGCCAAGCACCAACTCTTACACCGAGGCGCTGTTTCCGGATGGTCGGTTGGTGGTCCCTGGAAAGGATCAATTGGGAAAAGAGAATGCCACTATTCTGATGCTGTGTCGGAACAGAGAGCTTTCGGGGGTTTTGTCTGCGATGAGATCGCTCGAGGATCACTTTAATCGGGAATATAGATATCCATGGACGTTTCTGAATGACGAACCTTTCACAGAGAATTTTATAGAGGAGACCAGCAAGATGGCCAGCGGGAAGACCCAGTACGGTTTGATCCCGGCTGAAGATTGGAACAGGCCTTCTTGGATAGATGAAGACTTGTTCAAACAGAGGCTTCAAGAAATGTCTGACCAACAGGTCATTTACGGAGGTTCGCGATCCTACCGAAACATGTGTCGATTTAATTCAGGGTACTTCTACAGACAGGAGCTGGTGAAACAGTACAACTGGTACTTCCGGGTTGAGCCCGACGTGGAATATTTTTGCGATTTTCAATATGACCCATTCACTCTGATGAGGGAGAACAATAAGAAGTATGGGTTCGTGATCAGCTTGTTTGAATACGAGGATACGATACCTACTCTGTGGCCCACTGTGGAGGAATTTATGACCAAGTATCCGCAGCATCTTCATCCCAACAATGCACTAGAGTTCATCACCTCCAAAGACATGATCACCCTCGAGGGCATGATCCCCGAGACAAACCATTCATATAACATGTGCCATTTCTGGAGCAACTTCGAGATCGCCAATCTCGACTTTTTCAGGTCGGAGGCTTACAATCAGTTCTTCGAGCATCTTGACCAGGCCGGAGGTTTCTACTACGAGCGCTGGGGAGATGCTCCAGTTCACTCCATTGCAGTGTCACTGTTGATGGACAAAAACGAGGTTCATCACTTCGAGGACATTGGATACTTCCATAACCCTTTCATGACCTGCCCGTCGAGCAAACAGATGAAAAGTGGAAAACGGTGCGTTTGCCGGGCAGATACCGGAAACGTAGATCTGGCTAGTCATAGTTGTCTTCCGCGATGGTGGAAATACGGCGCTGGCAAGAAGTTTCTCAGGGACTCGTACAATGTAGAGGACTTTCAAGCCAGCCTCTAATGGATAATCTGCATTTGGCTAAATCCAGCCTTTTCTGGAAGCTTTGAACGTTTCTTGAACTTTTTTTCAGCTGTAGTCTAGTATACACGCAAGCATCCCCTCAGTATGGGTTCTCCAGACGATTCAACTCGTCCAGAATACGCTGCAAATCTATGTCGTCTTTCTTCAAATTCAAACTCGGAATCAAAGTGGTTGCCTCATCGATATCTTCGCACGCCAAGGACCCCAACTGGGCAATCTCGAAAGGATGGAGAACTTCATTTTCAGGCGCACGTAGCAGCTGCTCGACAGCAGTGCAAGTCTGGTCATCTTTGAATCGCGCAAATGTAGACAGATAGTCCAGAGACTTCCTCAACACTTCGTTGGCGCCTGGTGCGGATGCGACCTTGGCAAGTGCATCGTCGTCGATGTTGTCGTCGTTCTCGTCTGGGTTAATCTCCTCGCCATTGGCCGAATTGATCATGTCCTTACGCTCCTTCAGGGCAGCTCTTATCAGAATCCTGGCCTCCGAAAGATTCAGTGTGATCAGCGGCTGTGCACTTCCAGAGTGGTCCACCTGCTCGAGCTGGAACTCAGGTCCCAGCTTGAGGTCCGCCGCGTTCTCCTCGTCATCTGCACTTTTGGCAGCTCTCCTCCTCCGCGTAGCAACCGTGGACGTGGACACGTTCATTACGTAGGTATCTGTTTTGGATTGGGGAAAACACGGATTGGAACTGAGGAACCAGCTGTATATTGTCCCTTTGAAGAAGTCGACGGAGCAAATACTGAGGTCGTTCACTACCAAAGCCAGCGCTCACAACCAGATATTGACTGTGCACGACTCAAGCGGCCCCTGTCCAAAAGGCTATCAGAGTTGGGCCATTTCTGGGTTATCCGGATTGTGTGCGAGTGTGTGTGTGATCTCTTGTTTTAGGTGGGTTTTTGCCTAATTAAAAATCACCCGACAGCTTTCCACTCTTTCGGTATAGCGAAGATCCGAATTAATTTGCAGAATTTGGGCATTTGTTGAGCAATCTGCAGCCCCATGAATCAGCCGCTGACGTCTTAGCCCTGTCAGCCTCAAATCATCGAAATTACACTTCCCACGTTTTAACCCTGGGTGTCCGCTCTATTGTTATTCCGTTTGAGAGATGTCAGCTTTTCCTTTCGGCCAATCGAATGGTCAGGGCAACAACATGGGCTACCAAGGGTTCACGCAACCCCAGCAGAACACCCAAAGAATACCCCAATCGGCCCTTCCACTACAGCAGAACTATAATCTGGAAGGCCAGATGGTGGATCCGCTAAGCCAGCAACCAAATACACAGTTTCAGCAACCAGGGACGTATCAACAGAAGTATTCTGGTACCAATATCAACCAGTGGCAGCATCCTCAGCAACCACAGTCGGGAATGTCCTCAATGCAAACACCAAGACAGGCGATTCCCTCGAAACAGAAGCTAAGGGGGTTTTCTGAGGTGGAATTGTCACCCTCTTTGGCGAGACACCAGTCCGATAACGTGTTCATGGCCTCTAATAGCCAATCGGTACAATCAGGAGCGACATCCACTGGGTTCAAGAATCCGTGGTATTCCCCATCGTCTGCGAACGTCACCAACAGATTACCTGGGCTACAGACATCGAACCAACAGGAGCCACCTTTTCTGATGATGAGCCCCTCGAGGGTTCCTTCGTTTGCGAATGCCCTGCCTACGACTTACGAATATGAAGGGATGCAACAACAACAGCATCAACAACAACAGATGCTGCCTGTGGCTAGGGCACAGGCCCCGAGACCACCTTCTGACTACTTTGCAGAACCGAACAACAAGGCTAACGAGCTTATGAGAAGGCAATCAGTAGCCACGCCCTATAGTTCGATCCATGGATTTGATGGAAACAGTTTTGATTATAATCCACATCAGCAGCCTCAATTGCCTCACAGAGGTTCGTTTGCAAACCAGACTCCTCAGCGTTTGCCTGCACCAAGGATGACCAAAGTAAGGGCTTTGAGCGATTTGCATCCGAACGTGAACCTGAAGCCGAAATACAGGAGGGCTTCGGCTACTAATACCTTAGTATCGCCTCTTGAGGCTCTTACGACAGCTTTGGCGCTTACATATAGTATGTGTCGGTCTGACTTTGACTACAAGTCTTCCAAGAATCCAAGACGAGTGCTTACCAAGCCTTCCGAGGGAAAGAGCAATAATGGTCACGACAACGAGGAAAGCGATTACATCTTATACGTTAATGATGTCCTTGGATCACAGGATGGAATGAAGTATATGGTACTTGACGTACTGGGGCAGGGAACCTTTGGCCAGGTGGTGAAGTGCCAAAATCTTAAAACGCAAGAGATTGTTGCTGTTAAAGTCATCAAGTCCAAACCCGCATTTCTGAACCAATCGTTAACTGAAGTGAGCATCTTGGAGCATCTCAATAAGAAGGTTGATCCCGAAGATCAACACCACTTTCTTAGGCTGAAGGATAAGTTCATCCACAAAAACCACCTGTGTTTGGTCTTTGAATTATTGTCTTCAAACCTGTACGAGCTTATCAAACAGAATCAATTCAAAGGATTGGCATTGAAACTGGTCAAGAAGTTTACTGTACAGTTGTTGGACTCACTCAAAGTTCTCAAGTCTGCCAAGATAATTCATTGCGATCTCAAACCAGAGAACATTCTGCTGATCACGCCCGACAAACCGCTTCTCAAGGTCATTGATTTTGGTGCTGCATGCCACGAGAGGCAAATCGTTTATGCATACATCCAGTCACGCTTCTACCGGTCCCCTGAGGTAATTTTGGGACTATCGTACACAAGTTCGATCGACATGTGGTCGCTTGGATGTATAATTGCGGAGCTGTTCTTGGGAACTCCTCTGTTACCTGGAGCAACGGAATACGGCCAGATCTGTCGTATTGTTCAGATGTTTGGTATGCCACCTACTTGGATGATTGAGATGGGCAAGAATGCCCAGAACTACTTTGCCAAGGAGGTAGTTTTCGATGAAAGAACAGGAAAGCAGCAGAACGTATACCGCTTGAAAACGATTGAGCAGTATTCCCGCGAGTTCAACGTGGAGGAGAAACCAGGCAAAGAATACTTCGAAGACAAGGAACTACCCGATATCATCGGCAAATACCAGTTACCAAAGAAGAATATGACCGAAGCAATGGTGGAGAAAGAAATGCACCAGCGAGCTATTCTGATTCATTTCCTGCAGGGAATTTTCAATTTGAACCCGCTCGAAAGATGGACACCACAGGAAGCGGCAATGCACCCTTTTGTCACGAACCAGCCCTTTTCGGGCTCATGGTCTCCACCCTCAGCCAATTATTCTGACCAATTCAGACTCGAGAAGCAAGACAGACTTCGCAGCATGGAGATCGATCCGGTCTCCTTTGCCGAGCAACATCCTCAGGAGGGTGTATAAGCCACTAATGACAGCGTCAGCCACACTGGCGCGTAGCGCCATGCTATGATATATGGACCATTTTGATGGCGAACATCGCCCAGCGCCGCACTTAATATTTATGTTTGAATAAAAGCGTGTAGTTTAGTTAAATCAATTGTGAATCTGGAGACCGTCTGTATTGACGTGCGATACACAATCATGATACTGTGTCTTCACCAGAATTTTGCCGCACCGATGACGGAATCTTCTAGATTTGATTATAAATGAAGGCCATGCACTTCTCAAACATCTAGTCTTTCGATACTCTTTCCAAACATCTTTGTTTAGAACATTGCTAGTTTCGTTGCTATTGCTAGTATAACCAATAATGTCAGAGAATAATGCCGGCGGTGGCGGGTTTGTGCGGCCTGAAGCGGCCCACATCCCAGCTGTAAGCGCCGATATCCTGGGTCAGATCTTTCGAGGCTTTGTTACTGGAGAGGTCCCCGGATTAAAGAAACAGAGACACGCAAGCCAGAGTGCAATCAACTCGCTTAAGAAGGTGGATTTAGCGAAATTGGAGGATAAAGTTTGCGGAATTTGCATGGACGCGTACTTTGACGAATCAAAATTGCCCAAGGGTTCCTTTCCGATAACCGACACTTCGGAGTTGGCGAAATACGGGGCTTTCTTCGAGGGAGTCTACGATGATGACCCTCCAATTATGTTTGTGCCGCCGGGGAACCAGGGACTTGACGATATCGAATACCACCCAGCCAGCTCCGAGTTTGGGTTTGAGCAGACGCCAGAAGGTGCAGAAACAGATTTGTCTGAATCGAGTGACCACATTCCAGTCAAAATGCCCACTTGTGACCACGTTTTTGGTCGGTCGTGTATTGTGAGCTGGCTCAGAGAGCATACTACTTGTCCAATGTGTCGTACGGAAGTGGAGGCTGATCCTGTTCCGCAAAGACAAAACCATCGTGGAGTGTTTATTTACTATGTGACACCATTGGCTCCAAGAGAGGCATCTACAAGTCTCGGGAATGAGTCAGGTGATCCACCAATCATGTTTGCAACCGAAAATCCATCGATGGTACCGGTGAGGGAAGAACGCACTGGTCCATCTCCCTCTGATCCCACGCCAACTGATCTTCCGCATGATCCCAACGCCTCAGATTCGCATTCAGGATCCCCTAGCCCATCCTCGGCTGGACCGGTGAGGGGAAGCGACAGATCCGCTAACCGAGCGCATCCGTACGCCGGCCAGTCGTGGCAATGAACGCTGAACTTTGGCCATATGGCCCTGTGTATATGTATAATTAAGTATTGGGAATGGGTTTAGAGTACTGAAAGTAGAATACTGAAAATAGATAATTGCGCGAAACATTGCTATATGGATTTTGCGAAAAACAGAAGAGCCCTCAGTCATTATTCTTCCTCCTGCTTCGCTTGGACTTGCTGTAAAATATCGTTTATCATTTTTGCCTCTTTGCCAACCGCACCGCCTTCTTTCAAACAATTGGCCAGCTCTTTTTTCATTATGGGAGCGAATATCTCGGAAAACACCTTGCGCCTTGTACCGACATCCTCTGTGGTGATACCCTCCAAATTCAGAGAGGTTTTGTCGGTATTATCGACAACAGAGACTATCTTGACATTTGTCAGCACACTTGAGTCCCTCTCAAACAGTTTTAGGTGGGAATAAGGCTGCGAAACCGAGGGTATCATATACCTGGACATGAGTGGATGAAAGGTAGCCGCAGCCTCATCGGCGTCGCCCGTAACTGTCTCGCGAAGAAGGCCAAAGTGAAGAAAATTCGCCAAAACTTTGAGATGAGAAGCCCGAGAAGAATCATCTAATTTGGACCGGATCCCACCAGTTGACGCTGTAGTGATGGCCAGTGATATCGACTTCTTGGTGTCTAGCAGCGCCCAGTTGAGCAGCTGGCAGAAGCACTTAAGACTCTTGACAAAATCAGCTCTAACAAGAGCATCAGATGAGTTTTCAAGAAGAACTTGTAAGAATTTGGTACTGTCTCTTCGTATTTCAGGCGAAATGTGGGTCATTGCTGAGTGAACAAAGAGTAAGATGGACCCCAGATGAAGCTCCATGATTCCCCTTTGGGATTGACATATTGCCTTCAAAAGACTTTGTAAAGCTTCACGAACGGACTTGGATTGATCCAAAATCAACGGGGTTATTCCAGAAACCAGGTCCTTGTATATCGAGGGATTGGATGGAAGATGGGTCTGTAGATGGATGAGGGCCTCTTTCCGTGTGGTGGAAGAGTGATGCTTCAGTAGCGACACATAACGGTGTATATCATCGTCCACTGATTGTGATTGTCGTAGCAATGACTGAGACGGTAGTGAGATGATTTTTGCCTTGAACGATGTGTCTGTGTAGTTGGAGGGTTTAGCAGCGGTCTTGCCGACTCTGAGCTTTGCTTTCTGTGACGCCGTGTTAGTACTCGTTAAAAGTGCAACAACACCAATTGTAAATAAAATTTTCACTGAAACTTCAAGCCTTGATCACTTACTTGGAAATCCTTTTGCTTTTCAGTCTTTTTTTTAGCCATTTTTGATGTAATAATGTGTTATAGATTTCTACCCGCCGGTAAGCTCATTACCAAATATTTCATTAAGCGCCAGAAAAATTTCAGGCGCTAGATGCGATGAGCTGTTTACGTTTGGGACACCAGATCGGGCGCAAATGAGCTGTTGGACTCTTCTTTGCTTGCTGAATTCATCGCCTGTTTTTGATCTTAAAAACACAATTCGCCATGGATTTTTCGCGGCTTTCGCTTAGAGATATTGAGGAATATGATGAACATCTTTTGAGTGGGTTGTCGCTCAGGGAAGACGATGGGAGTCTGCGAGCAGTTGACATGGATATAGATGATCCCAATGAACTGGAAGACACCGACACAGATGTCGAGATGGTTCCTGTCACGTATGTCACTCACACTACTCCATCCAGGCAGCGATTCCGTAAAGACGACGAGAACCTTGCGAGACGTGTGGTTTGCAAGAGTGAGGAGGTTGAAGAGCAGGAAGACTCAGAGGACATTGGGGATGCGAACTCATCGTCCATCATGGAGACAGTTTCAAATGTTCTGGCCCATATGCCGCGGTCCCCTACAGCTTATGGCGCAAGATTGGCGTTGGAGTTGCGTCGACGCCCAAATAAGCCGTCGTTTTCTACACCTATTCTCTCTGGTATTGAACACAGCACTCCTCCTAGAGATAATGCTTACACTTACGAAACATATGAGACTCAACAGGTATCACCAGTGAGGTCATCTCAAATGGTGGGAACCCCCGGAACACCCTGGAATAACGCACCAGTCAGTTTCCAGATGCATCACCACCATTACTATACTCCCCAACAACCCGAAAACGCATACCATACCCCAGCTCCATACTTGCCACAACCATGGCAGCACAATATAATACCCCAGGAACGTACACCATACCTTTTATCATCATACTTGCAGCTTGTGGTGAACGCAGTGGTGACGTTCTACTCGTTTGGGATCATCTACCGGTGTATTGCAACGGTCAAGTCGGACATTTCAGAAAAAATGGAGGAGCACGTGCACAAACTGATGGTGGAGGGTGCTATCTGCAGACGCAGTTTCCTCGAAAACGGCTGTGATCCAGAACACATAGTTCCTGCGATGGAAGAGCAATGTGCGGAATGGGAAAAGTGTATGGGAAGGGATCCATACGCCTCTGGTGCACACAGCAGCGTCAGTGCAGAAACTCTTGGAATGATAATTAACTCTCTGGTCGAGCCGATTGGTTTCAAAAGTTTCCTCTTTCTTGCAGGCATTATGGGTGTTCTCTTTCTCTTCAATGTGTCGTTCGGGTTCTTCCGTGCCAAGTCATACTACGGTTGGGATGCGGGATCAGGCTCACACGAAATTACACAGGTGCAGTCTCCGGTGCTCCAAACTCCTGGATACTGGAATACCCAGCGTTATGATCGAGGAGCACCTTTGGTTTCCCCTACTAAAGATAGACACCAGTAAATGCTGATGTATGTGCGGCGTTGAAATGGTTAAAGTACGACTTGGATTCTCAGACTGATTTGTTTTAAGTATTGAATGATTATATATGGCAAGTTATACCCATAAATTTTGTCTTATCCCCATACAACCAGTATTCTCTCCTTATATTAAGTAGTATGGCCTTTGATGACAATCCGATAGTCGACTAATAATGTTGGGGCTTTGGGTTTGCTCACCAAATCAACAACGGTTGGCACACGGAACAAGATTGGTGATCTTGGGATGTGGGGATTGAACAGACTTCCCACATATGCGAGTTTCAAGTGGAAGAGATATAACAAGAAGGCCAATGATTCCATAAATTTTGGTGGATCTCTTTCAGACCGTCCTGTTGACTCCAAACCCCAACCCTCCTCGGTATCGCAAACCAATGCGGCGAGAATCAACCCCACACGACCCAGCAGTTTCTGGCAGTACTTTGCCGCAGGCTAAACCCACACTTTTCTAGCCACCAAACACTTGCTCATAAATAAACTGCATACAGAAGCTGATTCCCCGAAAAGCCACTTTTGAAAGTATGTCGGTGCCTGCGGTGGAATATTCGAAGGAGGAGATACGGCGAGTACTCGCTGACGACGAGGGCAGCCGTGCAAGACATAGAAGACCACACAGACATCGCGTCAAACAAGACACCGCGGCCTCCACGATACGCAGGCATATTTCTGAGTCATCCTGGACTATACGCAACTGGTGGAGACACATACATTGGCGAAATTTCGTGCTGGTGGTGGTCCTGCCGGCGCTGGCATTGCTATCTATGTGGGCAAAGGTTCCCCTCACACCAACTATGCTGAAGTGGAGTGCTGCAAATTACCTCCTTTCGTGCCTGGCAGTAACGGCTGGGTACCACCGGTACTGGGCTCATCGAACATTCCAGACTCACCGTTTTGTGGCGTATTTATTCGCTGCGGTTGGTGCTGGTGCCGGTATCGGTCCAGCAAAATGGTGGTGTGGATCCCATAGAGCCCACCATCGGTATTGCGACACCCAGCGCGATCCAAGCAATATCAGACGAGGATTCTGGTACAGTCATTTTGGGTGGATGCTTTTGATCCACCATCCCAAGGTCCAGAAAGCCATTCACGAGTTCGATGAGGACCTAGGCCGCGACCCGGTGGTGGTATGGCAGTACGACAACTACGCCAGACTGGTGATCTTGTACGGATTTGCGGTGCCGACTGCGGTGGCAGCGTTCTGGATGTCTGATTTGTGGGGTGGGCTGGTGTACGCAGGACTGTGGCGAATGGTGCTAGTCCAACAGACCATGTTTGCATTCAACTCGTTGGCACATTGTGTGGGGTCGCAACCTCTGGATAACCGTCGAAGTCCACGGAACGCGTGGTTGCTCTCCCTGATCACCTTTGGAGAAGGCAACCATAACTTTCACCATGAATTTTCTTCGGATTATCGCAACGGTTACGAATGGTACAACTTAGACCCAGCCAAATGGGCCATATACTTACTCTCGCTGATTGGGATGACCTGGGATCTGCACCGAGTATCCAAGGATTATATTAACCAGTCACTGCTGCAGCAAGAGCAAAAACTTTTGGATGCCAAACGAGCAAAACTCAACTGGGGTATACCTATTGAAAGATTACCTACTATGTTGCCCGAGGAGTTCAAGCGATTGGCAACAGACGCATCAGTGCGAAACAAGTCGCTTGTTGTGGTAGAAGGCATTGTGCATGATGTAACTCCATTCGTGCGGGACCACCCTGGTGGAGTGGCTCTGATCAAGAAGTCTGAGGGTAGAGACGCCAGTGTTGCGTTCAACGGTGGTGTATACAACCATTCGAACGCCGCGCACAATTTACTGGCTACGATGCGGATAGCAAAGCTCGTGGGGTCGGAAAAACTATTCTGGAAACAGCAACAGATCGAGAACAAGGAGATTCCATGGAAGAACGATTCCGAGGGAGTACGAATCGTCCGCAGCGGGGAGCAGGTGACAATGTCGAAGACGCCTTCGACGACCGCAGAAGCCGCTTGAGACCTACATAAGGGGGTTATTAATAATGGAGTATTGCACTATTGGAATATATCGGTAAACCTATAAGTAAAGTAGTATAAGTAGGACAGTTCTAGGTGCACCTCTAGGTGCACTTTCAGATCGTGCTGCAGCTAGAAACGACCCAAGCTACAACGCTACCATCTCGTAGCACCACCTCTGATATCACATCGACAGCTCTCTGCTCTCAATTCTTAGTCCTTGTAGTAAACTCCACGGAAGAAATCCATCGTGTTGGTGAAGACAACCAGCAGAATACCACCACCAGGTCCTAGTCTAAGTACCTTAGGCAAGAAACCCTTGTAGAGAGCTGCAAATCCCTCCTCCTTGTAAACCATTGCAAGAGCAGGATAGGTCCAGTTGTACTTTGGAGTCACACCAGGCACCTTGACAGTGTTCTGGATACGAGACTTGACAACGTCGAATGGTGTGTTCAGCAGAGTACCAACAGTTCCTCCAATGGCACCGCTGATGAGATCGTTGACAGTTTTTCCAGATGGAGTTTCGGCCTTTGGCAACAGAGCACGCGCTTGGAAGATAATTCCGAAATAACCAGCATTCCACACAATGTGACGCCACAAAGTAGCCTCCAGACCTTGGTACATCGCCAAAATTCCTTCGTTCTTGACGGTCTTGGTGACCACATCTACCATTCCGGTGTACTTGGACGTCCTGTCCTGGAGTCTAATCTTGACGAGTTCAAATGGAACCACTACAAACGACTCAGTGGCACCAGCAGTGGCTCCGGTCAAAACTGCAAGCGACTGGTTCATCTCGGTCACTCCAAATTGCTTGCGGTAAAACTTTCCCCACTCGTCATTGGCAGCGAATTTGGTCGCTCTCTTAGGAGCCTCCATCAAGATTGGAGCTGAGATACCACGGTAAAGCTTAGAAAACCCCTCGTTCTTGACTATCTTGGTCACACAGTCAACAATTCCCGAATACTCGGCTTGGGCTCCCGTGCCGACCTGCAGCTGGATACGGGTTTTAACCACGTCGAGTGGGTACATCACAAGGATCTCGGAGACGCCAGCAATGGCGCCCGCGGCGAACTGGTACACAAATGGAAGCGCTGAAAACGGGGCATTAGTGGCCAATCGACTGAATGATGCAAATGCAACATCAACTACTCACGTCTTGTATCTCCTGACATTGCAAACAGGCTTTGGTGTGGAATGAAGGGGGAAAGAATAAAGGTGGAGTCGGCTATAAGGATGGAGGTGAAAAAAACGCCCGTCGAGGAGGGGTCCGATTAGCCGCCGCACTAACCGGGGTGCTAGCCGCTGGGCTGGGCCAATTGCGAGGAAAACAGATGAGATCAGAAATTGATAAGAAAGATACGAGATTTTTTGAGAAACTTTTTGAAAGATCCAGAAGACAGTAGAAACGGTTTGGCAACGTCCGTGATCCTTTGTATATCGCTTCACTGTTTGGAACTGTGTGACTCTAAGGCTTTGTTTTTGGCGTCTATATCTCGTGTGCGAAGCGAGGGACTAAATGACTCTTTCATCCTCTCAATGTAGCGATATTCTCAACGGAAACAGTAGCAAAGAACAAACGGAAACTCTGTGCTACTAGTTTCAAAATTGTATCATTTCTTATACAAAAATTTCCAAGATTTTTCAGCTACAAGGATCTCGGCTCCGCAGATTGCTTTTACCTGCGAATAGGTAGCTATCCTCCGAAAACCGAAGGGCCCATATACTTTACAACCATACAAACAAACAGATCAAAAAACTGCACCGAACACAATCATGAGACTGTTTCTTCATGACTCCGTAACCACATATATAATTATAGTGCAAATAGCCCCTCAAAGAGCCCACGATACTGCTAAAACTCGGAGTCGTCTCGGCATCAATTTGGTTACGAGCACTGGGTTGATCATGGATTTCTGCCCCTTTCATATTTTTGCCTCCTTGAGTCAGCCCTATCAGAACTTCTTCTTCTTCTTCTTCTTCTTCTTCTATCCACACATAACACCATGCTTTCAAGACAAGCATTCAGAACAGGAAAGACCGTTGCGTCGCTGTTGCAGACCCGTTCATACCATCCAAAGGTCATCGACCATTACCAGAACCCACGTAATGTTGGTTCCTTCAACAAGTCTTTGCCAAACGTGGGCACCGGCCTTGTGGGCGCCCCAGCTTGTGGTGATGTGATGCGTTTGCAAATCAAAGTGAGTGATGATGGAGTCATCGAGGATGTGAAATTCAAGACGTTTGGATGCGGATCTGCGATTGCTTCGTCGTCGTATTTGACAGAGCTGGTAAGAGGAATGACTCTCGAAGAGGCGGGCCAGGTAAAGAACACCGCCATTGCTAAGGAACTGAGTTTGCCGCCCGTGAAATTGCACTGTTCGATGTTGGCAGAGGATGCGATCAAGTCCGCCATCAAGGACTACCGGTCCAAGCGTGCCACCACAACTCTCGGCCCGGAAGCCGCCTGAGACCCTGTTTATAGCTCCAACGACAATATTCTACGCAGTGACAACTACTGTAGCAGCGAGCCGGTTATGGTTCTGTGTTTCGTTTTTACAAAATCGTTTTGATTCAAAATAAGATACCATTTTCTTCAAGAGTTCCCGCTAGCATCCGCGACATCAATTTGGTGTCGTCCCAGGTATGGACTGGACTCTCGATCTTGCTGGCCTCAACACATGCTAACACATGGTCGGCCTCCAGACTCATTCCAAACCCTTTTGGTTCGTATGTAAACTCCTCAATAATTGTTCCTTCCCAGGTAGTCGCAACCAGCTTCGTGGGTTGGTCCGCTTGGTTCACAGAAACGTAACCTAAAGTACCCTCAATGAAAATTGCTGGATTGGTAAGCGTGCCGGTGTTTGTTCCTACCTGGTTGGTAAGGCCGGAACACGTAGCATATGCGACAAATCCAGGATATTCCAGCAAGACCGAGTCTGCGATATCTACTCCGGTATCGGCCTTGACACACTTGCTGGTAGAGCTGACTGGAGCTCCGAACAGCGCCAAGGGCCACGTTAGCGCGTAAATCCCAATATCCAATAAAACACCACCGCCAAGTGCCGGATCGTAAATTCTGACCATTCCGGGGTCGTCACGCGGGAACAGATAGCTGAGATCCGAACGCACCCTCGTGACACTGCCAATAACGCCTGATTCGAGAAGTTCACGACATTTCGTGAATACAGGATTGAACTTGGTCCACATAGCTTCCATCACAAAAAGCTTTTTTTCGGCTGCGAGCTCCAAGATCTTGTCGGTCTCCTCCACGGTCAGCGCAAACGGCTTCTCCATCAGTAGATGCTTCCCTGCATGCAGCACTTTGCATGCGAGATCGAAATGGGTGTTATTGGGAGTTCCAACATAAACAACATCGCAAGAATCTGATTCGATCAACGCGTCATAGGTTCCGAAGCAAGTGGCATCAATTCCGAGCTTCTGGGCGAGCGAGGTAGCGTTGGCTATGTTCGAGTTGGAAGCAATCGCTGTTACGCTCTGCGATGCACGCTGGGCACGTTCAACATGCACGAGATCATGAGCAAACTTGTAGGATATCCTACCAGGACCGAGAATTCCCCATCTGAGCGTCATTGTGGTATTTTTTTGGTTCAATTGAGAAGACCGTTGGGAGGAAGTAAAGCGTGGAATAAAATTCAAATCAAGTAGTCTGGTCCGGAATGTCGAGGGTACCGGGGGTTGCATTCCAAAAAGAATGCAACGGCCATGAGATAAGTGTTCGAATCTTTAGTTGTGAAAAGGGTGAGACGGAGAGGAGATATTGGTGGGCAGAGAATGGACAGGAGAAGGATGAGGAATCTATTTTCAAAGCCATGATTCGAAATTTCGGTGTCAATGCTGCTGACGGAGGCGGTGTCTGGTCTTCTCAGACGGGTAGTTGAGGTTGCTTATCAGCAGTTGAACGTAGGTAGCAATCACATGCAGTAATTGACAACATTGTAGGCCACTTTCAGTTTGTGGGTATTCAGCAATGATAAAATAACCAATCCTACCACGAAACAAAGACCTTACAACGCACTTATAGTCTTTTGACGTCAGAAGAGCCGAGCGTGGGGTAGGATCGCCGAAATGTTGGTGCGGCCAATGTTTAGAGCACACTACCTTTCTCACATACGCAACCGGGTATAACCAGAACAACTTCATAGTAATACTTCTGGCTGTTCTCTACTGGCCAGATTTCTAAGCCTAGTCTACATTAAAGGTCATTCATAAGAAGAAATACACCAACCACAAGGCCGAGATCACCCCAATAGGGGTGTTTACGTCATTTTTGTGACTAGGCGACTGGAGCTCCGAGACATCTCCGGTTCCTCTTTGACCCTAAATAAATTAGAAAACCCCCTATACACACATTGATAACAAGCAATACATGACGTGGCTTGGCACTTGCAATTCCAATCCCACCTTCGGACCCCGCCTTCGAATCGCATACTTTCGATCCATCATCCTTCGGGGGATCTTGCGATGATTATAGTTCGACAATACGAGCTACCCCGGAGCTTCCACAAGTCCAAAACTTGTCTCCACAGGAGACGGGCGTTCTGTACCGGGTTAGGCGACACCCTCAGGCAGCCAAAAACCACCCAAAACTAGATTGCTGATATAGAATGTTAATCGCACGACCTTCCATCTGGAGAAAAAGTGTGGGGGAGGGGAAGAGTATCTTCGGATGGGAGACCCTTGGCGAGCCGCACCAGGAGGGGTACTGCACAACTCAGGCAGCCGGAGCGATGATAGGCCAGGCAGTGCGCGGGAGGGCTTGTGAAACATTGTGTTGGGTATGCAGGTTCAGTAACTGCGGTCTGTTTGCCCCTCTATTAGGTGGGGGTCGATGCCCTGATTAGTGTTCTGGTGAATTGAGTATATCTAGCTGTGAAGACCCAAGGGTCCTGTCTTTTCTCTGGACATTAGGTCTGGGACTAACGTCAATATCACTATTAAATATACCTGAGAACTTTTGATCTTCGTGATCTTCGCTGATAACCCTTCAATTTCCTTGGGGCCTGAATCGCTTCTGTGTTTTTTTTTTCGCGTCTCATACTCTCTATCTCTTCTCTCGTGTCTAATCCACGATGGGCTTCTTCCAAATTGAAGAGGAGCGACCAACTCCAAAACAAATTTACAATTGGAAAATATACGTTTCTACAGCAATTGCCTCCAGTGCCTCTATGATGATTGGTTATGATAACGGTTTTGTGGGTGGAGCGTTGGCATTGCAAGGCTTTATCGATGAGTTCTTTGAGGGCCGTACCGCAGGAGACATTACTGCTCTCAAGTCTAACATTATCTCGCTCTTCCAAGCCGGATGTTTTTTTGGTGCTTTATTTTCTTATCCAGTGGGCCATCATTATGGCCGTAAAAAAGGTCTGGTTGCTAGTGGGTTCCTGATTATACTGGGTGCTGTGATCATGATGTGTTCTTCAAAGTCCCGAGGTCTGGGACCTATTCTCGCTGGACGAGTGATATCAGGACTGGGAGTAGGAGCTACCTCTAACTTGGCCCCAATCTATATTGCTGAAATTGCCCCACCACCAATTCGTGGAATGCTTTCCGGTTCGTACGATGTGGGCTGGAGAGTTGGTGATCTCACTGGTTTCTGGATCAACTACGGTGTCTCGGAGCACATCACTGGAAGGGCTCAATGGATGATCCCATTTGGAGTCCAATTGGCTCCAGCAGTTATCTTTTTGTTGGGTGCTTCCTTCCTGGTGGAATCCCCTAGGTGGCTGATCCAGAACGGCCAGGTGGAGCACGGAGTCGAAAACTTGGCATACATCCGCAATCTCGATTTGTCAAATGATTATCTGCAGTACGAATTAACCCGTATACAGGATTCGATCGAAGAACAGCGTCGTACAGTTGGACTGGATCTCTGGGGTCCATTCAGAGAATGCATTAGCTCTACAAATATCATGTTCCGGATCTTCATCACTGCTTCGATCTTCGTTCTCCAGAACGGATTTGGTATCCAGGCCATCAACTACTACTCTCCCATCATCTTCGAGAGTTTGGGAGTTACAGGCACGAGTGCGACACTTTTGTCCTCAGGTTTGTTTGGTGTGGTAAAGTTCGTTACATGTTTCATCTGGATTTTCACCGTTGTGGACAGAGTGGGACGTCGTCCATCGCTCATGGCCGGCTCCGTGGGATGTGCTGTATGCTTCTTCTATATTGGAGCTTTCATCAAGCTGGGTAAGCCGGGTACCGAAGGTCATGAGGGAGGTTCTCCAGCCGGTCGGGCTGCTATCGGTATGATGTACATCTGGACCTTCATCTTCATGATGTCCTGGTCCGCTACTCCATGGGTGCTTGGAGCAGAGTGTTTTGATCAAAATATCCGTACTTTTGTCCAGGCAATCAATGCTGCAGCCTCATGGGCCTCTGTTTTTGTGATTGCTCGCTTCACTGCACAAATGATCAGTGCCTTGGGCTATGGAACGTACTTCCTTTTTGCCTCCATTTCCATCCTAACGTTTCCCTACATCTTCTTCGTGTTGCCCGAAACTAAGGGGATTCCTCTGGAAGCCATGGACAGACTGTTTAAAGGCGACGTTCCTGCTTGGAGGGCGCATAGAAAGCTTATGGCAGAGCTTCAGAAGGAGGCCCAAGAGATTTCCCCTGCGGTCAACGATAGTCTGTTTGATAAGGGTGATGTTGAGCAGATTGAAAATGTCGATTCTGCCTCATTCCATAAGGGCCATTGAAGACACTCTTTGAGTCATTTTGCTTAAGTTAAAACGTCTTTGGATTGGCAGGCTTTTGGGACTATTGTATCGCCCTCATAGTGCAGTCTGGTTTTTCTTGCTCTTTTTTCGCTCTCGGTCGATTTTAGTAACTGAAATTCATTTTCTCTCTCTTCGGAGCTTTTCTCTCTTTATGCCATGCTCTCTTTTAGCAATGTATTTTTCCTGTATTTTGAATGTCATCGTAGTTTGCAGATTCTTGCCATGAAGATTGTCCTGTTTGTGACGTTTCTTGATCACAACAAATTCTCATCGAAAAAGGCCCTATTCGAGCGTTCCAGGGCCAAGTTGGACAGGCTCAAGGCCGAGTCCCAGTCCTGAGAATTTAGACTTGCAACGGTCTCGTTGCGAAACCGGAGACACTCAAACACGTTCTTGACCAGTGCTTCGTTGAGCTTGCCTTTCTTGGACAGCTTTTCAACACTGAGCAGATTTTGGCTCATTTTCAGTACATTTGACAAAATCCGCAATCGTTGGGTGATCTCGAACCGCAGTTGCGGTGACTTTGGATGTTTCACAAGTCCAAGCATCTGGAAGAGCCTTGAGGTAAATTCTTCCATCGGAAACTCTAGATGGTTCCACCGGATGGTTTTGTCGCTGCCAACCTGCTCAAGGGGATACAGATAGATGGCTCCCCATTGGGGAATGAGAAACGTCGACGAGTTAGATCCTGAAACAATCTGCTGGATGTTTCGCTGAGGCATTGGATAAATCGCTAGGTTAATGGTCTGATCAGCATCCAATTGAGAGGTTTGAGCCTTGATAGCTTCTAGAGTGTAGTTCAATGAGTCCAGATATATGACTTGTGATTCCACTGTCATGTTCACCAAGCGTGAGATCATCAAACAAAGCGGTTCAAAGTACTCACTTATAGCATAAGATAATTCCCAACCACTCAAATCCTCACTGGCGAACAAAGTGAACAGTACTTTGACGTCTGAACCATACTCAACCACCGTCTCATCTCTATCCAACTCGATGTAGAACTGACCAGTGTTGGAGTCATAAGTCTTAGTATAATGATCCAGATACTGCTGTTCAACTTCTTCGTGGAAAATATGGAACAAAAGTGTTTGAGTCACGAAGAATGGCACATCGTTATTTGCTATACTCTCCATCTTCACGAACAGTTCTGCATACTTTAGAGAATTGTCCACATGAATCGCATCCTCCGCACCTATGCGCACTTTCAAAGAGTAGTACTCGTTGAAATGCTCGGGTTTCCCGTCTCTAATGTCCAAAGTCCATTGCCATATCCGCTGGTCTCTTGTCCTATTCATCTGGTGGTCCACTTGGATCTGAACCGCAGCAGCTAGATCTGGCATCTCCAGATCCTCACAGTAAACATACACAGGAACCCTCACTGAAATGTCATCGGTTGGATAATTCGTGTAGTATTCGATTGCCTCGAGGGGGAGTCTTGAGGCCCTACCGTGGGGAATCAGTAACAACGGTAGCAGTCCTAGCACCACGTAGATGAACAACCTGATTCGGCTTCTGGAGGTCTCCTCTTTGTCCATCGAAAAAAGGGAATATGCAAAAATATGTTTGGGTAAATTCAGTCACTCCTCAAGAATTTTGAACTCTTGATTCCCTCCTTAAACACCGTTTGGTGGCTTTGCAAAGATCTCAAGCCCTTCTTCACCAGTACAAGGTCCTGAAATTGGAGGGGTCGTGGCCAGAACCGGTGAGGCTCAGGCGATGGGCTTGAAATTTTTCACTTTCTCCTTAACGCGACCCCCACAAACAGGCTGTTAACCGAATACGAAAACGGCAAGAGCCAGTATTTTTTCAGCCAAGAATGTCTCTCCAGGATTTTCACAACATCACAGACCCCAGAGAACAGGAGAAGGAGTATGTCCATGAGGTTTATGACGAGATCGCTTCACACTTCTCCCAGACACGCTATAAGCCTTGGCCGATCGTGGACTCATTTTTGAAAAGTCGGCCTGACCATAGCATAGGATCCGATGTCGGGTGTGGAAATGGCAAATATATCGGTTTAAATCCGAAGCTGACGATTTTCGGGTCTGATTTCTCTGGGGAGTTGATCCGGTTTGCTGAGCAAAGGTGTTTGGCTTCGGACGATGTACTGGTGTCAGATGGCTTGAATCTGCCGCACGAAGACTCCAGATTCGATTTTGTGATTTCAATTGCGGTTGTACATCACTTCTCAACCCCAGACAGGCGAGTGGAAGCAGTTCGTGAGCTATTGCGTGTATTACGAACCGGCGGTGAGGTATTGATATATTGTTGGGCTCTGGAACAGGCCAGTTCACGTAGAGGTTGGACTGATGGCATGGAGCAGGATGTGCTAGTGCCGTGGGTTACGCGGGTTGATGGCGAGGAGGTGACAAAACACAGATACTATCACTTGTATCGGGAAGGCGAGTTAGTGAAGGATGTTGGACTTGCTGGTGGGGAGGTGGTAGACCACGGGTACGAGAGAGATAACTGGTGGGTGATTGCGCAGAAGAAATGAACGCGGGCTGCTCAATCGCTCTCCCAAATGAAAACGCAAGGCATTGCAAACCATCTTAATTATCATGAATATAAAATCGGCCTCTAGACATAGGAATACCTAGGAATACCCTGATGCTTAAAATACCCGTCACAGGTAGCAGTGATTTATCCGGAGCTTGTTACGAATCGCTAAGAACGAAAATACATTTAATTATAAAAGCAAACCAACGAACTAGATATAAATATATAAAACTAACGATATCAATAATGATATGACCTCGTTTAGCCTCGCATAACCATCCTTCCAGATGGCATGGTAAACCACCTAATGATAACCTAAAGCGGTCAATATGCCAAGAGAACCGCTCAGATAATCGCATATGATCTTGAATTTAGTCATACTCAATCTTTCAACAATGTCACAGGCCCCACATTTGCTACGATAAACAACAAACTTTATGAGTTCATTACAACTCATGATTAGTAGAACGGTCCCAAGGGTGGGCCGAACGCGAAACCAATTCATGCACGTCAAGCCAATGACACCAGCAAACAGAATAAAATAAACGGTATAAACTCATCATCATTAGTAGGACTGGTTCGGATATGCCGAAGGGCTCGACCCCACGGATCGGTTGCCCGCAGCAATCCTTTCGTATTTGCCCTGTTTCATAACTTTTTTCAGTGCGGCCGAGTCTAGTGGATCCAGCAGCTCGAAAGAGCACAAAAGCTCCTCGCTGACGCTCATTACTGCACCCCAATTGTCAAATTCACCACAGTAATTGGGCGCACTAAACACCGTAACCAGAGATCGGTCATTGAAGAACTCGTATCCGTCTTCCACCACCATGTGGGCACGGACCACGAGATCAAAGTGGAACTTGTTGAGGAACTTGTTGATCGCTACACGGTTGAAACAGTAGCTGACACCTCGCTCGTTGTCTTCCCATTCGTTCGACGTATCCGCTGGATCAGACCACAATAGGTCGTTCAGTAACCCGTAATCTGGCACGTCTGTGGGGCGCTTGATACGACGGATCTCATCCATGGAGTTGAGCACTGGCGAAAGTCCTCCATGAACGCAGAATATCTTGGACGCCACAACTGCCGTGATCGGCAGCGTGTTGAAGGTATCAATGAAAATCTTCCACGTTTTCAGGTTAGTGCGCCTTTTGCACTCGTCAAAAAAACCGTAAGCACGAGTGACCTGTGCACACTCGTGGTTTCCCCGTAGTAAAAAAAAGTTCTCAGGATATTTGATCTTATAGCATAGAAGAAGTAAAATCGTCTCCAATGACTGTTTGCCTCTGTCCACATAATCGCCAAGAAACAGATAGTTTGAAGCGGGTGGAAACCCACATTTGGTGAAAATCCGGATCAAGTCACTGAACTGGCCATGAACATCGCCTACAATCTTCACTGGGGCACTCAATTCCAGTAAAGACGGCTGCGAGAGAAAAATTTCTCGCGCCTTGGAGCATATGATCGCAACCTCGCTGTTCTTGAGGCATAAGTTTTTGGTACGTTTCCCAGCATAACCGGCATCCAACAGTCGCTGAATGGTGCTTTCCAAGTCGAGCTCGTGACTGCTCGCCAATCTCGGCCTGTCAATCCCGTACTCAACTGGGGCATCTTCCAATGGGAAACTCGCTGACACCGGCGTAGATGAATTGCTGCGGTGCGAAGAGGCGGCTGGTGAATGTGAACGGATTGAAAACTCGTTTGAATTTGACCGATGGGTGTCGGGCGCAATAGGCGCCGTTATAGAGAGGTGTTGTAAGGAGGAGCTCGAGCGTTCGCTCTTAAGAATTGGCGATTTCGGCGCTACCTGAACCATCGAAGGCGGTAGTTCCGAGTCATCTCCGGGATCTTGGACCGAGAGATTAGCCACATCTACTGCCAGAGTGTTAACTCCGAGAGAGTTCCTTCGGCTCAGGTTTGGCGGCGTCTCTAGAGTGTTGCTATGGCTCGTTTTGAACGAGGCAGCATCACTGAACTGAGACTCTCGGCTGGTGGACTTCCGGGACCTTGTTGACCTCGAGGACCGCACCGATGTCGAAGTGTCGGACCGAGTGAACGCCGGGTAGTTGGAGCCCTTGTTCGGCTTCGAGGATTGGTTGCCCATGGCTGTGTAAAGAGTAAAACTTTAGCGGCAAATAAGTTGGAATACAAATCTGGATCGGCAGAGCTGAAAGGGGCGCTTTTCTATCTTCAGAAGCAGAAATTGGTGCAACTGGCGGGCAGCAATGGTAGACAAGTCAAGGGGCGCTGAAGGGGAGCGATGCCAAGAGGATGGATAAAAAGGGGGGAGAAAACCGGTTCAATAAAAACCCCCTATCGATAGAGTGCGGAAACGATTGAAGTAGTACTTAATAGCCCGCGAACCTGGTTGGGCTGGTTGGGAACGAAGTAGGCCTAGTCACATTCTTTTCAGGCCAGAAGGGGGTTGTTTTGAGGGAGGCGATTTTGAAATCGTGGAGAGGTTAGAAGCTCTGTGCTTCGGTGGGTACACGTTATTGAGCTAAAACTGGTGCGGCTCATGGAAGGCAGTTTGCTAGGGAGGGGTCGATCAGGATTAGGTAACAGGTGTTTATTAAAGAGTGATCAATAGTGTGTTTAATTTGACGATGAATTACTTAAATTTAGCAGGAACCTCGGGTGCAATGGCTGAGGATTAGTGAAGAACAGCACAGGCGAAACGGACGCTTGACTTGATATTAGTCAGACATTTTATCGGGTTGTGCGATCTGTTCCCGAAGCTTTTTTAATTGTGGAGGTCTGGCCTGTTGTAAGCTTTCGTATCTCCATGGTTGTGCACTTTATTTTGATCTCTACCGCATACCATCTCTTGAGCTGCACTATGCTGTACTTTACTGCAGTATGCTGCAGTATACTGCGTCATCCATTAACTCCTCCTCACCAACGCTCTACATTGTACTCTACTGGTCTCATTCAAAACCTCGTAATTCTTTTAAATTTCATTCTATAAATCTCATTGCCGATCTCGGATCTCAATTCTGGGCGGCATTAGTTTTCGCAGTGATCTCGGCCTGCTTCACCAAGTTGTCTGGGGCATCTTTCTCGTCAAGCATGATCTCAATCATTCTCAGCTTACTAGGCTTGTTGAACTCGGCATCGTTGAACAGCTCCTCAACCTCAGCCACAGTACCCACCTTCAGATTCTCGTAGTCGTGGTTACCCGAGAACAAAGGCAGCATCTTGTGGTGGTCCCAGATCTGGATGTCGTTGTACTGAGCCGTCATACCATGAATCAATCTCTCGATGGTGTAACCGTTGTTGTTGAGAACAAACAGATAGGTGTTGAGACCCCAACGGGCCATTGTCGAGATCTCCTGGACTGTCAGCTGAAGAGAACCGTCTCCAATGAAGAGGATCACACGCTTAGATGGATCAATCTCTTGGGCAGCCATAGCAGCACCAAGAGTTGCACCAACGGTATATCCAATGGATCCCCACAAAACTTGAGAAATACCCACAGTGTTCTTTGGGAAGTGAGAAGAGATAATACCGAAGGCAGAAGTACCTGTCTCGGACAGAACGATATCACCCTCCTTCAAGAACGAAGAAATACGTAACCAAAGCCACTGTTGGGTAAACTTGGTCGATGGGTCATGCGAAATGGTTTTCCAGGCCTGTGGAGAGGTAGGCACAACGGCAGGTGTATATGACTTGACAACGGGCTTGATGGAGGCAATCAAACGTGCGAGAACATGCTTCATCTGGACACCTTGGAAGGTAGCCTGTTTGATTTTACAGTAGTCCGAATGGAACTCCACCACGTTCTTCGTCTGGTACGAATACGAAAACGAACCAGTGTTGAAATCCGACAAAAGAGCACCAATAGACAGAACAAGATCGGCACTCTCAACTGCTTTCTTGACATCTGGGTTGGACAATGTTCCGACATACACACCTCCGAAACGAGGATGATCCTCTTCGATAGAGGACTTACCCATTGGAGTCACAAAGACGGGGAACTGGGTGATGTCAACAAGTTGCTTGGCCTCCTCCTTAACATCATGACGTGTGCAACACGCATCCAAAAGCCAAACAGGGTTCTTGGACTTGCCGACCATCTCGAGAATGGTATCAACAACTTCGTCTTCGGCCTCCTCGTCGTTAGGCTTTGGTGCAAGGTCCAATGGAGTGTCTAGCAAACTGCTTGCAACTCCGTCTTCAAAGAAGTTGGTTGGAATTCCAATGTAAACAGGTCTCTTGTGGATCACAGCAGCTTTGAAGCAACGGTCCAACTCGGAAGGAGCAGTGGCCAGATCGGATAGAACAGTGGAAGTCAAAGAGATGTTTTCGGACATTTCTCTGAACACCGTGAAGTTACCATTTCCAAGGGTGTGGTGCAACAGCAATTGCTTCTGAGTTGCAGCAATAGAAGGAACACCAACAATGTGGATGAGTCCAACATGTTCGGCATAGGCTCCAGCAATACCGTTAAGAGCACTCAGTTCACCAACACCAAAGGTGGTAACTAAACACGAGATACCCTTAATTCTCGAATAACCATCGGCAGCATATGCAGCGTTCAGTTCGTTGGCATTTCCAGCCCATCTCAGTCCTTCAACCTCATAAACGTGGTCGAGCAGTGCGAGGTTGAAATCACCAGGGACACCGAAAATCGTATCAATCCCCAGCTGGTGTAGCCTTTCAAAGATGAAGCGACCCAGAGGAATTTCTGATGGAAGATTTTGTGGCATTGTATTAGATCTGTTGTTAGTAATTGTAAATTGTGCAACAATCGTATACTCGTAGATACAATTATAAAAGGAGTGTGGAAGAGGGCCGAACTTTATAGCGCTTGCTGCGGTTGCGGTGTATCCCGAAATGGCAGGGTGGTATGTTAATCTGGTGATGCCGCTGCACGGGTGCTTCCGGGGCTAACAGATCGTTTAGGCGGTTAATGGGCGAATTTTGGGAGAATTGTGGCCGGATTTTGGCTGATATTTGGCGGCTTTCCGTAAAAATGATTGGGAACCATACTATTAATCGGTTTTGATTTGAATATTTAAAATTTGGCAAATTGGTAGAGCTGTTGGGTGGACTTAGTTATCGCGGGCCTACCGGCGTGAACGGCTTATAACGGGTGAGGCTCCCAAGAACCGGATTAATTGAGACGGGTCGCGGAGTGATGCTAGCCGCGCTGGCAACGGCAAATGGTGCGAGAGACCGATTCTGTAGGTCCCTGGAGGATGTCCAAGGCATTCTCCCGATCCAGAGAACTTTTAGTGGCGCTTGAGTGCATGGATTGGCCCCACGCGCATCCCGCGTAAAATCTGATGTCACGCCCGTCACTCTCCGATGCTTTGTCGGAAGGGCAATTCCCGGTAAACGCTGTCCAAGCGTGAATACTTTCCTATTGAGTTTGTTATCGGATCTAAGGTCTCTTTCAATTAACGGTTATTCCTGCCATTGTGTCCAGTTTATCTACACATTCCTAGCAGCCAGCTCTCTTGCCAAACTTTAACGCTCATCACCTGACAAAGACGCTCTGCCATTTGTGTCAGTGCGCGCATTGATAAGGTCGTGTCCATATAATTAAGCACGTGATTGATCGATTCTCAAAAGGATGTATACAGTGTACCTAGGTCCTCAGTCAAAGTCTGGGTAGACCAGGTTGTTCTGTTTTCTCAAGCTGTCGATTGTGTCCATGACTAACAGAGACTCTGCGGGTGGGCACAGATTGTTTTGGGTTTTACCTTGCTTGATGTCAATAGCAACTGCGTCCGCCTCATAGTAAAGTCCATATCCGGGTATATCGAACTTCTTTTCTACCACTTTTCCGTCGGTGTAGGTGATTCGGTATCTTCTTGGACTGGCCTGGTTGAATCCCCATAACTCAATGTACCCCTTAGTGCCACTGAGGCGGAGATATGGTTGCGAACCTGCGACTTCGAGACCACACGTCAGGACCGCCTGGCGTCCAGTCTCTTCATACTGCACCAAGATCGACGTAAGCAAATCCACACCTCCACGAATCTTCATCGCAGCTGTAGAGGTAAACTTTGCGGCCTTATTGCCAACTCCAGAGTCGAGCAACAGCCTAGAGTATGTTAGTACATACACTCCCAGATCCAACACTGACCCAGCCCCGAGTCGCGGGTTCTTCATGCGATCATCATCACTCAAAGCTTCAAGTTTGGCATCAAATGACATGTCCATGATCAGCCTGCGGATTTCTCCAAGCGCTTTCTGCTCGAACAGCAAATCCCGAATCTCGTGAATTACGGGGAAAAACCTTGTCCACATGGCTTCCATCAGAAAAAGCCCTTTCTTCTCTGCCAGAGCAAACATCTCGCGTGCTTCACGAGCATTCATACAAAAAGCTTTTTCACACAGAACGTTCTTACCTGCGTTCAGGGCCTTCAATACGTGCTCATGATGCATTGAGTGGGGCAATCCAATGTAGATGCACTCCACGTCATCGTTGGAATATACTTCGTCATAGGTCTGGATTAGTGGTGTATTAATGTGAGGCAAGTACTTTTCCACAAATGCAAGGCCTTTTTCTGGAGAGCTAGAACCAATAGCCGCAATTACGTGGTTAGCCCTGGCATCTGGTCTGTCAATAGAAATATCAGTCGTGAACCACGACGAGATCATCCCCGTGGATATAATACCCCATTTAAGAGTTGGAAGTTGCGACATTGCGAAAAACGAAAGAAAAACAATGACAGATGTGGGATTGAAATACTCCACAGGGAAATCCAGAGGCATTTATATACGATCGCAAATCTCGGCAGTTTCTCCACATTTGACTGGGGTGTCGACTGCACCCCGTTTCCGAATCAGGCAATCATCGTGCAGCACGATAACGAGGAGGTCACAAAAAAAGAGTAAAGACCTTAACATATAAATGGGGATTCATTGGATGTTTGTGATGAGGTAGGGTTGCTCTCATTCGAGACTCAGACATCACATTGCCCTGACAGGCAACTGGCTTTTGTCTGACCCCATGGTCACAGTTCTACATGGTTTATTACCAGTTATTCTTTAGGCTTCTCTATGTATATCCCCTACTTCTTCAGGAATAACTTGTAGACATCATTGTCAGTCTCCTCCTGGTATGAGTAGTGCAAGTTCTCGAGAAACTGGTCGAACTTTTCATAGTCCTCCTTAGGCACAGAAATACCGGCTAACACCTTTCCAATGTCATGGCCCTGGTTACGGTAATGGAACAGAGTCAGGTTCCAGTTGCTACGCAGTCCCTCCAGGAAGTTTGTCAGAGCTCCTGGTCTCTCTGGGAACTCAAACGAGAATACCCGCTCGTCGGCATCGGCAACAGACCCCCCAACGAGGTAACGGCCATGACTCTTGGCCATCTCGTTATCACTTATGTCTAGCGCGTTGAAACCAGCCTTTTTGAGCTCAGTACATACCTCGTTCAGCTCCTCTTTACCCCTATTCACGTTAAAAGAGGTGTACACGTTAGCCACACCTCCATTAGAGCCATCCAGTCTGTAAGAGAACTCCGTCACGGAACGAGGGTGGATGATCTTTTGGAGCTTGAGAAAAGTGCCGGGGACATCTGGGATTTGAACACACAAAAACGCCTCTTTACCTTCACCCAGAACTGCACGTTCAGACACGAAACGCAACCGGTCAAAGTTCATGTTCGCCCCGGATAGTACTGGTACGTATGTGCCATTCTCGTGGGGATGTTCTTGCAAATATTTCTTCAGCCCAGCAACGGTAACCGCTCCAGAAGGCTCTAGAATGGCACGTGTATCTTCAAAGATATCCTTAATTGCAGCACAAATTTCATCGGTGGATACCCGCACGATTTCATCGACACAGTCCTGGGCTACGGTGAAGGTCTCAGACCCAACAGTCTTGACTGCTGTTCCGTCTGCAAAAAGTCCAACCGAGTCCAGTGTCACAGGATGACCAACCTTGAGACTCTCGTACATACCACATGCGTCGTACGTCTCAACACCAATCACCTTCACGTGTGGAGCGAGTCTTTTAAGATACGATCCAACTCCGGCAATAAGTCCTCCACCACCAACGGCACAGAACACAGCGCGGATTTTGTCGCTACTGATCTGGCGCAAAAGCTCCACTGCAATTGTACCCTGGCCTGCAATAACGTATGGGTGTTCGAAGGGTGGAACGTCCGTCATTCCCTCTCTTTCACAGATCTCAGCACATTTAGCCTTGGCCCCGTCAAAGTCCTGACCCGAAAGCACCACCTTCGCACCGAAACGCGCCACATTATTGTACTTGATACTGGGAGTTGCTAGGGGCATCACAATTGTGGCTGGAATTCCCAGCTTTTTTGCCGAAAAAGCCACGCCCTGTGCGTGGTTTCCAGCTGAGCATGCAATAACACCCTGTGCCTTACGTTCGGGCGACAGTTGCGAGATCATGTTATATGCTCCACGCAGCTTGAAGGAGAAAACTGGGAGAAGATCCTCACGCTTGAGGACCACATCAACTCCCAGTCTAGAAGAAAGTGCCGGAGCAGGTGAGATTGGAGACTCGGATATAGCATCGTACACCTTCGACGTGAGGATAAGCTTGACATAGTCGGGCCGGCCGTTGGGAAGGATATCATCCTTCCTGAGATCCGGAAACCGTTCAAGAATGGCTGTGGATTTGAATCGCGGCAACGGCACTCTCTTGAAGGCCCTCATTTGGAAAGTCTAGAGAATATTTGGAGTGTTGCTGATCAGAGACTGGGTCAAGAATTTTTCACCTCCTTCACCGGCCCGGGGTCGTAGATGCAGAGTCATAGCCTGCTTATGTCAGCACATACTGGGAATCTACGAACTTGCTGGAATTTCGTTATCTGCGGTTTAAGTGATTGAGTACAAATATAAGTAAAATAGCTTAGTGCTGGGTGACTTAGTGCTAGGTTTGAAAATAGCCAATTTTGAAAAGTGGAATATGTGTGAAAATCAGTGATTTTACAGAATTGTAAGCAAAAGCATCTGAGCCGCAGGTATTGATTTGCTAAAGTCTGAGTAAATTTACTGTGAAACCCCACAGTTGGAACTTGAATGAAAGAAACACGACAAAAGACGCCGACCCCGAAATAAGGTTTGTTTCGAGCTTTCATGGCCAGAAAAACTCAACTCTCCAATCATCACGAGACTCACCTACTAGAGTCAACAGGAGATTATCTCTACACTTATACATTTTCAGATTATAACCAAAACCAATACGATCTTTATAGCAGGAAGCACTGCAAATCAATTCCTTAAAACGGCTAACAATTTTCCAATGCTTTGAGCCCAAACCACCTTTCCTCGAATATTGTCATTGATAGCTTTCGACGATCCGGGGTTCCTCCTGCGTTACGAGCCCACGAATTAACCCCAACCCCACCATCTGACTCGCTCAAATGGGTAACGCACCCGCAAGATGCACCCCAAGCCCAACTTGCATAAATAGATGAAGGTGGCCGTTTTGAAAACACCAATTAACTGACCTTTTCTTTCAAGAGTTGCCGTCATGACCTTGCTCAATCCTTCAGTAGTACTCAACAAAATTGACGAAATCGTCATTGAGGACAGACCAGTTCCCAAAATCGAAGACCCTCACTATGTCAAGATAGCTATTAAAAAAACAGGAATCTGTGGCTCGGACGTCCATTACTACGTCCACGGTTGCTGTGGTTCATTTGTGGTTACTGCCCCAATGGTGCTCGGGCATGAATCTGCCGGTGAGGTTGTTGAGGTCGGTTCGGCTGTTAAGACCCTCAAAGTTGGCGATCGTGTTGCCTGTGAGCCTGGTATACCATCACGGTATTCCGCGGAATACAAAAGCGGCAACTACAACCTCGACCCTGACATGGCTTTTGCCGCAACGCCCCCTTACGATGGAACACTATGTCGATACTATCTTCTTCCAGAGGATTACTGTGTGAAATTGCCCGATCATGTTACATTAGAGGAGGGCGCTTTGGTCGAGCCTCTGTCTGTTGGAGTCCATTCTTGCAGACTAGCAGATGTTAAATTTGGTGACAAATTGGTTGTTTTTGGAGCCGGTCCAGTGGGATTGCTTGTTGCTGCTGTAGGAAAGGCCTTCGGTGCTACTGATGTTCTGATCGTTGACATCGTTGAAGACAAACTACAATTTGCCAAAAAGCTTGGTGTTGCTACACACATCTACAACTCTTCAGGGGATAGAGGAAAATCACTAACTGAAACAAAGGAGCTTCACAAGGCAGCTTTTGGCGACCAATTGGCCACCGTTGCAATTGAAGCTACTGGAAACGAGTACTGTATTGCCTCGGCATTGCATTTGCTCGCACCAAAAGGGAGATATGTCCAGGTTGGTATGGGCAAGGAGAACCTAGGATTGTTCCCCATGGGAATTGTAGGCGAAAAGGAACTCACCATCAAGGGCTGCTTCAGATATTCTGTTGGTGATTACGAGACTGCGGTCGGTTTAATCGCTTCAGGAAAGGTCCAGGTCAAGGAGCTGGTGACACACCGGTTCAAGTTTGAACAGGCCATCGAGGCTTACGAAGTGGTGAAGTCTGGAAAGGCCATCAAGGCGATTATTGATGGGCCAGAATGAAGTTTGACTTCTACTAGGTCAAATGCGATTAATGTAAGTTCACCTTGTTCTTAGCACCTCAATAGATAATCCTTCCCAATAATCCTTATCATTCGAACATTCGTAGATATGTCTGGCAGGTTTAAACTTTTAGCTCACCACTCCACACTCCACAATCCACGCACGACCTGATTTGCGTGGGCCGCGCTAGATTTCCCGATCCGGAAACGTTCCTCCACCATCGCTTTTGGCCAACAAGACAAAGTCGTCTGTGCTGTAGCCGGTAGTTAAACGCCGTTTCTTCCTACTTTATTACCCTTTTTTCTTCCTGATGGATCAATTAGTTTCGAAATTTGAGGGAAACATTGATTTCAAGGGCCAACAACTTGCAGAATCGGTCTCGAACACGGTATTGATAGTTGGTTCAGTGGCTTCTTGTTTAATAGGCTTTGTTACTCAGAACGTCAAGCTGACTTGCTACGCTTTTGCTATTTTTTTGATCTTAGACCTTGTTATTGTGGTGCCGCCCTGGAAACAGTATCGTGCTAATCCGGTGAGATTTGCCACGTCCAATCGCTCTATTGAGGTAGTCAATTAGTCATGTCCGAATTACAGTCTAAAACATCAGACCTCTTTCTGGGGTTTGATCTTTCTACGCAACAACTCAAGGTGATCTCCGCATATGCGAATTTATCTGCTCACAAGACGTATAGGGTCGATTTTGATGCGGATTTGCCCCACTATGGTGTCCACAAAGGTGTTCACTCCAATGAAGAAACAGGCGAGATCTACGCACCCGTGGAAATGTGGATCGAAGCACTTGATCTCGTTTTCACCCGGATGAAGGAGGATGGATTTCCTTTTGCTGATGTCCGTGGGATGTCCGGTTCTTGCCAGCAGCACGGGTCTGTCTATTGGTCAGAAAAGGCCGAATCGCTTTTGAACAACCTTTCAGCTTCAAAACCGCTCAAAGACCAGCTATGCCCCGAGGCTCTCACTTTTCTGAACTCGCCTAATTGGCAGGATCATTCTACTGGTCCTGAACTCGAGATTTTTGAGGATTCCGTTGGTGGACCTGATGCCCTGGCTGAGATCACTGGCTCAAGGGCCCATTACAGGTTCACCGGAACGCAGATCCGCAAGCTTGCAACCCGTGTTGACAAAGACCTGTACCGTCAGACCGCCAGGATCTCACTTATTTCAAGTTTTTTGAGTTCTCTTCTTGCTGGAACCATCACCAAAATCGAGGAGGCTGATGGGTGTGGAATGAATATATATGACATCTCAAAGTCGGCATACGATCCACAATTGCTTGCAGTCACTGCGGGTGTTCACCCGAAGTATGATGGAAGTTCTGCTGAAGAAACCGCGTCCGGTGTGGCTGATCTACAGAAGAAATTGGGAGACCTTGAGCCAATTGGCCCTCATCCGGTGGGGACGGTTTCTTCGTATTTCGTGGAAAAGTACGGGTTTAACGCAAACGCCCAAATTTTCTCCTTCACAGGTGACAATTTGGCCACAATTTTGGCCCTACCACTTGCAAACAACGACATCCTGGTTTCTATGGGTACATCTACCACTGTACTACTTGTGACAGACCAGTATGTTCCATCGGCAAACTACCACATCTTCAAACACCCAACCATCCCCGGTTCATTTATGGGAATGCTTTGCTACTGCAATGGTTCGCTTGCAAGGGAACTAATCAGAGATGAGGTGAACCACAAGTTTGGCGAACCAAAGAACTCTTGGACCAAGTTTGACTCCTTGCTGGATTCTGCAAAGCCTCTCGGCGGAGGTTCCGCTAAAAAGCTCGGCGTCTACTTCCCAAAAGGTGAGATCATCCCCAACTGCTCTGCACAAACGAGACGATACACTTACACGGATTCATTGGTAGAAGTTGATGCCACAGATAACAATTCTGAGTGGACAGCCGAAGACGATGTAGCTGCCATTGTTGAAGGACAAGCTTTGAGTTGTAGATTGCGTGCTGGCCCCATGCTTGCCAGCACCACTGCCGATGAGAGGTCTGGGGACGAAACAAAGCACGACGAGATGATAGCAGAGATTCTGTCCAAGTATGGGGAGATTGGATCCGATGGAAAAGCGCAGGATGCCAAGGCTTTGTCGTCGCGCCCTAACAAGTGTTTCTATGTCGGTGGTGCTTCCAAGAACGTATCCATTGTTTCCAAATTCGCGTCGATTTTGGGACCTCTCAACGGCAACTTCAAGGCTGATCTGAGTGATGCCTGCGCACTCGGTGGCTGCTACAAGGCGATCTGGTCACAGGAAACCAACCTCGCGAAAGAAAGTGGTGTTTCTTGCCTCGGGTACAATGAGTTTCTGAGCAAAGGCTATGACTGGGACAACAACGTCGAGAAGCTAAATGTAAAGGAAGAATGGGACGATTACATTGATGGTGTTGGGATTTTGAGTAGCATTGAGAAGACGTTGAGGCACTAGTGGGAGAAGTGAAAAGAACTAGTTAGAAAACCAGTTGTAAACCAGGGTGGAGAACCCTCACCACCTACATAACACCTACATTTCAATCATAAATATCCTCGTATTTCTATACTATGCTAACTCCTGACCATGAAAATTTCATTCAAGGCCTTCTCGTCCATCACCGCAGCTCTTTTCTGCCTGATATACCGCTGTCTAGCGGCCAGTCTCGTGGATATAACCTGGGAAGGCGCGGACTCTTTCACTTTCAACGAGATTTCCTTCTTTTCTTTCTCATCTGACTTAACCTTCTTTTCCTTCTTTTCCTTCTTTTCCTTTCTCTCCTTCTTTTCTTTCTTCTCCTTCTTCTCAGACTTGTCTTTCTTTTCCTTCTTCTCTCTCTTTTTCTCCTTCTTCTCCTTCTTGCTTTTCCGCTCAGACTTGTCTTCGTCTCTTCTTCTCTTCTTGTCGTTTATCTCTGACTCAGTCGGTATTGGCTTGCCATTAATCAAAGTCCTGTTCTCTTTATCCCACGTACTCCGTAACACCTCTCCCTTCACGAACGAGATTCCCCACCTTCCATTGATGATCCGGTCTTTGGACTTTCTCTCCAGTTCCTTGCTTATTTCGTCTTCTCTCCCATTCAACTTTCCCAAAAGCCGCTGGAAATCATCCAGTCCAGTAGAGTCGCTCTCTATACCCTTCTCTTTTTTTGCCAATCTGGCACCAAGCCCCAATGTGTCATCTTTGAGTGTGACTTTCACATGGGTTGTAGTTGCATGAGCTACAAGTCCCAGTCCGTCTCCAGTCTTCCACCCGAACTTCTCCAGCTGCTTGTGCCCAAAACGAGAAGTGTCATTCGACCAGTTCGTGTTTCTGGGATCGAACCCAAACCTCTGCTTGACTCTTGTTGCCGCTAATCCCATGATGTAGATGAAGAGATGTATGCGATAGGATGATGTTCCTTGTTTGTTTGTGAATTAAAAGGCCTGCGTTTCCTAGGAAGGAAAACTAATCTTTTGTGGGTGCTTCTGCTTAGGGTATGCATATCTATAAAAAAATTCTTAGACGCACGCGATGAAGTGGCAGACCTCTTTGGTGCGGCACACCCAAGTCGGCTTCATTTCCCAATTTAGTGCAAAAATGAATCGAGTTTGGACAAATCAATAAACCAATTGGCAATTTGCAATCAAAACAATGATCTAAAAGATTAAAATCTACTCTTCGCTATCGAAGAGTTGACCGACCATTGTGTTTTGCATCCCTCTCACGAATACATTGCGGCAATACCCTCGAGTTGTCCACGACCAATATCATTCTGGCTGCTAGTGCAGAACGAGGTCTACCACCTTACGTAGCGACATTGAATAGAATAAATGTAGTTCACTCAGGTTTTAACAACTATTGTTTACAAATAACTCCGCCAAAATTGCCTCTTCGAACCGCAGACGTAGCATACACAGATCTAATTGAATATCATGCTCAGGTTTACTCTGCACTATGCGTTCACCTCCGCACGCAAGGTTGGGAATTTTTCGGAGAGCATAGCTTAGAGAGACGAGTCGGAAGACTACAGCAAGCCCAACGCATACAGATCAACACCATTCAACCAACAGCATGTCTGGATACGCTCTATCGGAAGAATCAAAAGAGAGAATTGTCAAGGTCTTGGACACCTCCAAGGTGATCGCTCACTACGGCTGGATCCCATTCATCCTGTATTTGGGATGGTCGTCCACCGCAGAGAGACCAAGCGTCTTCAACCTGCTGTCGCCATTGCCAAGTTTGATGTAAACGAACAAATCTGAGCCCATGAAATGACCCGAGATGGACATGTACATGATGACCGAGACCTGGAACTAGAGCTGAAGCAGACTGCTTCAACATAGCTCAGACTCTCCGGCCAATACCTGGAGTCTCTATGAACGTGGAATGTATATAATATAAAACAAAAAACTTTTACGCTATTTCAACCAGAGCTATAACTAGATATAATCCCGTAAATACATGCCCTTATATAAGTTTTTGGCCATAAAACGGGCCTCAAAGTTTCAGCAAATTGGCCTGCGCTAAAGCTCTTCCTCAGCTTACGCATAGAGTACCTTACCTGCCTATCTATTTATCTGTCTTCTTTCAAGCCCTCTTTTGTCCCACTCACCACATTCACTTTTGATTAGTCCATGACTAAACCATATCATTTGAGTTCACTTTGTCTACCGCACCAGTGAATATGTCACAAATACAACAGCAGGGAGAAATACCGAAAGGTGTTAGCCCGAACCTTCTGAACAAGACCACAGTTGAAGCATTGTCTGGACTCTCTGCTGGCTTCATAACTACGATTATCACACACCCATTGGATCTTTTGAAGCTCAGAATGCAGCTGGATACAACGAACTGGCGATCGCCGTGGAATCGTATCCGGGTGCTATCTGGTGAGCTGCTTGCGAACTCGGTGGACGCAGAAACCAAGAAGCTAAAAGTGGGTTCTTTTACAAAAGAGTTATACAGGGGAATAACGCCTAATTTGATAGGAAGTACGTCTGCTTGGGGATTGTACTTCATGTTCTATTACGAGTACAAAAAGCTTATCGCTACAATGGGTAGCAAGAAGGAACTCGACTCTGGTGAATATTTAGCAAGTGGCTTTGCTGCTGGTATTTCAACCTCACTGATAACGAACCCGATATGGGTATTAAAGACCCGAATTATCAGCACTTCGAGAAAAGCCCCAGGTGCGTACTTATCCACGCTGGATGGAGCACGCAGGATCCTCAAAGAGGAGGGCATACTGGGTTTCTGGAAGGGTCTACCACCAGCATTAATCAGTGTATCACAAGGAGCGTTACAATTCTCCATCTATGATACCATGAAGACGAGCATTTTGAAGCAACAAGAAGACAATCTTACCACTTTCCAGTACATCTACACCAGTGCCATATCTAAGATGGTTTCCACGGTTGCCCTATATCCATTCCAGGTTATGAGATCGCGACTACAAGGATACACAGCGATCGACCAGCCAAAGACCATGATCCAGGTAGCAAAAAAATTGGTGAAGAAAGAGGGTTTCACCGGTTTCTACAAAGGTGTCGTCCCGAACTTGATCCGGGTAGTCCCAGCTACATGTATCACCTTCGTGGTTTACGAGAATGCTCGTACGGCGCTTTCCTAACTCCAGCATATTCCAGCATACTTATAAACAATTCAAAACCATAGCATGTCTGTGTAAATTCGTCTCTGGTCAACTTCGTCTCGAAGTCCGGGTGAAAAAGTCGTGTATGCTCAATCTTAGTCAATTGTGACCTGCCCAAATGACAGTACGTCAGACTATCTAGAGATCTATCAAGTAGTTGTAAGCAATTGGGCAACTCGATCGGTTGAAAAGGCTTAGTTCGGCAGTTTAGGAAATGAGAACATTAATTAACGAGAGAACGAGGACAATTGCTCTTGTCTCCGACACCCATGCCTTGCTGTTTAGGTACATTCCGGATAAGGATCAGTGTGGAATCGAGCTTGTTCCCAAGAAGAACCTCAATGTCAAGCAGTACAAACCATTGTCCAATCATAGGGCATATGGATTCATCGGTCTGCTTAATATTGGCAAGGATGTGTTTTTGGGAGTGATTACTGGAAAGGCAGAGGTGGCCTCTCCAATACCCAATGAAACTGTGTTCAGAATCTACAACGTGGAGTTTCATTGTCTCAACAGAAACTCGTGGGATTTTTTGGAAATTGACTCGACCGGCTATCCGAGCGTTCACGGCTCTGACTCTTATGACCAGGCGGGAACCCCACCAAGGTTCGAACAACATCCATGTTTCGAGATCAAAAAGTTGCTTTCTGATGGCTCGTTCTTCTACAGCTCCGGATTTGATTTGACCAGTACGCTCCAATCACGTGGAATTGGCACCCATTCGCTGTCATTTGACAAGTTTCACGAAGATTACATGTGGAACTCGTTCATGATGGAAGAAATAGTTTCCTTCAGAAACAACCTAGAGGAGGGGGCCACCCAGCTCTTGGACGAGAACATGTTTCTCACCACCGTGATAAGAGGCTTTGCTGAGACCTTTAACCTGCATATTCGGGGCGCAAGAGCCAAAATGACGATCATCTCGAAACAGTCCTGGAAGCGAGCAGGCACACGTTTCAATGTTCGTGGAGTAGACGACGAGGGAAACGTTGCCAACTTTGTGGAGACTGAGCTCATTCTGTCCACAGATCGGTTTATATACGCTTTCACCCAGATACGTGGGTCGATACCGATATTCTGGGAGCAGGACACAGCGTTGATATCTCCCAAGGTGCAGATAACTAGAAGTTTCGAGGCCACAGAACCAGTTTTTGAGAAACACTTTCAGAAGCTCAGCGAGAAATATGGTCCCATCCATATCGTCAATTTGCTTTCCACCAAATCATCCGAGATAGAGCTGAGTCGCACATACAGAAAGCATGTTCTAGCAGCCAGCGAGAAACACCCAGAACAGATGTATCTGACCGAGTTTGATTTTCACCAAGAAACCTCCAAAACATACGCTTTGGCATCCAACATTCTGCCGATGATAGGGAACTCCATGGACGAATTTGGTGTGTTCTGCTATGATGTGGCAGGCCGTCGCACGGTAAGCAGACAACAAGGCATTTTCAGAACCAACTGTCTTGACTGCTTGGACCGCACAAACCTGGTTCAGCAGGTGATCTCGTGGGCCGCACTGGAGAATTTCCTACGCAGCAAAGGCCTTATTAATGGCTACGAAACAGACATATCAGGAAGACATAACACGCTATGGGCCGACCATGGTGACCAGGTATCTCAGATTTACACTGGTACCAACGCCCTGAAATCCAGTTTTTCCAGAAGCGGAAAGATGGGATTTGCAGGAGCTCTCAGTGATGTCACCAAGTCAGTGAGCAGGATATATATCAACAATTTCATGGATAAAGGAAAGCAGAACACAACCGATATGTTGCTGGGGAAGCTTTCTAACCAGTCTCCAGTCAAGATCTATGACCCGATCTCGGAATACGTTTACGACGAATTGGAAAAGGTGAAGTCTCAATTCACGACCAAAGACCAGATCACCGTCTTCACAGGCACTTACAATATTGCGGGAATTCCGACAGTTGGAGATCTCAAGTCTTGGTTGTTCCCAATGGAGAACGGGGGGACGGATTTTTCACCGGACATCATCATTCTTGGTTTCCAAGAGGTTGTAGAGCTCACTGCGTCCAACATCCTGAATTCTGACAATTCAAAATCGGCTTACCTTCAGCAGCTTGTGGTGAAACAACTTGCTGCGTATAATGAGAAGTCTTCGTATGTTCTTCTCCGTGCAGAGAAGTTGGCCTCGTTGCTGCTGCTTCTGTTTGTGAAGACTGAAAACATGGCAAGGGTAACACAGGTGGAGGGCACATCCAAGAAGACTGGACTAGGAGGCATGACAGCCAATAAAGGAGGTGTAGCCATCAGGTTTGACTATGGAGCAACGCCTTTTTGTGTTCTCAACTCGCATCTGGCCGCTGGTGTCAGCAATGTTGAAGAGCGACTGAATGATTATGTCACAATCAAAAACGGGATGCGCTTCACAAGAAATAGAACCATTTTCGACCACGAGGCGGTCATATGGCTGGGTGACTTGAACTACAGAATTGCGCTGGACAATGATCGCGTGAGGAATGGAGTTGACCGCAGAAACTTTGACGAACTTGCTCAGCATGACCAGCTGATAAACGGTATGGCATCACGAGACGGGGCGTTTTCCACATTCAAAGAGATGAAGATCACGTTTGCGCCTACTTATAAGTATGACAAAGGAACAAGTGTGTATGACACCTCGGACAAACAACGTGTTCCTTCTTGGACTGATCGTATCTTATACAGAGGGAAGAAGCTGTCCCAGCTAAACTATGGGGCAATTGACTCTGTCATGTTCTCGGACCACAAGCCTGTTTTCGGAACATTTGTCGCCGAAGTGACTTACGTGGATAACGACATCAAGCATGGACTAATATTGAACCTTTACAAGAAGTTCAAGTCTGAACACGCAGGTGAGAGCTCTTCGTTGATAGACCTCAATGATCTTGGAAGGGAAGAGGATTACGGCCATGGTGGAAGACCTTCCTCAAATACAGCTTTTCTGATAAGTCTGGATGAAAAGCCAAAACTTCCTCCTAGACAACCAACCACTGCTTCGCACGAAACTCCACCACCACCTCCTCCCGCTCGCAGACTTGCTGAAAAACCACCGACCTTGCCGATGCGTCCTATGCCCGTTACAAGATCACAGAACGCTACGCCAGATTCGGCAATGGCTGCACCAGCTGCTCGTGTTCCTGTGAATATCCCCACGACCTCGCCAAGTCAGTCACCCGCGCCGGTTGCATCTCCCCCAGCCTCAACCACTTCAAGCTGGAAGCCGATGCAGGTCACACGGTCGGCGACAGCGACTCCGGTCGATGCCCCACAACCTCCTCAACCCCGGCCAGGGTCCACAATTATCCACAAACCAACGGCGACAAACACAACCAAAACTGCACCACTTGTACCGGCCAAACCAAAGGGTCTGGAAAAGATCACCACCTCGTCCTCAGAGGTGCCTACCACCTCCTCTGGCGAGTGGAGACCAATGGTGCCTAATAAGTAATAGACTATACGGAGCAACCAGGAAGACGCAATTCTAATTAGCCAAATTTCAAAATATATTTACTCAGAAAACTCGCTCTCGTCGTCATAATCCGATTCGGGCTGTGACTCAGAAACGGAGTCCATCTCCTCGTCGCTGTCCACCAACTTCACTGCCTTCTTAGCGGCTGCCCTCTTTGGAACGTTTTTCGCAGGCACAACGACAGGGACATGAGACAACTCGTCTTCATCATCTAAAATCTTTGCCTTCTTGGGTGGAGCCTTCTTCGCAGGAATGGAGTTAGGCTTAACCAGAACCTTCTTTAATACTTTCTTCGTAGCGGGCTTGGCCTTCACCTCATCTTTAGATGCTTTTGATGGAAACGCGGATGCCTTCACCACATCATCAAACTTGGAAAAACTATCATCCAAGGCCATATCGTCTTCCGCATCGCTCAGATCCACCCTGATGGGGCTTCCAAAAATGGCAGAACTGAATATGTCATTCTCCTGTTTTGGAGCTGTGAGCGAGGGAGGAAGGACATCATTGGTCTTAGCCTTCGTCTTTGGTGCTGCTGAGGTCTTCACCTTCTTTTTGTTGGGCGCAAAATCATCATCATCATCATCCTCTTTCTTAGCCTTTGTCTTACGAGCTCTCTTCTTTTTGGTAACAATGTCAGCTACGCCTGACAAGCGACGCTGCAAGTCATCCTCCAGCAACTTATCCCACGCTTCTCGTAAATCATGCAGGTCAACCTTCCACAAGTCTTTAGCTGACAAAGCCAGGAGAGTAGTCAGCTCGTTTTCTTTCTCAATCTTCTGAGCCAAAAGCTTCTCATACCTTTCCCTGGTCAGCGACCAGATAGGCAAGCCTAGTAAATAATCATAACTGCTGGATGCAGTAACTGCCTTATGGATGATCGACGTATCCGCATCAACAATATCTTCCTCATCGCTCTCACTATCATCTCTAGATATTGCCTTGACTGGGGCACCGTTTTTATCAAAACTGGGGAACTTCAGAGACTGAAGCTCAGCAACTAGATCCTTCTTCTTTTTGTTGGAAACCACAAGCTCTCTGTCGATGATTAGCTTGATGAACCTGGCTTGGGCCGACAATTTCTCAAGCTGGTTTGAGAATTGCTCAACCATGTGATCCTTGCGAAGTTGGTAAAAGTGCAATCTGACATTGTAGTAATCTTTGAGGATATCTTTCACATCGTTGTACTTCTTGATTCTACCATTTGCATCAAAGGCCACCATATTGGCTGTGGACAAAGAAGTGACCAGCTTGAAACGTTCTTTCAATCCCATTGCAAGTGACTTGGCCATCTCTTCTTGAGTCAGCGTGATGACAAATTTAATCCCAACGCCATGCTGTTCCTGCATATCTTTGATCCAAGGCTTTTGCTTCTCAGTTCCAGCTAGTCCTTGCAAAAGATATTCTTTCATGGTAACAGTCCACATCTTGATGGGTAACTCGGAAATCTCAACGGTACTCTCGTCAATCTGTTCAATTTTACCTTCGACTTTGTACTTGTCAGGACTCAATTTGATAATATCACCCTCCCAGCCACGATACCATGGAACCATTTCTTCAAGCTCCTCGTCGTCAAGCAATCTTCTAATGTTATCAATGATATCAGCAGGGTTGTACGAAGGAATATTACTGCTCCACCCAGTACCAATTCCTTCTGCACCATTAACCAGAATCATAGGAATGATGGGGATATACCATTCAGGCTCGACGGTTTGTTCGTCATCTTGCAGGTATGTCAGCAATGGGTTATCCTTAGGGTTGAACACCTTCTTGGTAATAGAAGCTAGCTCCGTGTAAATATACCTAGCAGCGGACGCATCCTTACCTCCTGACCCTCTGGTACCGAAACCTCCTAATGGCATGAGGAGGTTCATATTGTTACTTCCGACGAAATCCTGCGCCAAACCAACAATACTTTGAATCAATGAAGCGTCACCATGATGATATCCCGTGTGTTCCCCAATATAACCTGCCAGCTGGGAAACTTTGATTTCCGAGCTGAGATTTCTCTTGTAACAACCGTACAAGATCTTTCTCTGAGAAGGTTTGAAACCATCCAAAACAGACGGAATTGATCTAATGTTATCAGCCATTGAGAAGAGAATCAACTCTTTGTTAATGAATTCAGAGATTGGAATAACCTGAAGGTCTGGATCTAAAAAGGTTCCAGGTTGAAAACCCCTAAGCCACTCCTTACGGTCGTCAGCCTTCTTCTTGGAGAATGCTAACTCGATCAAACCAACGTCAGGAGGTTGAAGTTCATGAAAGTGTTTCAAATGCTTGTCTAGCATGCCAAAGTACTCTCTCATTTCGGCCGGAGAGGAGGTACCCAAACCCTTGTAGTACTTCTGTTTGTAACTGTATGTGTTTCCAATGTTGTCTCTCCATTCTTCGTACTCTGGCATGTTGTAGAATGGTATAACCTTACCCTTTTCTGGACCCGTGAGCATCGTGATCTTCACAATGGGTGTGATGAACTCAATAAGGAAACCAGGGACACTCAGCAGGCCGGGGAAGGAGGACTCCAAGAAGTTAATGATCAAACCTTTGATATGGGATCCATCATGATCTTGATCAGTCATGATCATAATCCGACCATATCTGAGGGTATTAATGTTGCTGGTGTCGTATTTTTTCTTATGCTGTAATCCCATGATTTGCTTTATGGCAGAAATTTCTGCATTCTTCATGATTTGATCAACGGTGGCCTCCCTCACGTTCAACATCTTACCTCTGAGTGGATAACACCCGTAGAAGTCTCTTCCTACAACAGCCAAACCAGCAACCGCAAGAGCATGAGCAGAATCACCCTCGGTGAGAATTAAAGTACACTTGTGACCATCTTTGGTACCGGCTTTATTGGCATCTTCCAACTTGGGGTATCCGGTGACTCTGCTCTTACGAGAACCGTCACCTTTCTTCAAAGCTTTGTCAGCATTTGCTGCAGCAATATCCAGAACACTGTCAACGATTCCACTTTTCAAAACCTTTTTGACGAACTCGTCTGGAAGCTCCATCTTTTTACCACCAAACTGGCTAGGTCTGGTAGTCAGCTGCTCCTTCGTTTGGGATGTGAAAGCAGGGTTTTCAATCAGACAGTTAATAAAGAGAAACATATTATTTCTGACCTGAAATGGCTTGATCATTGCCCTCTTGTTCTTCTTCTTTGTTTGTTCGATAATCTTATCGACAAGCATATCAGCAATCAAGTTGACATGGGTACCACCCGCCGTTGTGGCAATGGAGTTCACAAAAGACACCTGATTGAAAGTTCCATCGGACAAGGAAAATGCAATCTCCCATCTGTCATTAATAACTTGGTAGACGATAGTTGGTGAGGAGCTTGGAGGAGGTGTCAAAGCACCCTCCTCTTTCACCTCGGTGAACTGGACCTTAGTCGCCTCTAAAGATTTGACATACATCTCCACGTACTTTGAAAAGTTGGAGATCTTGATGAGTTTTCCATCCAGGTACACTTTTATGCCCCTCACGGAGCCACATATATCGTAAACACGACGACGGAGCACGCCCAAAATATCAGCATCCAGCCTTTCCATTCCAAACTTGGACAAATCAGGATTGAAGGAGATTTTCGTGTACTCTTTGGCGGTCTTCATGGCCGTAATCTTCGGCTTGGTATGAGAACTCATATTGTTTGACCAAGTTTGCTTGTAGACTTTTCCACTTTGCTTGTCAGCAGTCTCAATGGTGAAAGAGGTGGAGAAGATGTTACACAACTTGGCACCATAACCGTTTCTACCACCAGTTACTTTCTTCTCATCGTCATCATAATTACTGGAGGTGAGTAGATGGCCAAAGATCAACTCTGGAATGTAAATTTTTTCTTCCTCGTGAATCTCAACTGGAATACCTTTACCGTCGTTCTTGACCTCAATAAGGTTATTTTCAGCATCTATCACGACATCAATTCTTGTCATAGTTGGATCCCGAATCTTGTTGTCGGCTGCGTTTACCAAAATCTCATCAAAAATCTTGAACAGACCAGGGACAACACTTACAACCTTACGCTCCATAGAGACAGGCTCTTCATCGCTAATGACCCACTGTTCCGACTGAAAGCTTTCAACAGAGCCGACATAGGTATCTGGACGTAATAGCACATGATCCAACTGAGATAGCTTTTGGTACTTCTGTGAATTTTCGCTCACTTTCTTGGCAGGTCCCATGTTCGCTTTGTTTTGTGCGTTTGATAAAGGCTTCTTTGGGGGACCGGCCGTTTTTGCTGTGGAGGTCTTTGAGCTAACAACAGGAGCAAAGTCTTCGTCTCCCGAGTCCACAAAATCGCTATCCATTATGGTTGAGCTATTGAATATGTTCTGAGTGAGAAAGAAATTACGCTTTGCCAGCTGGAACGTATTGCACACAAGACGCGTCCTCAGAAGCATTCAAAAAAAACAAACAAGAAATAGGTAGTGTATGATCCCCAAAATGATCTTAGCACCTCAAAATTTTACTTTCTTATTTTTAGGCTTTTGAAAAGCAAACAGAGCTGAAAGAGGTAGTCCGAGAAAATGAAGGGCAATTATCACTGAACCTGCCTAGCAAATGAAAGTTGTGTTGGAGAAAACGTGGTCTTTTCGTCAACATGGAAGCATAGCGGATAGCGGGAAACACGTACGAAGAACGCCATGCAAGCGGTGTGCGACACACAAGCAAGCCTGTAGGCATAAGTGCGGCTCAGGAACCTGCAGGCAGGCTGAACCAGAAAGGTCCAACGTGACAGAAAATATCGGAGGAAAGCTTTAATCTGAATGTACATCAAAAATCAGATCCTGAATTCATCTCAGGGCAAACTTGGTATGGCTCAGCTTTCCATGATGGTTTTGATGATGCAAAAGCTTGTGGTCTGCTCAATGCATCCCCCGACGCACCTCCAGAAAGTATGCAAGCATCTTGTAAAACGGCTATCTCCAACAGTTTTCTTTGAAGCACTCAGTAGAGTCCACCAATATTACAATATAAAGTAGTTTGAGAGTTTTTCAATGTACCGATGAAATATATATTCAACCTATGTTAAAACAGCCTGTTGGCGAAGCGTGGCAGCAAGTTAGTACTTATCATGTCGGAGCAATCTTCGAGACGTCAAGCTGCATGACCTAATACCACAATTATGCTTATTGGCCCCACCACCAACGAGGAGTCATGTGATTTTGGGTAACGAGCCCCCAATAGTGGCAACATTGCTACTTGAAGACGAAAGAGGAATGTGTGGTACTATATAAGTATAGAGGCATCCCCCTTCTTTGCTGGATGGCTCAACCAACCTTCAGAGAAGACTGTTATCTCAGACTTGATATCACTTTACTTTAAATCCTATTGCAATGGTTACTCAAGCATCCAAGGTATTATTGGCTGGTGTTGCGGCGGCAGGTGCAGGCTATTACTTGTACGAGCAAAGATCTGGGGGAGGCAGACTTATTGACGTTAGCAACTATGGCCAAGGGCCAGCAGAACACGCTGGAAGAGTAGTTGACAATTATGCCAGCTCTGGCTGGAACAAAGTGGAAGATTCGAAGAATTCTGCGGGTTCTTGGATAAACGACAAAGGAGCCCAGGCTCGCCAGGCCTCCGATAATGTGGTTGATTCTGCGAAGGAATCTGCTGATATAGCAGCTGCCAAAGCTGCTGGAGTTGGAGGGTCTGTGAAGTCTTGGTTTCAGGATTCACGTGCAAGTGCTGAAAAGGCTTATTCTGATTCTTGGGAGAAGTTAGATGAAGCCCAGAAGCAGTTTGACGATACCAAAGCCGCATGGTGGTCTTGGGGAGCTAAGCAGAATGAAGAAGCCCAGTCCAAAGCCCAGGAGAACTTGGACATCGCCAAAAAGAATTATGCCAATTCTAAGAGTGCTTTGTCTAAATGGGGCCAAGAAACCATTGACTCTGCTGACAAGAGGCTAAAGGATTTGAAGAATTCTGTCAAGTACAATGCTGACAAGGGCGTTCAGCAAGTGAACCAGGTTGCTGGTGATGCCAAGGCCTACGGCAACAAGAACCTCCAAAACGCAAAGGAAGCAGTTGACGATGCTTATGAGAGTGTTAAGTCTAAGGCTCAGTCTGCTCAGGACTCTGCCGAAAGTAGAAAGAACGAGATTGTGAAGGAGTATGGCAAGCAGACTGCGTCTGAAGCTGATCTGGCCAGCCGCGTTCGACACTCTGTGGAGGGATGGGGAGAAACCGCCCAAGAAGTAGCCCAAGAGGAGTATGACTCGTTGTTCAGCAAGAAGGGAAGTTTCTTCCTATCTTCTGAGGAAGCTTCTCGGAAGGCCAAGGAGTATTACGATGCTAAGGCCAAAGAGGCCAAAAAGCGTTACGATGAGACCAGAGGCCATTGGTACTCCTGGGGCTCTTCAAAGTCTCAAGATGTTCAAGATGAAGCCAAGAAGCAATGGGAAGATCTTCAGGCCCAAAGTCAGAGTGCTTCCGATGCCGTTGCTGAGTGGTCCAAGAAGAACTCTGATAAGCTGGTGAAGGATGCGCAGGATGGCTTGGATAGGGCTCATGGGACCTCGCAAGGCTGGTTGTCGGGCATTAGAAACTGGATTCGTGGCAACTAAGAATTATCATAGCAAAATTATATTTAATACTGAATAAGCCTGTCTTGATATTATTATGACTAGAGATGTGGTGAGTGCCTGGCCATACTATTAAGGAGTGCAACAGGCATACGTCAAGATAAGACCGCTCATTCACGTCCTTTGATCAATACTTCCTCTTTGCATCCCATATATAAACCATCTCGTCCCAGCCCGTACTGGCCACCCAACCAGGCTCACCCCACAAACTCCAGTCACACCCAACCACAAACTCACGATGCCTACCAAACACATTCACACATGCCTGCCCATGATTCGTTTTGTTCAGGAACCTTGCCTTATCGTCGGTTTGGTCGTTCCAAACACGACATGTCATATCATACGAACACGATAAAAGCTTGTCACCGGAGTGGGGCGACCATGCGATGTTCCTGATTGCGAAATCGTGCCCTATGAATCTGTTGAGAGGAGTGGGTCCAACGTTATGGTGCGGCTGAAGAGGCGAGCCGGCATGAGCCACCCCAGAAATTGTTCTCAGATCCCAAACCTTGATGGTCTTATCAACACTGGCGGTTGCTATGACCGAAGTTCTGTACTTGTTGAAATCACAACTCAGTGTCTCGAGTCCCCCATGCGCTATGAAGTCCATCTGCAAAGGTTGGGGAGACCGAATATCCCATATCTGAAGATGCGACGCCGAATTGCATGATATTATCACGTTTGCATCGTGAGGCGAAAACACGGCGTTATACACACAATCATTTGTGGTATTCTCGAGAGAAGGCTTGGCAGAAAGAGGAGGAGCCATCTTCGAGCCAGGAGCAGACGCAATGACAGAATGGTCTTTAGCAGACGTCAACGTGAGCAATGGGTCTGAATTCATGGGAGACCACACCCTCACGGTTCCATCCCAAGATGCCGAGCAAAAGCTGTGTTTTTCAACCAGATTCCAATTCACCGAGAACACCTCTCGCTGATGGGCCTTGAAGTTCATCACGGGGAACTTGGAAAGTGTTATGTCAAACAGCGAAATAGACCCATCACCCGAAGATGTCAAAACCTGGTTCTCGTGTGATTCGGACCATGCCACACTGAAAAGACCGTCCTGGGTGTCGAATATGTTGTCTTGTGTTATGGATCCATCATCGTTGATGCTCAGCAAATAAAGTCGTCCGTTGCCTACCAGCCCGTAATTTGCACTCGTAGCAACAGCAACCTTGTTGTCATAAAACGGCGAGTACCTGACTCCATATCCATTATATCCAGTTGTCCTGAAAGATAGCATGTTACAGATGCATTTATGGTACTATGGTCGTCTGCTGGTGTAGTTGCTAAGTGGAGGATTGATAGGAGATTTTATCGCAGCTAGTGGGCACGTGACCTCAAAACGATAATCCATACTTCTCTGTCTCGATGGCTAAAACTGGAACCACATCTACTTTTGGTTGCCGATATCCATCGTTTATACCACACAATATTCGAATAATGGTTCAGCAGGTTTCGTTGATGTCCACGATAGCTGCCTCGCAGTATAATCTGACTCAATTGACGCTTATGTCGCTGACAGGGATGCGACCGCTAGATCTCTCTACCCATACTGTGACATTGAAGCCCAAGTTCCCCTTCAAACCAGAAGTGGTGGCTGGCAAAGTCAACCAGATAGAGCAATATAGGATACGGATGAACCGAGTATGGGATGCTCCTCTGTTGGAGGAGATCGAGAAGCTGGACGAGGGAGAGATAAAGGGCCAATCTATATTCGAGACTGGTGAGAACGCGATCAAGAACTTGCAGGATATATGGACATTGCAAGTTTCTGAGATTCCACTTGCTGGAAAGAGAACAACCTCCTCGCAGACCATATACGAAATCACGGTTTGTGATACGGACGATATTTTGGGGTACCTTGACGAACTGGGGTACATGCCCGAGACCGAGTTTTGGACTAAAGGGTCGCGGTTCTTCTACAACGACGTTATAATAGAGGTCTTTAAGATATTCCAGGGCAAACCGAAGAGCCCTCAAGCAGAAAATGATGAGTTTGCAATGGAAACAGACGAGACCGGCGAAACAGAATTAGAGGAGCTCGACAGCGCAAAGAAGTTCTTCGTCAAGGCTTGCATTAACGTGGCGAAAATCACAGACGTTGATAACCTGACCAAAGCATCAAAGCAATTGGAAACTTTGAAGACGGAATTGAGTGGTTTGTTTGAGTTGGAAATGCCCAATAGAGTGGCTATGGACTCGAGGTTGAACTCGCGTATCGTCTCTGCTGGCCAACAGCCGCGTTCCAGACCTTGAAAGAGCTTACGTGAATCATTTGATGATCGAAATCCTAGTAGATTATAATCATTTACATACATGCCAAATTAACAACACCGAGACGAAAAAACACAAACACACCTAAAGATCTAACACATTGAGCATTACGCCCATGAACTCTGTAAACCTGTATTTTTCCCTTGGCTTACTGACAGCGCCTACGAGATAAGGTCTGCAACGTTTGGAGTGAACATTTACTGCGAACATGCCATTGAACTGCTGGAAATAGTTATAGAAAACTAGTTGTTGTTCTATATGGACTTCGTTGTCCTTGCATGATCTCGCGCAAGACATCGATTTCCTTGCTGCCATAGGATTAAGCGCTCACATCTCCTCCGTGAATCTTCGGAATTAATTTTGAGGTGAAAAGTTTCAAAAACTTTAACCTTCAAAATGCTACTAGCATAATCTCTCGGGGTTAATTTCTAAGTTGCGGCTCCCCACCTTCAATCGGTCTTTGGCGGAGGTCATTACCAATCAACCATCACCAATGAACCGTTTTCAGTGCAACACCGCCAAGAAACCATTACCAATGAGCTCCGCTACCTCCAGTAATTATTGTAATGTAGGGGCATGCTCATGTAATATTCTCTTAATTAGGTTGGACTTCGGATTACGAAGTACTATTGACAGACTCGGTCGATTAGTCATCTAAGACCCTTTTGTGAGAGGTTATCTGTTATGGGAGAATGTAATAACGCTTCCATAAAATACGGAGATAACAAAATGGAGGTGATTTTTCTAGGTTCTAACATTTAGACCGAAGTATAAGTATGAGACATAAACCCAACATGATGGAGAATAGAATTTGCTTTCAAACAATTTCCAACTCTCATATCAACTCAAAAACCCTCGACCCCTGCAAAATGCCCCATCAAAAAGCCTACCTCGTAACCGGTGCCAACCGTGGTATTGGGTTTGAGTTAGTATCTCAGCTTTCTGCCGACTCATCCAATATCGTATACGGAACCGCGCGTGATCTCGCTTCAGCTGCTGGTCTGAAGAAGTTGGCTTCATCGCACCCCAATTTCAAGCCACTAGAGGCCGACGTTGTCAAACCAGAGACATTAAAGAGCGTTGCAGATGTCGTGGCCAAGGAGCATGGCTACGTAGATGTGTTGATAGCAAATGCGGGTATTGCAGAAACTTATTCTCCCGTCAAGGACGTTAGTCTTGACGAACTGTCTCGTCATTGGGATGTGAATACCAAGGGTGCCGTGATCACTTATCAAGCAATCCGCCCACTGGTTGTCAAGTCCCAGGAGAAGAAGATTGTTTTTATATCTTCACTTGCAGGTTCTGTCGCGGGATTTTTTCCTATGCCAAACCCAGCATATGGCTCGTCAAAGGCAGCTCTTAACTACATCATTAGAAGTATCTCTGCTGAATCTGAGGGCGAAGGTCTGAAGGTGCTCTCTATGCACCCAGGTATGGTAGCAACCGACATGGGAAAGAGAGGCCTTACTAAAATTGATGTTAGTTCGATGAATATTGCGGTAATTTCTCCAGAAGAGAGCGCTAGGGCTATACTTGAACAGATTGAAAAGCTCGACGAAACTGATAAGTTCTTGAGCTATGACGGCACCACTGCTTCATGGTAGGCTGGCTATTCATATATAAATCAAACCATGAAGTTTTAGTATGTAAAATGGATATACATTAAGAGCTAAGCGTATCAGGAACATCTTATGTTTTAAACTCTTTAGGAGCTGCAACCTGCAGCTGCACGTGCAGCTGCCACCCCATCCTATGCCCGATAACCGATGCGGTGGTGATTTCGAATATACCACCCAAAGGTGCTCTGCTATGAATCATCTTCCGGTATTTAGGGTTTCTTTAACCTCAAATTCTATTGTTGTCAAAAATATTCAGAAGTTGCAGCCGGAAGACCACGCTGGAGTAGAAGGCGTTTCAAAGAAATAGAAGGAGACTTCTTCTACATACCCGACAAGTTCACGACTTAAATGATGATCGAAAAACTAATAGATTATAATAATTTACATACATGACAAGTTAACAAGTTAACAACACCGAGACGAAATAAAAACAAACACACCAAAAAAACGAAGACATTGAACATTACGCCCATAAACGCTGTAAATCCGTATTTTTCCCTTTGCTTATTGACTGCACCTATGAAATAAGGTCGGCAACGTTCTCGGAAAAGTAGCCAATCACATTTCCTTGCGGGTAGTAGTTACACGATACGTACAGCCCGTATCCATCCTCTGTACAGTCAATGTAGCCACAACCCAACTGAGTGGACTTCTTCCACACAACCTGCGTGAAGTGACCAGTGGACTCAGAGAAACCTGGGTCGTTGAAGTCGTAGTCGTCAATCTCGTTGTACCAGGCGTCCACGGTCCCCACGGTGGTGAAACCGTAAGCTAGGTTTTCTCCGTATCCTGAAGTTCCCGAGTGCTTGAGTGCATCCTTGCACTTGAAGGTGCTGATGTAGTTCTGAGCCACCTCGGCCACCGTAGCATTCCATTCCATTGCTGGAGTATTGATGTGTAAAGCACGTTTCACGTTGTGTTCCTTGAGAATAGCTGAGGCGAACGTAGAAAGAGAGGTGCTAGTTGAAGTACTAGTGGAGGATGACTTTGTGGAGGTTGTGCTTGCTTTCTTTGCTGTGGAAGAAGAACTGCTGGTAGTTGTACTAGACTTCTTGGACGTGCTGGAGGAGCTAGTCTTGGAGGAGCTAGTCTTGGATGCGCTCGACGTGCTTGATGACTTCTTAGTGCTTGAGCTACTAGTAGGCTTTGTGGAAGTCGAAGTAGAACTCGAGCTCAATTTTGGTTTGGTGCTAGAACTTGTGGCTGATGTCGCACTTGAACTTGAGGTTGGAGTAGTGCTTGATCTAGAGCTTGAACTGGAGTTTGAATGTGATCTAGAGCTTGAGCTGGAACTCGAGCTGGAGCTGACACTAGAACTTGTACTAGCACTGGAAGTCAACTTCGTGGTCAGACTGGAACTGTGCCTGGAGCTGGTCGATGTAGAACTGGCAGCAATGGCATCGACAAAAACAGTAGCATAAGCAATCTCCGTCACAGTGTGCACTTTCGTGGAACAACTAGAAGCCGATGCCGAGTTGATGGAACACAAGAAGATGGCTGCGTTAAGCAAGGCAGTTAACTTCATCTCAAATAGTTTTTTTATTGGGAGTGCAGTTGGCTTGGTTAAATCAAAAATGCTGTTTGTAATGGTTTAGCAACGAATGTGAGAAGTTGGACTTGGAAAGACACCAAAAGTAGACTGGCTTCTCCAAAGGAAACAAAATGAGGTCACTGGGCAGTCTACGTATTTATATGGTGGTTTTGGAGCTAGTTAGTGAGAATTTTCTCCGATCATACCGGGGCTAGGAAAGAAGGCTAGTCTTAGCTTAGATCATGCATGTCTCACTATGCATAAGACGTGGCTGGTTTCTGGGGCGATGCCTTGTTCGCCGGCGTCTGGCTCAAAAATGATCTCCTTTGTGTTCGAGTATTGAATTAGCTTGATAAAAGTAGCAGAGTGCCTTGAAATAATGTTGCAGATAGTTTGTTTTATCGTTTCCGTAATTCTAGATTTTATCCCAAAAGTTTAGACTAAGAATCTATTGAACGGGATCATGATCTGTGGATAGGTAATAAGCCACTCCACCGTTTGAATTCGGTATGGAACGCATATCTCAGGCATACTATCTCGAATCGCATGCAGCTTCGCGCCAGAGATGGCTGGTTTTAAAGCTTAATTGCGGTAGTGTACCAGTGAAATTCTGCCGCCGCACACAATCACGCTGCGAAGGGGTCGTTTTCTAGCTGGTCTGCAGACCACGCTATTTCGTGAGATGTGGTCTAAAAGTTTACCTTTGTCTCGTCCATTGTGCTGGGCCAGATGTGCATCAGCGGAGAGTGTACTTCTAATGCCGCCCTCATTCCCCGATATGCGTAAACAGATGATTCAAAAAGACTCCTTTGGATGCACGCCCGTGTGGTGTAGAGACATAGTATGTGCGGACAATACTGGTGCTATCCGGATTGTCTCGACTTTAGATTCGTAAATGTTGCGGTTAGTGTGTTAGATTTAAAAATGTCTTCCAAATCTTGCATTCTCCATACTTGCATTAAACTATTACGCTAGTATGATCTACCAAACATACAGTAGTTGATAGCGGCCTTGTCACACTTAACACACTTCTGGCCAGGTGCCAATTCTGGCTGCTCGAATGGGATACAGAGGGACTTGGCTCCCATACTTGGCGCCTTCTCGTCAACCTCCTCTTCTTCCCCGTCATCTTTCTTGGAGGAGGCATCCTTGATGTCATCCTCACACTCCTCAACTCCACACCAAGGGGCAAGAATGACGTTCTTCTTGTTCAGCGTAGGAACAAAATCTTTCCATTCGTTGACTATCACACGGTGAGAGTCAAACTTGGCTTTGGCATTGGCAAACAAAGAGGCCTGGATATCCTCCAAAACCTCTGGCACTTTGGTCTCCACCTCGTCCAATGAGATAGAGACCTTTTGGCCGTTGTCACGACGAACCGCAAGAACAGAGTTGTTCTTCAAGTCCTTGGGGCCAAGCTCAAGACGCACTGGCAAACCCTTCAACTCCCAGTCGGAGAATTTCCAGCCTGGAGAGTAGTTGTTACGGTAGTCAGCAATCACTCTCACATCACTAGCTCTGAGTCTGGCCTCCAGCTTCTTACAAGCAGCATAAATGGAATCCTCCTCTTCCTTGGTGGTCTTTGCTGTGATACCAACGGGGATGATCACAACCTGGTTCTGGGACACCCTTGGTGGAATGACCAAACCCTTGTTATCTGAGTGAATCATTACCATCACACCAATAACTCTTGTGGAAAGACCCCACGAGTTTTGCCAAACGTTGATCTTTGGCTTGTCTGGACCTTCTGGGCTCTCCACAGTGATGTTGAACATCTTGGAGAAGTTCTGGCCCAAACAGTGCGATGTAGCACCTTGAATACCACGGCCTGTAGTTGGAATGTAACCTTCACACGTGGTGGTGTACAAACCACCAGCAAACTTCTCCTTCTCAGTCTTCTTACCCTTCACAACTGGAACAGCTAACAACTCCTCATAGATTCCCGAGTAGTAGTCCAAAATCTGCAAAACTTCCTCGTTAGCCTCTTCATAAGTAAGATGTGCTGTGTGGCCCTCCTGCCACAAGAATTCCCTCGTTCTCAGGAAAGGTTGAGGATGCTTGAACTCCCAACGAACAACACTGTTCCATTGGTTGAGCTTCAAAGGCAAGTCACGGTGGGAACGAATCCACTTGGCATAGTATGGGTACATCACGGTCTCAGAGGTTGGTCTGATGGCGATGGGCTCTTCCAACTCACTGGAACCAGCTCTAGTGACCCAGGCAACTTCAGGCGCAAAACCTTCGATATGGTCCTTTTCTCTCTCCAATACCTTCGAGGAGACAAACATAGGGAAGTAAGCATTCTGGACACCCAAAGCCTTGATTTTCTTGTTGAACCACTCCTGAATTTGCTCCCAGACGGCGTATGAAGCTGGCCTCATGATATAACAACCAGAGACATCGTAGTAGTCCAACATTTCACCTTTGGTGAGGATCTGCTGGTACCAGGAGGAGAAATCCAGTTCCTTGTCAACAGTGATACCAATCAGCTTGGCATCATCGAGCTTGGCGTCAACAGCAGCCACGGTCTTTGGAACAGCAACGGTTGGGGCAGCAGCCTCAGCAGAGAAATCTGTCGCTATGATCTCGATTCCAGTGGACTTGAAGTACGAAAGCAGGGTCTCAGTAGTCAAAACCAACTTCCCGGTTTGACAAACAAATTCCAGCTCAGCTGCCTTATCACCTTCCACAATTTTCGAATCAACAACGAGCTTGATCTTTCCTTCACTGTGAGCATCAGTCAAGTTGGCAATGGAGAACTCCTTGGCTGTGCATCCAAAAAACTCAACGATCAAATCGTCCTTGGCCAATCTGGGCTCTTTAAAACCAGCTGCCTTTGCAATGGCTCCGCCAGGTGTCTGGGTCTCAGTGAGAGCCACAACGATGATTGGAATAGGAGTGGCAGTCTTAGCAGTCTTGGGCTTGAAGACAAGAGTCTTGGTCGACAGAACACCTTCTGGAGAAGGGGTCGCCAAAGACATGGCGGCAAGGGAACTCTCCAAAGACATAGTTTATGAAAGAGTAAAAATTTCTTCTATAATAGAGATTTTCTGTGCAGATACAGTCCTGTTGTGCCTTTCCGCTGAGCCTTAAATATACCCATCCTCTCCAATCTCTGGTGATTAGCGACGGTTAGGACCAAACCGGCCGGGTAACCACCAATTTTTTTCAGCAGGACAGTCTTTGTTGAGTGGTGCACGATTTTTCATTGGACAGTGAGTCAGCTGCAGAAAAGTATAAAGGATGACATGAGCGGTTGCCAACAAAACCTCAATTTTGTTTTACCATACAAAGATGTCTGAATTATATGTGAAAGAGTCGACAGGTGTTGACTCTCAGGAGATCACTGGGTCGAAAGAACAGCCTTTCAAGACCCCAGCATTTGCCCTCTACGTGAGCCCCGAAGCCAAGTTGTTTGTCTTCAAGCCTGAGGAGGACTCCTACCAGGAAATTTCCGCTTCTGCTTTGAAAAAGGCCAAGAAGGGTGCAGAGGGACTGAAGAAGAAGGCTGAAAAGGAAAAAATTGCCGAAGAGCAAAAGGCTAAGAAAGATGCCGAAGAAACCGCCAAGAGACTGGAAGCTATGAAGATCTCAATTGTTGAGGATAAGACTCTTCCAAAGGCTGAGAAGATCAAGGTTAAATCCGTGACTGATTCCATTGGAAAGAGAGTAAAGCTCCAAGGCTGGATCCACCGTTTGCGTTCCCAGAAAGGATTGGTGTTTGTTGTTCTGAGAGACGGTACTGGGTTCGTCCAGATCGTCTTCAGCGGAGACCTCGCAAATGCATACCAAACCTCCACTTTGACAGTCGAGAGTACGATTTCCGTTTACGGTGTTGTTGAGAAACTTCCAGAAGGAAAGAGCGCCCCAGGCGGTGTCGAGCTGGTTGCCGATTTCTACGAGATTGTAGGATTGGCACCATCAGGAAAAGATTCTTTCACCAACCAGATTGCCGAGGACACGGATCCTTCCATTTTGCTGGATCAGCGTCACTTGGCATTGCGTGGTGAAGTGTTGAGTTCCGTCATGAAGGTGCGTGCCGCCCTTCTTGGTGCCGTCAGACGGGTGTATATCGAAGAAGGTGTCTGCGAAGTGACACCACCATGTATGGTGCAAACCCAGGTCGAAGGTGGTTCGACTCTGTTCAAGTTGGACTACTACGGTCAAGAGGCTTATCTAACTCAGTCTTCTCAGTTGTACTTAGAGACATGTCTGCCAGCATTGGGTGATGTCTACTGTATTCAGGAGTCCTTCAGAGCTGAGAAGTCGCACACCAGACGTCACTTATCTGAGTACACGCATATTGAAGCCGAGTTGTGTTTCATCACCTTTGAGGATCTGTTGAGCCACATCGAGACTGTGATCACCAAGACCGTCCAATACGTGTTGGAGGATCCCGTTGCGGGCCCACTTGTGAAGAAGCTCAACCCTGATTTCGAGGCTCCAAAGAGTCCCTTCAAGAGAATGGCATACGTTGATGCCCTGGAATGGCTCAACGAGCATGGCATCCCAAACGAGGATGGAGAGGCATTCAAGTTCGGCGACGATATAGCCGAGGCTGCAGAGAGAAAGATGACTGACACGATAGGTGTTCCAATTCTGCTCACCAGATTCCCAGTCGAAATCAAGTCTTTCTACATGAAGAAGTGCGCCGATGACCCAAGAGTGACAGAATCCGTTGATGTGCTGATGCCCACCGTTGGAGAGATCACCGGAGGCTCTATGCGTCTCGAGGGTGTTGATGAGCTAGTTGCTGGTCTCAGAAGAGAAGGAATCGACGAGAAGGAGTATTACTGGTTCATCGACCAGAGGAAGTACGGTACATCCCCTCATGGTGGATACGGTCTGGGAACAGAGAGAATCCTAGCCTGGTTGTGTCAGAGATTCACGGTGAGAGACTGCTCTCTGTACCCACGTTTCACCGGCAGATGCAAGCCATAAGCTGTGGTGTCGTTGTAATTATAATTATATAGAGCCTGAAACTTTTCACTCGAAAGATAGTAAAAGGTAGTGCAACGATGCTAATATTGGGGCCCAATTTGGCAGACGAATATTTCACCATCTGTGTGACTCTTTCCGATATCGCGAATACCTGTTCCCTAGACTTTTTCAAGACCCAACCCACTACGTTGTTATTCACTCAAAATGACCGATAAGCCAGCTGAACTCAGATTATGGGGTGGTAGATTCACCGGTGCTTCGGACCCCCTCATGGATCTTTACAATGCTTCGCTGCCATACGACCAGAAGATGTATGCCGCAGACTTGGAAGGAACAAGGGTCTTTTGCCAGGGACTGCAGAAGATTAACCTGCTTACCGAGCACGAGTTGAGCGAAGTCGATCGTGGTCTGACTGTCATCGAGAAGGAGTGGGCTTCCGGTACTTTTGTTGCTCAAGCCAATGACGAGGACATCCACACTGCCAACGAGAGAAGACTCGGTGAGATTATCGGTAGAGACATTGCCGGTAAGGTCCACACTGGTAGATCCAGAAATGACCAGGTGGCCACCGATATGAGAATTTACGTTCGGGAGGCCTTGAAGGACTTGCAAGACATCCTGGGAAAGTTCATCAGCGTAATCGTTACCAGGGCCCAGGAAGAGATAGATGTTTTGATGCCAGGTTACACCCACTTGCAGAAGGCTCAACCAATTAGATGGTCTCATTGGCTCAGCATGTACGCCACGTACTTTACCGAAGATTACAAGAGATTGACCCAGATCATTGAAAGAGTCAACCAATCTCCTCTTGGTGCTGGTGCTTTGGCCGGCCATCCTTACGGTATTGACCGTGAGTTTTTGGCTCAAGGTCTCGGTTTCAGCGGTGTCATTGGAAACAGTTTGACTGCTGTTTCTGACCGTGACTTTGTCGTGGAGACTTTGTTCTGGTCCAGTTTGTTCATGAACCACATCTCCAGATTCTCCGAGGACTTGATCATCTACTCCACTGGTGAGTTTGGATTCATCCAGTTGGCAGATGCCTACTCCACCGGTTCTTCTCTAATGCCACAGAAGAAGAACCCAGACTCTTTGGAGTTGCTCAGAGGAAAATCAGGCAGAGTTTTTGGTAACTTTGCTGGCTTCATGATGTCTTTGAAATCCATTCCATCCACATACAATAAGGACATGCAAGAGGACAAGGAGCCATTGTTTGATGGTCTCACCACTGTCGAACACTCCATCTTGATTGCTACTGGTGTTATTTCCACTTTGAACATCAACAAGAAGAAGATGTTCGATGCACTTACAATGGATATGTTGGCCACAGACGTTGCTGACTACCTAGTTAGAAAGGGTGTTCCCTTCAGAGAGTGTCACCACATCTCGGGTGAGTGTGTTAGAACCGCCGAGGAAACCAACGTTGCTCTTAACGAGCTGACCCTTGAACAATTTAAGAACATTGACTCCAGATTCGGCGACGATATCCACGAGACCTTTGATTTTGAGATGAGTGTGGAGAGAAGAACTTGTACTGGTGGTACTGCCAAGTCGGCTGTTCTAGCGCAATTGGAAAACTTGAAGAAGCAACTGAATTAGGCGAGAAGCAAATATCTACAACTTTTATCGACAATTTCCTAGTAATTAGAGCTTATTTATTCATATTTCAAGCACCGGTCCAGTGCCGATGCTTCTCCACTTAGTCATATCAACATTCCAATCTTTCCACTGCAGGAGTCTCTCTCTCATGTCAACTATATCCAAGTATTCCGAAGAAGGATTGTACTTGTTGAATGTAGAAAATGAGGAAGAGGTTCGGATCCCTGGTCTTGTATATTCTGAAGCAAACAACTCGTCATTCAAAAGGGCCTCGGAGCCTATACTAGCTGTGTCGTCTTCTGATTGCACCGAAGGCTTGTCTGTCTTCAATTGACGAACCTTATTGTTCAGTCTGGAGACACTGGCAGTCAATGTTTCTACCTGTTGCTTGAGGCTTATATTGTGACGTTTGAGGTCTTCGTTCTCTTTGGTGACTCTTTGATTCTCGGAGTTGGAGCTGTTCAGTTGGCTCTTCAATCGCTCGATTTCCTTTTCGAGAATTGAAATTTGTTCTTTGTTTTCGTCTGAGGAAGCATTGGTTGTTTGAGTGGTTTTCTCCGGAGGCGTGGCATCAACTGTGGCAGTTGGCTCGGATTTCACAGAAGCTTCAGTTTCTTCGACTGGGGTCTCTTCTGGAGAAGCAATTGTTTCAGTATCGACAATGGCTGATTCGGCCTCAACAGGAGTCTCAGTAGAAGCCTCGGTTCCTTCTGGTTCGCTGGTTTTTTCTTTGGTCTCTTCCTTGACCTCGTCGTTGGTCTCTGCTGAGTCAGACCCAATCTCCTTCGTTGCTTCCTCAGTAAGAGTATCCGCTTTGGAAACATCACCAACAGCATCTTCCCCAACATCTTCACCAACATCTTCAGTTTCTTCTGTCTCTGCTTTGGCCTTCTTTCCCTTCTTCTTGCCCTTTTTGTTCTTCTTCTTCAGCTCCTCGAACTACATTTGTTAGTCCAGCCCCATACCAATCTCAAATCCCAACATACCTTTTTTCTGGCAGCCTCGAGTCTCTCCTCCTTGGTCAGTTCAGATTCTTCAATTTCAGACATTGCATTCCAATCACAAATAAAAGAATTGTTGAATTTTAGTCAAATTTTGGTCGATTGCACCCAAGTTTAATATCCAAGTTTACTCAAGTCTATCCTACACAAAGTACTCTTCAGGTACGTGGAAGGTCAGACCGATGCGATGGGCAAATACTTTGTCAGAATCGCTAAAATCGTCTGGCCTTCCTGCCGCATCCCCAACGAAAAAACTATTTTCCATATCAATATCATCCTTAGATATTCCCAAATGTAACAGAGCCAATTGCCACATCTCTGTACTTGGTTTCCTGAAATCCTTTCCATCCAAGGAGACCGTCTTTTTCGGTAGTCTGCAAGCTGCGTAAAGCTTCACTGGCAATTGGCAGAAGATCAACTGCATCTTGGTAGTGAAATTTCCCATGCTTTTGGAATCTTTTTTAACCACTGTAACTCCCTGGTTTGTGAATATTAGCACTTGAAATCCCTGGTCCGCTAATTCTCGTAATTTTTGCGGGACTGAAGGGAAAAGCCACTTCCAGTCGGTGGGGGCTATCGAGAAGTTCTTAGCACCGCTCTTGCTCTTGATGAGTGTATGATCTAGGTCAAAAGCAGCTACTTTTGTCTTTAGGTCTTTCGAAACTTGAGCTTCTGACCTGGCTTCATCTTCTTTTCTAGTTGGTTTGGGGGTGTAGATCAAACACGTTTGTGAAGCAACTTCCCAGCCATCACCCAGGTTTAGATCCAACACTCTGCTTGGACTCGAGACGGACTGTGGTTTCTGGATTTTTGATGGTTTTCCCTTACCCAGAATATTGAGTATGGACTTTGAAGCCATTGGGCGATGTGTCGTTGACTAAAAGCGTGTACTTTTTGTAGAATGTTGTGTCATAAACTTGAGCCGTGTAGATTGACGCGATTCTCTAGCAGACGATTATGAGTCTTTATGTGAGAGAGCCTTAACTATAGGTCTCACTCTGGGCCTCACTATGAGTCAAGGCGAGGAGCGATTTCCACTAATGCCGCCTTTCCAACAAATTTTTCTACGCAGAGAATCCAAAAACTTTCCAGGAAATATTAACGCTATATACAGTCTAATTTTATGCTTCATTTAACACGGCATAGGAGAGTTCCAGCTAATCCCTTCTTCACAGCCTCGTGCAGCTCCACCACCTCATTCGAACCTTCGACCTTCAAAAAGAGAATCTCACCTGGCAAAAGAGGTTCCACAATCCTCACCTTCTTACCATGCGCAAGATCCGATAACTCCACCTTGTTGAACGAGATCCTTCTGTTGGGCTTCGACACAAGTTTCAGTTTGGACATCACTGGCTTCGAGTTCTTGTACTTCAAACCTAACCACAGCTTTCTGGTAGAGATATTATCCGGGGTGACTTCCACTGGTGTGGCATCTGGGCCTGCGATGGAGCCTCTTGTCACCGAATTTATGAAACCGTTTTTGTAGAGACCAACGGCCAGTTGCAGATGTAGTCTGTTGAAAGGAATGGCCGCCATGGGCAAACTCACATTCAAACAGTTCTGCAGGTGTGAACACACATAACCTAAGTTCTGTAACGACATGTTGTGCAGCGAATTGTGTGCCGTTATGGGTTGTGCTGCGACTACACATGTTCAACTTCGTCGCTTGAAAAACTCCAGATGGAAACCAAAAAAATGCGTGTGCCACCAGATACATATTTGGTGTGCACACGAAGGAGGTTTGTTTACATCTGAATACACAAGGTAACAAGCGATCCGGAGAAACTCATCTAGAAAGACTTTGATTGAGCGATTGTTATAAGTTTTTGGGCTTTGGTCATTATTAGTGTACCAATTTGTGAATATCAAGGTCTGGAATATTTGATTTGGAATCTGTTGAGTGGTGCTCCATCTCCATCATCTACCGCTACACAATGGCAAGACTGTCGAATCGACCTCAGTTGAGCCACCCAAGCTCTTCTTCGCAAGGCTTAAACTTTACTGTTCCAAGCTGGCCTCGCTCGCATAATCAGCAAAATATTCAAAATCCCGTGCATGCAGATGTTGTGAACAAGAAAGATCATGACGAGCTGAAAAGGAAGTACCTACAACAGAATACAGCGTTGGCAAGGACAAATTCAGTCCTCCGGAATGGAATGAGCGAATTGGAAAGACAAGTTCAGCAATTAGTTTCTGAGAACATCAGGCTCAAGGCGAAAGAGCATGTAGCGAATGAGAATCGAAAGAGTCAGATGGATGACGAGTTGGCCATCTTGGAAACTGGAATTGCATCTAAACTGCGGGATGTATTCGCCATGTTCGAGAGCATAAGACGGAGGGAAGGATTACCATCTTCAGTTGTGAGTTTGGAGTTTTCCAACGTTGATTTGGACAGTTTCAAAGGCTCGCTTTTGCAGAATACAGGGAACTATGATGCTGGAGCGTCTAATCGCCGCCGCAAATCGTCATCTAGAAGACAATCGTCGCTGTTTATTCATTCTCCTGATAATCCTGTTGGATTAGTCCAACAGCACGGTCCTCCCAAGACGGTTGTGCCTATGTTAACACCCAGATCGACGAACGCCGTTGTTGAGGAACCCACGAAAAGCGCGAGATCGCACGAAGCTTTTGAGAGCGCACAGAAAAGATTCGAGAGCCTTTTACAGGATCATTCCACAGACATGTCAATTTCTGACTACTCCATTCCGGAGGAAAGCCCCAGGCCGGAGTCCCGCCAAATACCGAGACTGAGGTTGAGCGAGGCAAATATCGTCATAGAGCCCGAAGTGAGGAATACGAGTCCACAAAAGACACCACAGAAAATTATGCGCACTCCAGTCACCAGTCCACATAAGAAACCAAAGAGTGTCTCGTTGCGTGAAACTACACAGAAGAAGCTGCAAAGAGCCTCTTTGAGCTCACAACAAGCGAAGCAAGTTGGCGATAAGCAGACTTCCAGGCGAAAGACGATGGGTTGCCCAATAGAAAGGCCTCTCGAGGAAGATTCGATATTCAGTGCAACAAGGGAAACCCGTCGCAAGAAGCCTGTGAACTACGCAGAGCCATCTCTCAATAAGAAAATGAGACGGCAGTCAGAAAAGTTTGTGGATGCAGTTTATGACTCCAGTGTACTGAAGATTGAGGTTCCTGAGTCTACACAACCGTCGGAAACGCAAAAAACGCCGGTTGTTATCGGGACTGCGGTTGCAGAATCTACGCCTCCATCAACATCAACGGAAACCAACGCAACCTCTACTGAACAGATCCCGAGACCCTCAACAGCCGAGTCATTGCTGAACCTAGAATCTGCAGAAACCATGGAGATGATTCCCGTGAAGCCGCGGCGCAATGTGGCTGTAAGACCCAAATCCCAGGATCGTATACCGCTATCCAATGTGACAAATCAGCGTGCAAACACTACCAAGAGGAAGAGCTTCGTAAAGCACAAAGAAAGTTCTTCTGGTTTTTCTGTCTTCTCCGATGACCATGGCGTTTCAAAGAAGCGTCCCAGGGTTGAAGATATGTCGATCTTTGATTTTGTGGACGATCCAGAGGAGTATTACGCTCCCAACAAGAGAAAAACCAGCTTTGGAAACGATACCCGCGGACTAATGGGTAGGGCCAACGAGAGGAGGCGTCATAGCATGATGTGAAATAGAATGTATTTATGGACGAAGCTGGACTGGTGTTAGCTTGTAATGACAAATTTTGCCTTATGTGAACTTCTATCTACTTATTTCGCGCTACTTCAACTTAATCAAGTTTAGTTCAACTAGTCTTTCTTCTATTCAAACACATATTACAGCGATTAAACACTCATCTTCATCTTGATAGGTCCATATGGCTCGTATCCATGAACCTCGAAATCCTCAAACTTAAAGTCGTCAATATCAGTAATCTTTCTCTTCAGCGTCAAGGTAGGGAATTTGCGTGGTGTTCTTGTCAATTGCTCTTTGAGGGCATCCACATGATCTGCATAGACATGGGCATCCCCCATGGTATGAACGAAGTCACCACATTCCATATCGCACACTTCTGCGATCATCTTGGTCAGCAGAGCATAGGATGCGATATTGAAGGGAACACCCAATCCCATATCACAGGACCGCTGGTACATTTGACATGAAAGTTCGGGTTTCGAGTTTGGTGGGAAATTCACATAAAACTGACAGAAAACGTGACATGGCGGCAGTGCCATCTTGGGGAAGTCTGGTGGGTTCCACGCAGACATGATGATCCGTCTATCATATGGATTTGTCTTCAATGTTTGGATAATACGAGCCAGTTGGTCATGGCCCTGACCAGTGTAATCCGCATCGCAAGTAGTATATTCCGCTCCAAAGTGTCTCCATTGGAATCCGTAAACCGGACCGAGATCACCTTCTCTTCGGTCTGTAAGCCCTAGCGAATCCAGGTACTCTCTAGATCCATTACCCTCCCAAATTTTCACGCCTTTTTCGAACAACTTTTTGCCATCGGTGCAGCCCTGAACAAACCATAGCAGCTCGTGAAGTATTCCTTTCATGAAAACTTTCTTGGTGGTCAACAGTGGGAACTGGCCATTACGCAAATTGAAACGCAGCTGTGGAGGCGCGAACAGAGAGTACGTGCCGGTGCCGGTACGATCCGGCCTGTGTTCGCCTTCCGAAATGATGCGCTGGCACAAATCCAGATATGTCTGTTCCTCCGAGTTTGTGTATTCGTCTGAGGTCATACTTTCGATTTGTTCTAGTAGAAACCTGAGGGGAAACACTGGAGAACGCGTCAGTGACAAAAGTGAGGCGCATCGAAAGGCGTGTGCAACCCATCTTTTGGGCCGCATGTTTAGTGCGCCAACCATTTCTAGTTATGAAGCCTTGAGTTTTTCCGTCTTTTCGTGTCCCTGCAAAAACCAGAAAGATTCTTTCTTCCGTTACAGCCAATGAAAATTGGTTGAATCAGCTTTAGCTATACATCACCAATCCATCACACCCTCTCTCTCATCACCGTTGGTGACTTTTCAAGAACAACAACATAGGAGAACAACCATGTTTTCTCGTTTTTCCCCGGTGATTAAGCGTGCTAGCAATGCTGTAAGTTGAATATTTTCCTCCTGGTTTGGATTGGTGGTATTACATCCGGGCTGGAGTGCTTTGTCAATGCTGAGTGTTCCCGACTCTGACGCCAACGTTTTGTTGCAACAAGACTGGGTACAATTGACGAGCCAAAAGCGAGCCTCTACCACGCAATCCATCAGCCGTTTCGTCACAACAAGATTGACTAACACCCCCTGCAGAGATCCTTTTCGACTACGAAAACGGCCGAGGCTTCTCCGTTACTGAAGAGGTTTCTCACCGCTTCCGTCGCTGCGACTGGTGTTACTGCATCCTACATTTTGTACAAGGACATCCAAACTGCTGATGCGATGACCGCAGCCGAGCACGGTTTGCACCCTCCACAATACAACTGGTCACACAACGGCATGTTTGATACTTTTGACCATGCCTCGATCAGAAGAGGTTTCCAGGTCTACAGGGAGGTCTGTGCCGCTTGTCACTCCCTGGACAGAGTTGCCTGGAGAACCCTGATTGCCGTGTCGCACACCAACTCGGAGGTCAGAGCGATGGCTGAGGAGTTTGAATACGACGACGAACCAGATGACCAGGGTAACCCAAGAAAGAGACCCGGTAAGCTGGCCGACTACATCCCAGGCCCATATGCTAACGAACAGGCGGCCAGAGCCGCCAACCAAGGAGCTTTGCCCCCAGATCTGTCTTTGATTGTCAAGGCCAGACACGGAGCCTGTGACTACATTTTCTCCCTGTTGACCGGCTACCCTGATGAGGCCCCAGCCGGAGTTGTCCTCCCACCAGGCGGTAACTACAACCCATACTTCCCAGGTGGATC